TGCACCCAAAATGACTATAGCATATTGATTCTTACACATTTGCACTCACAAAATTGGTTGGTAAATTCAACGAGTGGGTGCATCGACCTGGTATATCAAGTTTCTGCAATTTTTTACGGCAAATCAGTAGATTTTCGGGATGTAGATTGCTTACTTTCAATTCATGAATGAATAAAGCAACGACATGGTTGAACTTCTTTGCATGGAAAGACGTTTAAAATAACAAAATCAAGACGTATTTAATGCAATTGCATTTATATCGAGTCAATTTCTTTTCAATAATATAACGGGATTTTTACTACCGGTGATTTGGGTATTTTAGCCCCAAAATACCTTTAAATCGACTTTATCTTCTAGGAGTTCGACAGAATTTTTCCTTTCTTCGCTTAAATTATTCCGTAGCACTTTTCTTCAAGAATCTGATAAGATTTTGCTTGAGGCAGATCAAAAAACTTAAATTCGATCGAATAGCTTTCTACTTTCACAATACACGGTCTCGTCAAGGTGCGTCTTTGACCTCGCAGTGTTGGATCGTGAATTCTCTTTTTATGCTGTTTGCCTATTTTGAAATCTCTGTAAATGAAAACTAAAGGGGTTGATATGTGCGAGTTAATGACGCGCCTTATCAACACATTGTGTTGGAGTTCACTGCTTGTTTTTTTTTTTTTTAAATGGAACACCGAAACAGTCCCATTCCCAGAGTCACGATTCCTTTTCCTGAGACCTTTACTTACTTTGTGTCCGTTAGGAGATGCGGAAGGGATTCTTACGGAAAATTTTCAATCGAAGTTTCGTTTCATTTAAATATAATTCCTCAGTGTAGTTCGATCACAAAGTAAATTACACTTCTTTACTAACAGGAACTTGCGTCTCGGGGTCCCAGGCTTCGAATGTGCCGGGATCTACAATGATGCAACAGTAGCAGGGAAACGAATGGGCGGAGTGCATCGTAGGACGCAACGCCCTCTGTCGACGAGGTCGGAAACCGAACTCCGAGGATGCACCTTAATAAAGTCATAAATCACGAGAAATTAATAACCGTGCCTCGAAACCCCTCATTGTTATCGGTGGGCAAAAATCAATGAAGTGATCGAATACTTGCTCACGTTGTCAAATATTCAATTCATATTGTACGTATGGTGCGCTTGAATTGGGAACTTACTGAAATTTGCGAGAGGAGGATGTAAGTCTCAGGTAATTTGTGAGCCCACGCTTTCATTGAAAATTTTGCATGATTAATAACTGAGACGGCTTAAAGACCGATAAATCGGAATTTTGGGGCTATATTCAAGCTATAAAAAGTTCTTTTGGGTGAAAATAATACACACATACTTATCTAATGAGTGAATAATCCGGCAATTTTAATAATATGGAGATTTGGCCGTACAAGGTGTCCCCAAACGAATGACGGAAAGCATCAGGGGTCGATTCTCTAGAGCGAAGTAAAACTATGATATGCTTTCGTACGAGCCATTTTAAGCAAGAATGGATTGGATTGTTATGTCAACTAACAATCATGTAACCCCTGAAGTAAACGTTTTATACTGATTCTTATAAAAAAAAAAAAAAAAAAAAAAAAAAAAAAAAAAAAAAATCCAGAAATATGAATCTCATAAAAAGGATTTGAGTTTTTACATTTGTATGGTATTCAAGTAGGGTAAATGTATACTATTTTACAATATTTAAACTGTACAGCTGTTTAAAACAGGTCATCTTACGTGAAATGACCATTGACTAAGGTAAACATGTGAGTAATAACGGTTTTATGCTACCTCAGGTTGTTTTTGAGCCAAAAAGCAAAAAAGTATTGAAAAGTTGTTACGGTTGTCTTTCCAAACCATGTGTTAAAGATTTATTGTGGCAAAGCGACATCGGTGCAAGTGGTCAGCGATTCTGAGGTCAGAGGGCGTCGCTAAAAACGGGGCAGTGAACACGCGAAATGGTCCTAAGCCCCTCGTAAAATTTCAGATGAGCAAAACTTCAATGAAAGTGATAACTGCGTGGGATGTGAGCTACATTGCAGTAAAGAAGGACACTGGAACATCCCATAACAGAGCCGCTAGCATTATCTTTACGAGTCTTAATAAAAAAGTCATAAACAGATCATATTGTTACCAACATAATTTACACAATGTCCGAAAACCACTACTCGATGAATGAAACAAAAACAATGCAATTGTCTTTTAAGAGTTGAAAATATGCAAATGTCCACCGCACCGTATCTACCTTCACATGAAATAAAAAAAATATTCTCGCGAGGATTAACTCTTTCTTTTTCGCAATGATGATAACCGAGCGAAATGTTAAGTGCTTCATTGAGCCACATATCTAATTTGAAGAGATGAGTAGCAGAGAGCTTACTTCCATTGCAACTTTTCAGAATTCCGTGTCAAACTTTATGTTTAAGTCGTCAACGAGTATGTGTCTCATATCGACAGTTTCAGGGCATTTATTTCGCATTATAAAAAAAATTCCAACCGTCCCTGGATGAATGAATAAGGTCTGAAAAGAAATTTTGCAATGAAATCAAGCTCTTCTGGCACACATCTCTTCATTCAATGTTTAAAACTGGCGAAAATTTCCCTTCAGGCGTAGCTGCGGCCGCGTCCTCGTGACTTTGACAGAATTTTTCCTTCAAGTTGAGAGGATGCAATACGCACAAACGATAGACAAGTATAGTTGCCCACTTACTACCTCTCAGGCTTTGCCGTGTCATTGTCACTGCACAACAACTATGCCTATTGCCTTCTCTGATGAGCATGGCCGGGCGGGTGCGATGTATTTACAATAATTAACTTGTCAGTGATTATCAAAACTGGGAATCGCAGTCGTATATCTCATTCATAAGTTAAAATTTTTATGCACATGGTCTAATTAGACATTATTTGAATGTGCCTTGCTAATAACTCTACTTTTCTATATTCTCCAACGCACTAATTTATTCTCTCATAGTTTATCCATTTGAAATTTAAATTTATGCAGACACATTTTATTGTTAAAATTACAAATACTCTGAATTTTTCTATCAGAACATTTGGGTTTCTCATGTAATTACCTATTACAGTCGTATTCATGAGTTCAATTATTATTTCAGGTGGCGATGAACCCTAAAAACACGGTTTTTGATGCGAAGCGACTCATCGGAAGACGCTTTGATGACCCCAAAATTCAAGATGATATTAAACACTGGCCCTTCAAAGTCATCAGTGATTCAGGAAAACCAAAGATTCAGGTTCGTTTTCACAACTGTTTAATGTTGACGTGACTTATCTTTTATATGTTTAACCTTCTTAATTCGATTATTCTGAACATGGTGGCAAGTTTCCCGTTTTGGACTGGTCCCGAGTTCTCTGGTCAGGTTTTTTTTTTTTTTTTTTTTTTTTTTTTTTTTTTTTTTTTAGTTGTGTTTTTAGCCCTAGGAGCACTGCCACCTTGTGTAGGTAAAAATTATTTTGGTGATTTGATAGCCCCTCGCCAGGCCCGGTCTCAAAGGGCATGCACCAGGCTCCGCTTTCTTATTGCAATATGTAGTTCAATGGATTGCAAGTCAGAGTAAGGATTGGATATCTTAAATACTTGAGTCCTCATCAAAATTTCACGCAAAATCCGCTAAACACATCGAAAAGTTCCAAAACTAACTTGCAAGCGAGAAATTGACTTTGATTGATCACATTATTCATAGAAAAATCAGACTGCCCGTTCGTCAAAAAGAGAATTTTCTGTGTTGAGGTTTATGTGTTGTGGTGTGTATCTGTCATTTAGACAGGTTAGTTGAACGTGTCCGCCTTTGCGAGGTGGTGAGTTTACCATGTATACCCTCAAACACGCTGTATATCCGCCAGCCTGGCGGCGTCAGGGAAGAAATCGACGATATGCCTAATGGTGTAATGTGTGAAGTATCTCTTCGATGTCGAAGGCGCTGGAAACGCTGCGCTGCGCTGCTTGCCGGCGCGCTGTTAGTTGCCCACGATAACTCTGGCTGAGACGTTGTTTCTCGGAATATAATCGTGTTGCCAACTATTCGTGGGCTCATATTGAAAATAGTTATGTTTTGTCCAGAGCCCTCTTGCGGAACTGGTCAAAAAACTATAATTAGCGTGGGGTCAAAGCAGCCATCACGAAACAACTTGATGCGCCAGGTAAATATTTGGAGCAATGTTTCACCATTATTCTTTCTTCTTCAGATACAATAAATCACCTCTAAACTTATCCCCCCAAAAAAATAAATAAAATAAAAATAAAAATAGCTTTTCAGCCGAAGTGTAAACGCAAAGGTTGATTTCGACTAAAGCAATGCAGTGAAATTATGTAGGTGTATGTAATGAGCCCAATGAGTCGAAAAATCAACTCTCTTTTGGACTTAAAATACTTAGAAGAAGGGGTGGTTTTAGAAAGTGGGTGCAAAGAGGCTATTTCAAAGGACTAAAAGAGGCGAGCCTATTAAGTTAGAAGCGACTAAGATCGGACGATTTCGAAAAATCACCCCCCTCTTGGTCTTAAATTTTAAAAGGATGGATTTGTTTTAGAGGGTGAGTGAAAACAGATTGTTTTGAAGGCCTGAACAAGACGAGTGTATTGAAGTATCATCCCCTACCAACCTCGACATTTCTGAATTAAGGGATGGATCGATTTTTACCAAAAACGGTACGAAAAAGTGCGAATTAACGTCGATAAAACCGTTATATCATAACTTACTAGTTGAATTTGGGAAGTTGTATTGCGTCCATCGTGTTCTAAGTAAAATCTCGATAAGGAAACTACAGGGTTATTCAAAAGTCAAGCACCACTGGCTATAACTTTAGTTCTAATTATGATATCGACTTGCAGTTTAAGCCGTTTTTACTCATATCGAGGGGAAACTTTTTTAGGTACTTTCCAGTTTTTGATCGCCTCGGGGGGAGAGGGGCCGCGGGCAACTCAAAAATTTCAAATGGCCAACCCCCCCCCCCCCCTTATGGCCAGTGGTGCGTGACTTTCGAATAACCCCGTATATAGTGGTGCTTCATTTCGCGGCCTGTCTTGTGGTCCATTTATGAAGTTAAACTTTGTTGGACTGTCTCAGGTGGAGTTCAAGGGAGAGCAGAAGATCTTCGCACCGGAGGAGATCAGTTCTTTCCTCTTTCCTCTTTCCTCTTCCGTTCACCACAATGTAGTTTCCTTATCGAGACTTTACGCAAAATCTCGATAAGGAAACTATATTGTGGTGCTTCATTTTGTACCCTGTCTTATGGTCCATTTATGAAGTTATTTGTTGAACTGTCTCAGGTGGAGTTCAAGGGAGAGCAGAAGATCTTCGCGCCGGAGGAGATCAGTTCGATGGTGCTCACGAAGATGAAGGAAGTGGCGGAAGTATACCTCGGGGGGAAGGTGTCGGAAGCTGTGATCACGGTGCCGGCCTACTTCAACGACTCGCAGCGGCAGGCGACCAAGGACGCCGGGGCCATCGCCGGAATGAACGTCCTCCGGATCATCAACGAGCCCACGGCCGCCGCCCTCGCCTACGGCCTCGACAAGAACCTCAAGGGCGAGAGGAACGTCCTCATCTTCGACCTCGGCGGCGGCACCTTCGACGTCTCCATCCTCTCCATCGACGAGGGCTCCCTCTTCGAGGTCAAGTCTACCGCCGGTGACACTCACTTGGGTAGGTCTCAATCCCAGGAATGGAGATTGGCACACAAATTGTTTACTACTGCAGCTGAGAGCTCTTGAAGAGCTGATCTCCCAGTATTTTTCATGACTTTTTTCTGATATGGGAAAAAGTAGGAGAATGGATTTAAATGTGAGGAAATGCACCGCCTAGTGACGTCATCTGACGGCATTTCCCATTTGAACTCACGCATTTTATCGGATTAGATCATGTTGTCATATAGACAGCGTTAAACAGAAAGGAACCAAGCCACATCAGCTATTGCCAAATTTAATTGGCTAATTAAATGTTTTACATAAAAACAGTTGTGCGGATTTTCGTGCTTTCAGTGAATTTGCTCCTACTACGAAGCAAATACCTTAAAATTTTCAAAGGGATCCGCACAAACGTTTTCTCGTAAAAAATTAAAATGCCCAGATAAAATTGGCAATAGCTGATGTGGCTTGGTTCTTTTCTGTTAAACGCGGTCCATATCTCCTCCAATATAATTGTTCAATTTATGAACCAAGGGTATGCTCGTGTTCAGCTCACTCAGTAGTTTTCACTCAGACACGAAATTCATAAAATTTCAGACACGTGCAAATTCTTCATTCTCTCTTTGGCTGCTATTGTTGAACACGCATATTTCATAGTATATTATGTTGGACACGTTAGATTTTCATTTACCCTCACTGTATGTAGTCAAGGACTTTGTAGGGGATTTAAGCTCCTTAGTGTGCCGTCCATAGGTGGAACTAGGGATATCCGTATTTCCACTTACTATCCCTATAAATCTGCCGCGCTGAGGAAAAACGCCGTATGAACATTCGAGCATTGCCAAATTTCCTTCAATTAAATGTTGGTTTTTAAAGAAAGTTATGAATATTTTTCCTTAAAATTTTCAGGGACTTCAGGTGAAATTTCGAACAAAATTATCTGAAAAATTGGAAGAAAAATATTCATAAGTTCACCAGGAAATTCGTGTATTATCGAAGAAAATTTGACAACGTCAGAAGGTTTATACGGCGTTTTTCCTTAGCACGGTATAAATGCACTCGAAGAAGAGTCCGTATCCTTGTGGTTCTGAAGATCCTGTGCTTGAGAGTCTCTTTGATTTCAGGTGGCGAGGACTTCGACAACCGGCTAGTGACGCACTTCTCTGAGGAATTCAAGCGGAAGTACAAGAAGGACCTGCGAGGGAACGCGCGGGCGCTGCGGCGGCTGCGGACGGCGTGCGAGCGGGCCAAGAGGACGCTCTCGTCGTCGACGGAGGCCTCCCTGGAGATCGACGCGCTGCACGAGGGGGTGGACTTCTACGCCAAAATCACCCGCGCCCGCTTCGAGGAGCTCTGCATGGACCTCTTCCGCAACACTCTGGCCCCCGTCGAGCGGGCCCTCACCGACGCCAAGATGGACAAGGGATCCATCCACGACGTCGTCCTTGTTGGCGGCTCCACCCGCATACCCAAGGTCCAGAAGATGCTCCAGGTCAGTCATACTGAAAAACGACGACAGTACTCCCTCTACCCGCGAGGGGAGCGAGAAAGTAAAAACTCCGGCCGTGGAAGCCGTACTTTCGGGCTACATAGACATACCGCCCTTGATCTGGCTCAGAAGCCGAAAGTTCCCGGTAAGAGGGATGTGAATAGAGGTAGCCCGCAATTCACATTGACATGGGTGAAAAAAAAAAACGGAGTGAACCGGTGATTCCCAAAGTTCTTTATTTGATTTAGACTTTAGGGTAATCTTAAAAACCAATAGTTAACAGGATCGAGAACTTTAAAATTCGTCTCCCCGTCCAAAGCAAAATTAATTACCTGAAAATATGAAAAGGCTCCTTCCGAATGAGAGCTATGAAACTTGAAACGTGCGGGACATCATTCAGGAACTTTATCTCAGAATCTTACCACATCCATGAGAAATTCCTTTGCTGATGGAACCCACAGAATCAAAACTAATTATTCACTTCGTGTTATGCAAAGTAATTTGACAAAATTGTAATTAAACATCCGGAACTGTGTAGTGTTGCGAAACAGACACAATTAACGATTCAAAAAGCGGGTGAAAAGTTCGAGGACTTGTGAAAACGTCAAATTTCGACCGAAATAAGCGCGCAGTCATTCATTCACCCAGAAAATAACCGAACGGTTGTTGAGTCGAAAAATTCCAGCCGCGAGAGAGAATAAAACATTTGCATGAATGTCTCTTCATGCGAAAAAGGGAGGTTCGCAGAGGTTCGTTTGTTTATCTTTCGCGAGATTCAAAACTGCAAGCTCTGCATAACTCATTGTTTTGCGTTTCAATTATGCGCAAAACTTATCCAAATTAAACCGTCCCGCCGTAGCTTTGCTGATAAATTGTTGCCAATTCCTGTCTCATAATAGTAAATGTTCATGAATTACTGATCAGAAACGAACCGAAAGGGTCAGAGTTTGACGAAAATCTTTATAGTTGTTTATTAAATTTTGACACCATTCTCAATGAAATTCAATAGGATCTTTTTCTGACCGCAAAACCAGCAAGAAAAACCAGTGGTTTAGGTACTTAAAATCCGGGAGCTGTTCTGCCGAATTGTATTCACCTCTGAAATTTTCACTTCCTACTATGCAAAATCTTAGTAAATATGCTTCAATAAGAATCTTAATCCAAAAATATTTTTCGAAAAAATTTATTATTTGATGTGTACCTATTGCCTCCCATATTATTTTTGATTTTCAAACAAAGATATTAAATTTTTAAAAATCATAGATTCTTTGATGGAGACACGTATTGTGGAAACAATGCAACGTGGAAATGAACTCCGTTCATTTTAAAAAAGATTCACAACCTCTTTTTGTTTTATCTGACTTGTATACCTAAATATCGATCAGCATCTGTCACTTCTTGCTTGCTACAAAATTTTAACCCACTTTTCTTCTATGAAAAGAGAGAGAAAGACTTTCTTTTCTTCCACAAGTTCCATTGTTCCGCAAACTGATGATAGCCTCCAAATGAGTAAAAAAGAGCACTGTAAGCAAAGCCCATGTGAATTCACGCAGAAAATTTGACATTTTAGACCCCCTTCCGCTCCATCCCCTATCACGTAATCATTACGCATGCAGGTATACAGCTTTGCACCCTGCCAAAAAAAAATATTTTGCTAGCTTTCTTCACTTACAACTGTTTACATTTTTTGTTGATAGATTAGCCTCATTGTCATCAAGCACAGTTAGGTGTTTGGATGATAAAATGAAAATAAATAATTAAATTTGGAAAAGCATAAAAAGAAGAAGGAAAAAATAAAGACGAGAATGCAAACGAAAAAGAGGAAACAAGTTTCTTTTCAACAGAAGAAAAACAGAACTTTTCATGATAACAAGAAAAAAAGAAAAACAAAATTGAAATAGAGAGAAAGGAAAAGGAAAACTCCATTTTTGCATTGTAAGATCACGAGTAACTGTGGCATCTTTTATAATATTTTAGCCAATGACCTACTTTTTATTTTTTTTTATTTTTTTTTATATATAAAAAGATTTAACATCGTCTAACGAAATTCAGACTCGTGACCTCTGTGCCCCTGCTTGTGCAAAATGACACGCGAGTTGCATGATGTCATTTCTGCCCGGCATCTGTTTAAGTCGCAGTGGTAACCTTTGTTGCCCCAAAATTTTTCGCAGATGTTCGGGCGAGCTCCATTGTCTGTTTTATTATCCATGGATAAAGATCTTGTCAAGTCGCGAAATAAATGACCTCTGCCCACACGCAATTTCTTTCCAGAGAAGGTGACCGGGGTGATGGTCAATCCGTGACTGGAGATTGAATGGAAAAAAAAAATCTCAGGATTATCTAGATTATTCTGGACTGATATACTTTAAATGTGCGGTAGAGTCTAAGAAGAAGAGACTTGAGATGAAGGCTCACAATTTTTAGCACAGGCAAAACTTCAGTAAAGAGAATTTAATTCATTTTTGAGCTTTTGATAGGTTTCTAGTGCCCTATACTTCATGGGAAGGGATAAAAACAATTAGCCACTGCAAAAAATACAAAAATAAGGGAGAAATTATAAATTTTGAAAACTTTTCAAGGTACGCAGAAACCTAGACTCTTTAACACTTCCATAAATTGCAAAAAAAATTCCAATGCATTTTTAATTTTTTACAGCGGAAAATTATTGAACTCCTTGAAAGGGGTCTATTTCCAAAGTTATATTGTTGAAGTTTCCTCGAGATTTGTTACAATTGTCCTCTACATGATGGTATTTTGAGGACCTTCATAAACCTCTCATATCCTTTGTCTCGATTATATGCAAAATCTGGTAGTTTCGTGCCGCTCGATGATGTTCGATCACGAAAAATCAGTATGTATTTTACTCTCAAAATATTTAAGTTCTGGAGTTGCTCCGGGAAGAGCGTTTTTTCATCCAGCCGGACCACCAGGTTAGCCGAGGTGAGGCATCTGGCACTAACTTCGTGCCACGGCGCACAGTGGAGCGAGTAAATGTAAGAGATCAGACATAATGTGGAAACTTTAAAAGCTTATATCTTTGTTAATGTGAAACGCGAGGGTTTAAAATTATTGGTTCCATCGGGTTTCTCGTAAAATTACCTTGTAGAGACACCCCTTAAAATTTTAATTGTGATAAAATTAATATCGTAAAATTGCCTTGTAGAGACACTCCTTACAATTGTAATTGTGATAAAATCAATATGAAAATGTACAATTTTTTTAAAAAATTCCTGTTGAGCTTCACTCGTTCCACTGTGCGGTGATGCACGACGCGTGACTCTGCTTGAGTGCTTGAGCAGGTGGCGCGTAAGATCAACGAGCCAGTGGACTCGGCTCGCACGTCCGATCCAGATCCTACCATACTAACACTAAGCAGAAACCTCATATCAACGTACGATCCTTGCCAAATCTCCTCTCATAAATTACGAAATAAATTCTTTAAAAAATCAAACAAAATTGAAAAAGAATTGGATTGCATTTTGCAAAAAGGAACCACTAGCATTGCAATGATGCTAAGATTGTGCAACTTCATCTTTTGCAATAAAATTGCGGAAATCGTGAAAAACTATGAAATTTAGATGGTAATTTTTGTCTTAAATTTACAGTTTTTAGCGAGTAAAATAGAAACTATTAACGGATAATCGGGTTTTTCCTCCAAGCAAAAGAAAATGCGCAATCTTAGCAACATTGCAATGCTAGTGGTTCCTTTTTGCAAAATGCAAACCAATTAATAATTAACACAAACAATTCAAATCGTGAATTGAGATGTTAAAATAGTAAATGCCATTTTTGCTGTCCCGCATTCAATTTAACGTGCGATTTCTCGTATAAGAAGTATAGTTATGTATCTGTGTGCAAAATATAAATATGTTTAACAGTTGTCCAGAAAAAGAGACCTTCCACCGGCCTCTTGGCGACGGATGGAAACTTTAACTTTCGGGGACCCAACACTTCCTCGTGGACAGTTATAAGGGAGCAGCAGACATCATACCAACTTGGTGGATGATGAGCCTCAGGTGACGTAATGAGCCGAGCAAGTTTGTCAAACTTCGGCATGCTTGCGAAACGAATACCCAAAACACGTTGTTTAACATCCACCTAATATGTAGGTCATCAGTTGCATGTTGGAATCCCGAAAGTAAAGCTTCCACCATTGCCAAGGTACACTGGAATAAAAAAAACACATTGGATCTAGAGTCCAGACTCTTGAAAACATTGACAAGAAAAAATACTCTTGATTCAATCGGATTTTTGCTTGAATTAAAACGAAATCCGCTTAAATTAAGAGGCTTGGTTATTGATTTAAGCTAGATTCTGATTGAATCAAGAGTACTTTTTCTTGTCGATGTTTTTAAGAGTCTGGACTCTAGATCCAATGTGTTTTTTTTCCAGTGTAGCAATGAAGGGGTTTTTTCTCTGCTTTTTTCAAAAGCTATTATTTAATCGGGGGTTGGCAACATTTGCGAGTTCAAACGACGTTTTTTCGCAGCACACTAGTATCCCCTTCATCGGTGGAATGGCAGTCACGCAATCGAGCCGTGCCTTGCGTCCAGATCATGAGTACGAATTTATGTCTAAAAGAACCCATGTTCAAAGAGACCAAATTAAAAAGGAACTATGAATCCCGCAAATGATACGTTCGTCGTTCCTTGTTGATTTAATTCATTTTTGCATAGTTCATTTTAGCATTAGATACGTCCAGAGGTCTTCGGGGTTCAGTTTCTGATCTTCACCTGATTCGGCTGCTCCTGTTCGTCCGAATAAGGAAGCAAATCGTGATCGCCAAAATCCCCCTTCCCCCAAAAATAAACACGCTCGCACTCCATTTGACGGTGCGTGGCTCCATAAAATTTTGCAGCGATTCACAAGAGGGATTCGTAAGTAGACTTCATATCGACAGTAAAACTGCAAATGCGCGTAACTCGTTTACGGTTTTTCTTTATTTGCGCACGGATAACTTACAACGAATGTTTTTAAACGAATATAAAATGTTTGACAATATATTAAAGCTTCTTTTCCCCTATCTTTCATCCATAAACATGCTTATACAAAACGTTGTGATTGGAGTCTGATATTAAATCCGTATCAATTTAAAATGAATCCGGATGGGGAAAAATACGTTGAGACTCACCGTTAGCGGCTCTTGTTTCGTGATACTGTTACAGAGATACAAACAAAACGCAAAGCGTTGAACTGAGCATTTAATTTATTTTCTCTTTAATCTCTCTTCTCGTTGCTGGAAATATTGCACCTCCTCTGACGAAGGGCTTAACTGCGTTTTGAGATGAGATCTGTTGACCGTATGTATCAATGGTTCCCAGGGCTCAGGTCCAAACAGAGATACGTTTTTATGTCAGAGAATCGGCGATAAATGATCTCGAGCATCACTTGTCAAAGGGCTTTAGCCGAGCAGGAAGTAGAGGCTTACTACCCACATTTCGAGAGAGGGGATATTTCGAGAGATTAAATCCATTATTTTCTAAATAATTATCTGAATATCAGTCAAAAGCAATGCAAATCAAAGCGAATTAAAACGCACCATGTCACGCAAAACAAGCACACCATCCAATTCGACGTTTCGCACGAAATAACTGAACTGAATTTCAGCGCTGCATAATGTTGAGGCGTAGGTTGTATTTTTACCAGGAAACTTTTTGGAATTTTACGTCGAAAATTTAATAGATCATTTCTCTGATTACAAGCAAAAATTTGCACAATTTTGGATAAAATGCACGGTTACATTTCCGAAGAAATTTGAATTGTAAGTAAAATTTCCGCAACTCCAGAATGGAGTTACGGTTCTCCCTCCGGAAAGGACGATTTGTTAGCCATAATAATGAAATAGATGACTAAGCGTATAAGGGTATAATATGGCAATTTCATGTTCAAAAATTCCTCGAGGCCTTTGTGAAATGGTTTTTGTGGAGTGAAATACAGTTGCAATGTGACACAAAATATAGAATCCAGGAATTCAATTTTCCCCCACAGTGATTTAATAAAGTCCAGTCATTGTGAACCTTTAGAGTAGTCGATAAATTCTTGCACATAAATTTTTTCTCTCTTTTTTTTCTCAACATGCTGAATGTAGATATGACTTATTTGCAACACTGTCTGGGTGTCAGTGGCGTGGCGTGCATTGCGATGTATCGATTGGTCTACAATTCAAACCTATGGAAAAGACTAGATTATTAAGGTGTTCGCTGCGAACGCCCTGTTTATCGATCCTTTTCCATAGGTTTAAATGGCATAACAATCGATATATCGCAAAGCACGCCACGCCATGCCGGCTGTTGTTTCTGAAAAATGGCGGAGAGGGAGAGAATTATTTTAAGTCTATTTATACGCGATAATTTGTTGCCTCTCTCAAGAGCCCTTCATCAAAGCCTGTTAGTGATGCCACATTTGCAAAATGACAGACCGACTCCAAGGAAAGTTAGCTGCTTGCCTGAATAATTTAACCGAGGCCATGGGTTCGAATCTCGCCGAGAGAATTGGTTTATTCTCGGAATCGGGCAGTAGGTCGGGATATTGAGATAGTCGTCGCGTCATGCGACACATAATTCACCCGTGAATTATTTTTGACGAAATGTACCTCCCCTCAACCAACAACTGTTCCTATTTTTGCACGCTTGATCTAATTTTATTTCGCTTTTATTGCTCTTTAAATGCCGTTCAAAATTAACATTGAAAAAAACTGTAGCTACGTGCCGGCCATATTCGAGCGTTTTTTGCGACAAAATGATTTCAATTCTATTAAAGGGTGGTCTATGAGAGTGGCGGTACTACTGCTATGAGAACTTAATTAAACGTACATTTTGACCCAAAAAACCGCCAAAGGTGTCAAACCAAACTGAAGTTATGTCAGTTTACAGTTCGGAAAGCAGATTTTTGAAAATGTCCCTTAATACTGCCGTGCTAAGAAAGAACGCCGTATGAACCTTCAGGCGTTGCCAAATTTCCTTTAATAAAACACGAATTTCTTTGTAAACTAATGAATATTTTCCTTCTAATTTATCAGATAATTTTGTTTACAATTTCGCCCGAAGCTCCTGAAAATTTCAAGAAAAAATATTTATAGCCCCCCTCAAAAATAAACATTTTTCGAAGAAAATTTGGCAACTCTCGAATGTTCATACGGCGTTCTTCCTTAGCACGGCAGAATGCTAAACTTTGTTTGAAGATAGATAGGTGGTTTTACTGAAATGGTTTTTTGGTGTTTTTTTAGGATTTCTTCTGCGGGAAGTCGTTGAACCTTTCGATCAATCCCGACGAGGCAGTGGCCTACGGAGCGGCGGTGCAGGCGGCCATCCTGAGCGGAGACCAGAGTGCGGAAATTCAGGACGTCCTCCTTGTTGACGTCACGCCCCTGTCCTTAGGGATCGAGACTGCCGGTGGCGTCATGACCAAGATCGTTGAGAGGAACGCCCGCATCCCTTGCAAACAGACCCAGACCTTCACCACCTACTCGGACAACCAGCCCGCCGTCACCATTCAGGTACGAAACCATCCTCAAAGCAAGACATTTCTCGCTTCAAGTAGAGTCCCTTTATACTGAGAGTTAAGACAATGCGAATCCATTTCTGATTGGTTACCGTATTTGAGGCCTCCACGGTGTCACTCGCGGAAATAAATATTACATTTTCACCAATTGCAAACACTGGTAAAAAGGTCGCTTGGATCTAGAGTCCAGACTCTTAAAAACATCGACGAGAAAAAATGCTCTTGATTCAATCGGATTTTTTCTTGAATCATAAGACCAAAATGACACTATCGATTTTAAATCCATGCTGATTCATTACCTAATCTCCTGAAAAAGTATAATATTAAGAGAAATTTTAAAACCTTGCATTTGAGACGGATCTCCAGTTTCACCGAATCGTTATTGAGTTTCATTAAATTTAACAAAACATCTTTGCAGAGTGATATTGGACTTTGATTCAATTTCCTGTGCATTCGGAGATGTATAAAACGCTCGTAAGTCGATTAAATATTGAAGTGGGTGGTTTCATGAGTCCCTACGGTAAAGGAAATCGGCTAATTTCATTAAGCTCCTGTTATTAAATTAAGATATATTTTGATGGATGTTTTTGGGCTCTTGCTGAGATAATGTTGACGCAAAGAACCTTACGATGCTGTAAGCTGTGTATTTCATGAGTCAATTTTCCCTGAAAAAGCAAGTTCCCGAGTGAGTTGCGAGGGATGAATCGCTTGCGAGTGTCCCAAAATCTTAATACCCAAGCAGCACAGATTGCAATAAGTAGCAATTACATAGTAAACATATTGCTATTCCATTGAGTTTCCATTTGAGTTGTGTATATTGCCTAGCTCCTATTTGAAGGGGACCCATTCATCGAAACTAATTGCAATAAAATTGAAATAAGTCGCAAGTTTTCATTGCATTGCATATTGCCTATCTTTCTGATAAATGGAGCTCATTTTGTTCATTGTTTAAAATCGGCATTAATTAACTAAATGATGTAAAAATAGTGCAATTTAATGGTAAAAAAATTACAATTTTATTGGAATCAAATTGCATTTTAATTTCAATATTTTCGTTGGGCTGTGCTACTTGGGTAATTCAATCTCAGAATCTTGTAGATTGATGCATTTTAGAGTAAAAATGTGTGAATTTGACTATAATATTTGGACTTTTTGCGGCTTTGTCTCCTCGTCGAATATAACGGACCCAATAGATTCACGTTCAGGCGATCATTTGAACTAATTGTTGGGGTCGTTGAATGCTTGCAGCCTAAGAGAAAGAGGGGCCTTTTTTTCTTTTTTTTTAATTTTTTTTTTTATCAATAATCGCTCATTGAATATCGAAGAATAGTCATACCTCACGTTGCAAGTTTGCAAAGTGATTAGTACAGCGAAACCTCGATTATCCGCGATAGTTGGGACCGGAGGTCCCCCGGAGGCTCTATACGGAATACGGGATGATCAAAACCTACGGAAAATCCGCCCCTAAGAACCGTGGACTGAAAAACTACCGAATGTGTTTCGCAAATAGTAGAGTGATAAGTAAATGCAGGAAACGTGAGAGAGACGATGATAAGGTTCAACTTTAAGGGAACTTTTGACCGTCTGAACTGTCATTCGTTTGACCACCTCTTTCACCTTGCTTTTTCAACCAAGAAGACAATACACCAGTGTTCTAGACGACCACGGATGACCGGGGCTCTATTGGAAGTTTGTTCCCTGCATCTATCGCTCTTCTTTTGAAATTCCTTTTTCAACGTGTACTGAAAGAGGACTTGATCACCGCCTCAAAAGCTGTAAATATCTCGACATTAAACATCGCTGCGTATACTGCCGTGCTAAGGAAGAACGCCGTATGAACATTCGAGAGTTGCCAAATTTCCTTCGATAAAATGTTTATTTTTGCGGAACATTATGAATATTGTTTCTTGAAATTTTCAGGAACTTCAGGTAAAATTGCATTCAAAATTATCTGAAAAATTTGAAGGAAAGTATTCGTAAGTTTACTAGAAAATTCGTGATTTATCAAAGGAAATTTGGCAACGCCTGAAGGTACATACGGCGTTTTTCCTTAGCACGGCAGTATAGATCGATACTCGTTGTACAACAATGTTGTGGTACCTGCGGTGATTTCCGAAGCAGTCTAGAGACCAAAACGGAGTTTTCTTAATTAATTTTGTCACCAGAGGAGGGGCGGGGCGAGCATCGGGATGAAGGGGGGGGGGTTGTGTCAGGGCAGGTGGCGGCGTCGTCCGCGCATACAAATAGCTTGTATTAATTTCAATCGGAGCCGGCAATAGGCAATGACATCACCGCGACAGCATTGCGAGCGGCTCGCTTCTGAAAAGGCAACGGATCTCAAAGGCTCGCCAATCGCGGTCCTCATCGCCGGCCCGATTTCGCCGATTTTAAGGCTGTGACGTCACACGACCTTGCTACTGAAGGATCGTCGTTTTACGGTCCCAAGTTTAGCGCGGAGAAACTTGATTATTAGTAAATAGCCTTTACATCGATACAGTCCAACAAGTTCTGATAATGCCGCGTGGACAATTAATTAATGGCAACAGGCAGAAGCGGCAGTTGGAAAAATCGTTTGCCCTCCGATTAAACCTGTGTTGAATAATCGATTCTTGTCGGGAAACCTGGCCGCGTGCAGAGACTCGATTCATTTCATCGCAAAATGAGACTTGATCACAAAATGGGAAGATTTAAGGAGATTCGACGGTTGCCATTTTTTGTGTCAGAGCGGATATATCGCATTAATTCGTTCCATAATTTCAGCTACTTGTCATTTTTTTCAAATTCTGAGATCGCACTTCTGTTGTCATGATATCAAGGAATTCATGTGCCAAATTTGACAAAGAAATTCAACGAAATATAAAGGCAGGGTTTTTTTTAAGAGGAAAAATATCGCATTCGATACTGATATCGAAACTCCACTCGAATGCGATATTTTTCCTCTGAAAAAACCCTGCCTTTAATACGTTGAATTTCTTTGTCATATTTGGTACATGAATCCTTTAGTCTCGTGACAAGAGAAGTGCGATCTCGAAATTCGAAAAAAATGACAAGTAGCCGAAATTATTGGATGAACTGATGCGATATTTTGCACGTCGCTCTGACCCAAAAAATGGCAACCGTCGAATTACCTTAAAATCAACCTCTAAACAAGGTATATAATTCTATCTATATACTATATTTCGATATAAGATTCATCGAAGAAACAACCGATTTTAATTTTTTGTCCACTTTTGAACCATCTAACGGCGGTATATCGAACGACGCAGCCTCTGAATCGGTCTTTATTTGAAAGTAATCGATTTGATCTAACCTGATCACGATCTCGATTAAGTCTCTCTTGAGCGATTGTCGTTTGATCGTGCCAACCGCGCGTTCGGCTAATAAATCCATCAATCTGGTGACTGACGTTGAGAAACACCGGAATGCTGGGCAGTAGCCGTTGGAACTCGGGATGTCCTTTTACAAATCGAGGAGTTTTTTTCAGCGTCTCGCCAGAATCCGTCGCACAAGTAGCAGCTAGCAGCAGGAATCAAAAATAAATAAAATATCCCCTTTAAACCAACATTCAATATTCATGATTGCAAAGAACTAAAATTTTCGATAAAATGTAATCAGTTTAATTTGCTGAGCCATTTGAACGTCTGATAACCGTATTTATTAGCAATGAAGACGATTGCTAGCTGAAAATAATGACGTCTTTCATATCGATTGTCCGAGGCCTGAACACGTAGGTCTATCGCGATGATTCAAAATTTCTGCTGTTGTTTTTTTATTATTATTTTTTTCAGTGGCGAGGCGTAAAAGATCGATTATCGGTATTTACTCATTTAAAGCTATGGTAAAGAATCGGTTATTAAGATGTTGGTTGCGAACACCCTGTTTATCGATCCTTTTCCATAGGTTTAAATGGCAGATCAATCGATTTATTGCAAAGCACGCTACGCCACTGTTACTATCTGAAAAATATTCTAGAAAATATGAGGTAAATCAGTAAGAGTTTCAAGAATGGTTTTTTTTTATCAATTCTCCACAGTTTAGGTTTTTTTTTTTTTTTTTTTTTTTTAAGCGTCCAGCCCACTTACAAACTAGAGGCTTCAAAGGGACTCATCGATTGCCGCGACTTAAACCGCTGGCCAATGAGAGGGCCCGGAAAGGCGTCGATGAACCTCTTTGAAACCTCTAGTTTGTAAGTGGGCTGGACGCTTATGAAAAGTATTCTTAACACTCTAAATAATGAGCCAATCCTTTAAAGGGATGATTGAATTACTTTCATCTTTTTGCGAACTCTTATTTGACCACTGTGCGCGATTGAATCAAGATCTTTGAACGAATGGTACCGTGCTGGTGGGATCGGGATCCCGAGATCAGAACCGAAACCACTCAAGTCCAGCCATATCCTATCAAAGTGATATGCGGTTCTAGAATGCGCGATTGGAGGGTCAATTAAGCCCAAGTTTCACACGGTGTGAAGCTCTTTTAATTGATGCGTTGTCGTCGGTCGAAAGGGAGATACCCACCGGCAAAGCTCAACACTGGACCAACTTGGAGAGGAGAGTAATCACTCTTGGCTTGCCAGATCACAAATGTGACCATAAAGCCGTTGTTGAGAGGATCTTGATGCCTCCCCCCCCCTCCCGGAAAGCTGTCCCCCCCCCTCCCGAAAAGCTACGATCACATGTAGCCGCTCGATATCCGTAGATCCGCGTGAAGGGTAAGATGCCCTTAGCGCGGTAGCTCCTCACGAAACGAAATCTTTAGTTTTAACCCATTTATACATCGATCTTTTAGAGTCAAATAGTCAAATTTTGAGCGTTTGGTTGCGCGTACACCTTGCTACAGCACAGTAAAAGCACAAAATGTAAAATAAAAAATTAAAGTGCCTTGGAAATCATTGAATTTGACACCGAACCATCAATATTTAAAAAACACACTTTATTATTACTCTCCTTTGATGAGTTCATACATATTTTTTATTTCATCAATTTAAATGAGAATAATCAATGCAAAGTGTGCAAACATTTCAAAATCATCCGTTATAAAACGCTGACTATGCGAGTATAAATATTAGAGCCTAACAGAGCGGAGCGGCGTGCTGCCAGCGTGAGAGGCTCACTGGCGCCTACAAACCTAAGTGGATACTTCACGCGTTGCACGATGCTTGAAGTATCCACTTAGGTTTGTAGGCGCCAATGCGCGTGTCGCGCTGACCGCCCGCCCGCCGTGCGGCGCAGGCGCCTGAAGCAACTATTTTACAACAGAGTTGTTGCACAGTATTATACGAAATTGAATGTATTAAGAATGACAGGCATCCTTTAAAAGTATAGATCTTTCCTCGCAAAATAAATCAAGATACTTATCGTACACAGGAAAAATCTAAGAGCCTTTAGCTGAGGAAAATCAAGAGGTTCATCCGGTTCAGGTATAACAAGGTGGGAATTTCTTGAAAGATAATTAAGTCCTGTTGCACCAAAGAGGTGTAAATTACCAATTCCATAAATGGTAATTTTACCCTGGAAAAACAGGGATCAAATAGAACCCTGAATTCTCAGTAATTTCTCCCTTTTCTTGGTAAATACACCGAGATTTGTTTTCAGTGCGGCAACCCTGCTAATGTATTTGCTCGCTATCTTTACATGGAGAGTTTGTCTTGATGTAGAAGTGCGGATAGCACCTCAGGATAGCGTGGGATATCCCCTCCATTTTGGCCTCAACTTGAGAGCTTTTTTTGAGCTTGAAGTTGATTTCAGAAAGTTTGAAAATCGGTGGGACCATCGTGTTCGTCGCAAGCTTTTACGTAAGAATCAATGGTCAAATCGCAAATTCCTCACACATGCAACACCTCCATTGTCTCTAGAAATGTGTTTAACATTGATTGATGAATATTACCTATGGTTCAGGTGTTCGAGGGCGAGCGGTCGATGACCCGCGACAACAACCTCCTGGGGACGTTCAACCTGTCAGGGATCCCGCCGGCGCCGCGAGGTGTGCCCAAGATCGAGGTGACGTTCGACCTGGACGCCAACGGGATCTTAAACGTCTCTGCGAAGGACAACAGCAGCGGGAAGATGGAGCGGATCACCATCAAAAACGACAAGGGGCGCCTCTCGAAGGAGGACATCGAGAAGATGCTCGCCGATGCCGAGAAGTACAAGCACGAGGATGAGAAGCAGAAGGAGCGCGTCACCGCCCGCAACCAGCTCGAAGGGTACACCTTCAACGTCAAACAGGCCGTCGAGGAGGCGGGTAAGTCACACCCGGAACCGTCCCACTCAAAAAAGGAGGGCTACACGGAAAAAATTACTTCGTACGTGGGACCCGAAGTTTAGGTCATATGGATCTCTGAAGTTTTCGGATTGAGCATCTGAACACTTTGGGTCCAGCTGCTGAGGTTTGGATCTCACATATCTGAATCTTCAGTTCTTACATCTGAAGTACTTTGGTTTTCACATCCGAAAAACTTTGGTTCTTACATCTGAAATACTTCAGATGCAAGAACTGAAGTTTCAGATGTGTAATCCGAACCTCGACAGCTAGACCTAAAGTGTTCAGGTGCTCAATCCGAAAACTTCAGAGATCCATACAACCTAAACTTCGGGTCCCACGCACGAGGTTTTTTTTCTCCGTGTAGGGCCCTAAGCTGATCCTTGAGGAAAAAAACACTAAGAAGTGGCCCGAAGTGTATGTAACAAGGTGGAGAAATGGTGCTGGGTCCACACCATTTCGCAGGGAAAACAAAGCCAAGAATTTTCAAAAATTACAATTAGAGTCAAATTAAATTTGTTGTACTCTAATGTGTACTAGTACGAAACTGCGATGGGGGGGNGGGGGGGGGGGAGAGTGTTCAGCTAAGGCAGTTTGCATTGGAATATTATGTTGGAGTCACGCCGAGAGATCTAACAATTATAATTTTTGGAACTTCTTGGCTGTGTTTTCCCTGGTGTGGAATGGACAATGGTGTGGAACCAGCACCGCATTTCTCCACCTTGTTGCTGATCCTTGGTTGGTGCCCTAAGAGTTGACGCTCTCGAGGGGGGCACTTCGGTGTGTACCAGTACTTCAGATGTGTGACCCGAACCCCCTGGTAAAAATTGGCGATAGGAGCTGCGTTTCAAAATACCATAGGAGTTCTTATAGCCGACTGAAGAAGGCGATAGAAAATCATATAGCTGGCTGTAGAAAGTGGAAAAAATCATACGGCCGGGCCATATGAAGCTATAACAAGTTGGTTTTTGCAATCGCTAGCGATAGCAATATTCGTCATGGGAATTTTTGCTCCTGGGATATGAAAATTTTAAGGTACAGTTCGTTTGTAGTATCTTCAGAATTGAAGGGGCTATGTAATTTTGTGTTGACATCTCTTTTTTAACATTTTTAATTTTTTTTCTTTGCATACAAGAAAACTGTTATTTACCAATCATTTATTTTCGTTGGATTATGTATGGTTTTTGGAAGTTAACGCATTTAACTTTCAGTTTCGTTTTTTCGGCGTAAAGTATGATATTTTTACTCTACGCATATGCCCGAATACGCATCATAACGACGGTGAAACTACCAAACCACGTATCTCGTTTGCGGTGTTTAAAAATCTCCGCTCACATTTTATTTTTTTGAAGTAGACCAAATCAATATCATTCCTTGAAATTTTCACAGAATTTTCTCCGCACGAAGAGGAAAAATCACGGAAATTTTCAAGACTGGACGTTAAGTAGCTTTTCATTTAAAAAATAAAGTATGACAGGAAGTCTGCGACGTCGCAAACCGAGATACGTGGTTTGGTAGTTTCACCGTCGATAAGTGACCTATGTGCTTCCTAAGTTGCCATTTTTTTCATTCAAATAGATGTAACCGAAATGTTAGATGTGTACTACCTATACTACTTTCATGTCATTGCTTTATTTATTTATTTACTTTTTGCGTAGGTATAAATTGTTATTTTTTGCTGAATTTTGGAGAAAATATTGCTTTAAGAACGTGGAATGTAAATTAATTTTATTGAAAAAAGAAAATACCATCATTAATTTGGGCGAACAGAGAAAATATACATCAATATTTGGGTCAACATCTCCCTGATTATATAAAGGATGAATATACTAGTATTTCTGTATCAAAAAACTTAGCTTTTGTCTTCAGAGATACGATGATTCTAGTCCCAGTCAATATTGTTTTATTGAAAAAACAAAAAAACAAAAAATAAATAAAAAAAAAAAACAACTGAAATGTTAGACATACTATTTTCATGATTTTCTATTTGTATCAATAGGTACTTTTTGCTTAACTTACGAACGTTGAATGCAAATTAACTTTATTGAAAAAAGAAAATAACGTCATTAATTTGGGGGAACATGTGGCTGATTATATGAAGGAGGTATATTCCAGTATTTTTGTTTAACATATTAACTCACGAGAAAATGTTCGTACATTTATCATCTACTATTAATTATTTTTTGATGATTAGTCTAAAACATTCAATACAACCATTAAAAAGTAGTTCCCATCGTCGGGTATCGAACTCCCGATCGCCGGGTGCCCGCACCTAATCAACAACTCGAGGCGGTTTAGTCAACTAGGCTATAACGGATCCACGTGAGCGAGTTTAAAAATAGCATTTAAAAGACTCGGGCAATGGGCGGGACTTATCACAAGAGACCTTGACTGCTTTTGGAATATGAAGCGCATTGCTGTAGGAGCCATGGTTCGCACTGTTTCAATGCGTCTCGAGGTTCATCCCAGCATGCATTCCGATCGCGGCAGTTGAGCTAAGGCAATATTTGCGTATCCATGAATTAAATCAATCAATCGAGCTCTGATTTTGACTTCTTTATCCGTAACGAGTCCTCCAGAACAATTTTCCACCTTGTACGATGGTTATTATTTCTTTACTTCTATTTTTCAAATTTGAGGTGGGATAATGGTGGCTTCTCAAGAACACCGAGGTAGGCGATCTTTTGCACCAACGAACAGAAAACTGATGGCGAAAAATAACCAATCAGAACCTCCCAAAAAAAAGAATTTGCCTAAAAACGGAACTTCGTGGTTCTGCGCAGATTTACCAGTCAGACACGACATCTCAAGGTGGAAAAAAACTCGCTGAAAGCGAATTTTACAAATCAACACAACTTGACGTAGAGACATGATTGGCTAAAAAATACAACGGTTTTTGATACATCGGAAAATCAACCAAAAATCGGAGACTGGGCGAAACGCTCAAGGTCGCAGAGGTATAGGGAATCCCAGCGATAGCAACGGAACGATTCTAATATCATGGGGAACTCCGTTCCCATGACAAAAAAGTATACAGTCGGGCTATAGTTCCTATCGCCGGGCTTTACACTTTATCGCCATTGGCTGTAAAAGGCTATAAGAAATTGTGTAGAAATTCGTGCGCTTTGGAAATCATTAAGTTTGATACGGAACTACCTTAATATTTACAAAACACACATTATATTTTCCTTCAAAACATATTCTTTTTTCATCAATTAAAATGAGAATAGTCCATACAGAGTGTGGAGACATTTCAAAATCATGAGTTGCTACACGAAGCGATAAAAAATTAAACAGCCGGGCTATAGCTCCTGTCGCCGGGCTTTACCTTCTATCGCCTGGCTGTTGCTTTTTCGCCATCGGCTATAAAAGGCTATAAGAAATTGTGTAGAAATTCGTGTGCTTTGTAAATCCTTAAGTTTGTACCGAATCACCTTATTATTTACAAAACGCACATTATATTTTCCTTTAATACATATTTGTTTTCATCAATTAAAATGAGAATAATCCATACAGAGTGTGCAAACATTTCAAAGTCATGAGTTGAACAACGCTGACTCCACGAGATTAAATATTAGAGCCTAACACAAAGCGGAGCGGCGGCGCACTGGCGCCTACAAACCTAACAGGGATACTTCACGCATTGCGCAATGCGTGAAGTATCCCTGTTAGGTTTGTAGGCGCTGCCCGCCCGCTGCGCCGCGGCGCAGCGTACCACGGCGCTTGAAGCAACTATTCCACACCAGAGGTATTGCACAGTATCGTACGGAATTGAAGGCGCTCCAATATATTAGGAACGGCAGGCATCCTTCAAAATTACGGAGCTTTCCTCGCAAAATAAATCAAGATACTACGGCCCAAAAAGAGAGCGGTAATCCAAAAACTCACTAAGTCCTAGCATCCGTAATTAGTAACGTTTAGCATACACTTTATCGTCAGGCTGTTGCTTAATCGCCATCGGCTGTAAAAGGCTATAAGAAATTGTGATGCCGGCTATTGAAGCTATTGGAAATCTTACAGTCAGCTGTAGGTCTATGGTATTTTGGAACACAGATTCTACTGTCAATTTTTACAAGGGCCCTTCGGTATATATCGAAGTACTTCAGATGTGTGACCCGAACTTCGGCAGCTGGACCTCAAGTTTTTAGATACGTGATCCGAAAACTTCAGAGATCCATATGTTCTCAACTTCGGGTCTCACGCACGAAGTTTTTTTCTCCGTGTGTCCATCAGTATCCCCCACAATTCCTCGTTAAGCTGAGAAGAATTTATAATCAATGCGTCAAAGTAACTCATGGCGCTAGGTGTAATTTGTCCCGATGAAATGCATTTTGTCGTAACATCGAGAGAAATTTCATTACATCAGGATAACACTCGTTTTCACAACTAAAATTCACGCGGTTCTTTAACTTGCGTCCGTGTTCCAATGAGCTTAACTCTCAGTCCACCTAGATATTGCCAAGACAACTGATTTCTTTATTGCAATAAATCTGATTTTCTCCATGCACATACAATGTACACGCGGAAGAATCGTTCAGACAATGCACCATAGTCAATTTTACATTCATTACATCCTATGTTTGTGTAAATTTCCAGAATCCAACTATTCGTGCTCCATCAATGTGCGTGTTGCATATCTGTGAGACTGAAGGCGTTTTGGTTTCTTTGCACATGTAGCGATGCCACGACGAGCTGTCTGGCGTTCCATCATGAGTTTTCGACGAAGTTTTTCTTCGCAAAGCAGGAATGTTAGACTGTTACTGAATTAGAAAAAAAAAATGTATTTTGCTGAGTTATGAACAGAGAAAATATATCTTAGAGACTTTGCACTAGTGCTTCTCATATAGTCCACTTTACGCGCCGAAAATGGGAGCTACGGACTGACTGTTAAATCGTTATCAAATGACCTTCATCGATAAATCCCACTTTTAGCAGTTTGGATTACATTTTGCAATAAGGAGCCACTATTTCTGGCCCATTTTAGAAACAACATACAAATCATTAGTTTCCCGATGCATATATGTGCTTGTTTGGGAGAGCCAGAAATGGTGGTTCCATATTGCAAAATGTAATCCATTTATCGACCAAGTTCATTCGATATCGACCAACAATCGGCTCGCTGGATGGGCGGTTAGTGGAACGGTTTGAAATCAGCAGGATGGTGAATTTTCAGCCACCAATTCAGGCTTCATCGCCCACATATTAAAATTTAGGCACATAATGAAAGTCAAATTTTGCACCTGATAAGCAGTTCGCTGCCGGCTGATGATGGGGCCATCTTGACCCTGAAACGCGTCCCAAATAAAGTAACATGGCGCAAGTGAGTTCGCGATTTGTATAATTTTTTATAAAATTGTCTTGTGACTGTCCCCCACCAAAGTTTCTTTAATTTTTAATCTGCGTAGGGCTTAGTGGGGGGGGGGGCGCACATCTAAGAAAGGTATTGTAAAACATAATTTGAAATCGTTTAAATAAGTGTATTCATAGTCTAAATGATAATTGAGTCCGTTCGATTTCAAAAATCAATGTTAGGTACTGTTCTTTCTCCGTTTTTGTTAAAATCACTTCTCTTCATTTGTATTTATTTGTTTAAAAAAATCGAGGTTGAAGTTGATTGTATGTGTTATGGTTTTGCAGGTAGCAAACTATCGGAGACAGACAAGAAAGCTGTGTTGGACAAATGTTCGGCAGTGCTTACCTGGTTGGACACAAACTCATTGGCAGAGAAGGAGGAGTACGAAGAAAAACTTAAGGACCTGCAGAAGGATTGCGCTCCGGTCATGACCAAACTTCATCAGCAAGGAGGCAAAGGTCCCACCGTCGAAGAGGTCGATTAAATATTTAGGGTAAAGGAAAAATGCAACCTCAACTCTGCGGACTTAACACTTAAGAGAAAGAATAAATCTACAAAAAAGAGCGGGTGAATTTTGCGATTAGAGGGAAAAGGCAAGAGCAATAAACAATGTAGTGCGTTGTAAAACGCTTGAAAAACGGGTAGATTTTGTTGACTTTGAGAAAATCTTTGTTCTATATATTGTGTCTGAATTTAATAGACTTACAACTGAACCGTTCAAATTGAAGTCAAATTTCCTATTTTCATTGGAAAAATAGAGATGTGTTCACTTAAAATTCACGCTTAAAACATAATGTATCAAGGGGTTAACGGCAACCTCTCATATACATATAACTCGGTCAATATTGCTCGTAATGTTCCTTGCTAAATAATTATCGGTTAAATGCATTACCTTAAAGCTTGCACGTATGTCCCTATTAAGTGTTGAGTTAGGTTGAATTGAAGTTTGTAATTGTATTTTCCACATGCAATATATGGTAAAAAAATTGAAACTTGAAAGGACTTGCAACTTTCTGAGAACAGATAAACTTTTTCTACAAGTAGATAAACAAGTTTCGAACATAATGGTCACAGTGAAACCCATGTCGGGGACGTATTTTGTCTTTCAATATTTTCATCGTTACCAGTTTGTATATTCATCGTTTCTCTGAAAATGTTGGGTGAATGTGATTTGTTTCTTTTTTTTTTAAAAAAAAGTGAACGATTGAAAATATGAAACTGTAAATAAGAATATAATTGTAAACATTTTTGCCCTCGATGAATCATGAGTGTAAAAAGTAACCTCTTCATTCTGTTACCTTTTCAAATTCTAATATTAACTTATTTTAAGTTGATTCATAAATTTAAAAAAAAAGAGTTAGAACCATAGGCCCAATACAAATTGCTGCATCAGTGTAGCTTTTGAGAGAGTTTCCACTCAATACAATGCATAAGGAGACAATTTTAATTTTAATGTGTTTGCATTGCCACATTATTACGTAAAATTCATATTTAAGGGCCCATAAAGATGCTAGTTTCGTAATTGAAAAATTGCATACTGGCCCAACGCTCACCCGCGTACTAACACCCCCAATTTCATTTTTCCGCTTTCCAAAGCACAGATTAACTGATAACTCATCGAAGCTCAAAGTTTGTAAAAAAAACTAGGTTCTTTAATGTTTTGTTAAGGAGCTTGATTTTAAATGGTTATTTGCTCCTGGGTTCGGACGCAGTCTTGCTTTGAAGGGACTGCTCAGAACTTCCTGATCACAAATCATTGTAGCCCGCAAGCAGACTACTACTGCTGCAGTGCAGTGGGCTTGCTTGCCCTCTATAGACTGATTTAGTGACTACGTCATTCGCTATAATATCGAACTCTTGGTTCAAACCAAAACAAACTAACAAAACCTCATGTGCGAATTCTTCATGAGTTACTTGTGTTAATTTATTTATATGTAGTCATTAATCGGCCATAAATCAATTAGAGACTCATTAAATACGAGAGCTTACGATTGTAAAAAACACTTGGACGCATTTTACCACCATTCTGCAAAGGGCGCGAATCAGAAACAAGGTTCTGTGTTTCTTTAAATTTGAACCAAGGGTTCGATATTATATCGAATGACGTAGCCACTAAATCAGTCTATTGCAGGGTAGTGATTCATGAGCTCTAAAAAAGTCGAACTGCATTTATGATGTTTGTTTATATCTAACTGTTAATTGTTAAATTATTATTTATTTTTCCAAAATAAGAGTAAGTTTTAACAAAGTTGTCTTTTGAGCGTCTGTTGTTATCACCCTTATGTACACCACAGTCACATGCATGTGGTGAAATATTCTGAACTCTGGTTGAGTGTAAGGTGAGGGAGGGGGGAGTCTGCCTCCCCCGGTTTCACCTCTCTGGGAAAACGGTTTGAAAGAGAATATTATCTTTTGGACTCCATTTTCTTCAAAATTTCGCTGTTTGTTGACGCAATTTTTTGGAAATACTGATAAATTTTCGAAAAGAATTTCCGCTAGTTTTCAAGTTATAACCTCTAGATACCCAAACCAGGTCAAATTGATACGAAGCTGGCTAAAAACACGTGCTCCGCGGGTTTTATGGGGCCGGTGCACAAGTGCTTTAGATTTGTTAACAAATACACCCTAAAAAAGGATCAGACTTCAAATTAGAAAAAAGAAAACAAAATTGAATTTCAGCACAGCCGACAAAAGAAAGATGTGATCGGTATTTGTTTTTCAACTTTTCTCCCAAATCAGAGAGACATACCCAATTGGCAGCATTACATGGAGCATCAGGTTTCGCACCATCGCGCCTTCAATTTTGTAGATGCAACACGGACATCCAGCAGGCAGGAATAGTTGTATCTCTGCGCCGTCATCAAACGCGCTACCTTTTCCTCGATCTATTTCCAAATTGTGTATGTTTGGGACCACCTTATTTGTAGGTAATGGTGTCTCAAGGGCTACCTGAGCAACATAGCAGAAGATAGGAGAGTTTTTACCTTTTCTCCCGAATCATAGCGGCACCTCATTGGCAGCACAGAGCGGAGCATTGCGAGTTCACGCCTCGCGTCATTGCGCCTTCAATTCCCTAGATGCGAAACGAACATCCTTATAGTTATCCTCAGTGCCGTCATTAATGCGTCTTGAGGTATCTCTTAATAATGTGTCCAAATCAATGATTATTTTTACATTTAAAAAAAAAAAAAAAAAAAAAAAAAAAAAAAAAAAAAAAAAAAAAAAAAAAAATGAGATCCTTCAAGCAATCTGAACGGAGCCCGTCTAAAAATTGGAATATTGTTGCGAGAGTTTGTTTTGTCTACCCCTTGGAATCCCGAGCCGGTTCAAATTGACCCGACTATCTCTTCTGGGGGAGTTACTATGGCAGATAAGGAAGGGGGGGGTAGAAAGCGACAGTATGTTACCAATAAGGTGAAAATTTCAAAAATAGCAATTCTTACCATAAAAAAATAGAAACAGCATAGATAATGCTTCCAAAACTGTCAAAATCAATGTACTTAATTACTAATTAAAGAGTGAAATTACGCTATCACTTGCCCAACAACCTTTGGAAAGATAGGCACATGTTGCGTTCGGGTGTCGCAGAGTACTAGAGTGTGCTACAGGAGTGACGCGTATGTATCTGTAGACGAATTTTGCTGTTTTAGTAGAATCTGTGCTTTAATTTAACTTAAATTATACGAATTTTAAAGGAAAATCGATTTCGAAAATTTAAGCGTCACGACTCTCTTCGGGAACACGGGTTTGCAGTCCACTTGTCTAACGTCTGTCTCTACACTGGAAAAAAAACACATTGGATCTAGAGTCCAGACTCTTGAAAGCATAGACAAGAAAAAATACTTTTGATTCAATCAGATTTAAGCTTAAATCGAAAGGAAATCCGCTCAAATTAAGAGGCTTGGTTCTTGATTTAAGCAAAAATCCGATTGAATCAAGAGTATTTTTTCTTGTCGATGTTTTTAAGAGTCTGGACTCCAGATCCAATGTGTTTTTTTCCAGTGTAGTATCCACGCAAAGAACGAACTTTGGCCAAAAAAGTCCACCCCCTCCATGGACGAGTCACGGATTCGCGAAGACTTCGGCTCTCACCGTCAGATCAGCGGAACGAGGCGCGAGTTCGGTGCCCGTGCCGCACGGAGCCTTTAATTACTGGCACGTCATTAATTCGTATGTTAAGAGCCGGGCTCTTAATTCATGCAGGGAAAACTGTTGAGTCAGTGAGTCGATCGGCGGCCTGTCTCCCGCGCTCAGCTGATCCCCGTTTCCGCGCCCGCGAAAAACAGTCAACATTGAGACGAACCGATTGTTTTGTTTCCGTGCCCGGCATCGCTTCTGGTCCTCGCTTACGCGACAGTTTTCGATTTTGAATCAGTCTCTCTAATCAGTGCGCCCATCAGTCAATCTTGTTCGCTCGTCATCGTTGCGGCTGAAGTGTGGTTTTTTTCTTTCGAACGCATGAAGTGCGCGAGGTTACGGAACTGAAGTGACAAAAACACGAAAAGCACAATTTTTAAACGGTAAAATTTACTCTCTGACTTTTAGGGTGCACAAAATTACGGAACAAAACTAACGCTAACACAAGCAGAATATAATTTACAATCCTCATGATACATTTTTTAGACGCATGAGTTAAGTAAGTGGCGGAAATAAACTAAGGCTGCCGTGAAATGCGCAATGGTATTTATTTTCGAATTCAGAAAATGAGTAAAACCCAAGAAACTAGAGATACTAAATACGCGGAGTGTTATTTTCAAAAGTATTAAGTGCGAAAAGTTACGAAACAAGATTAAATTTATGACTTAAATTGCAATTTTCCCGCGTACTATCTTATTTCAGTTCATGAGTAAAAAGCAAACATTTAACACCGAGAAAGACGTTCTAATGGGCTGATTATTGAAATTCATAGACAAAGCGATAAAAAAACGATAAAGGGAAAACGGAGCAATCCTATTGGTGGAAGTGGGTGGCTGCAATTGGCAAAGGCAATGTATTGGACTAACTAACGGCAACCCACGAGGGCACTTGCAGATAGTCCCACATTTTCCCTTTAGTCCATAATACTCACTCGTTTCATCCGGTGGCATTGTAACATTTTTCCTTTTACTATCGCTTCATCTATAAATTTCAACAATCAACCCGCTGTTGAATTTGTCGCGACAGGAATTCTTATTGAACCAATTGGAAATCTATTCAAAACGATAAGACATCTCTTTCCAAATAACAGGAATTCTGTTTGAAACCAGGAGATTCTCTGTGATTCGAACGAGAAATTACTGTCGTAGCATATTGTAGTAGGAGTCTTTGTCGACCTAAAAGAAAATGTATATCGATGTAAAAAATGAATCTGACTAGAACACGACAAGCACACTCTCTCTAATGCAGGCGTTTGTTTCTTTTCAAAATGCATACAGTGCAAAACAAAAGTGACTTAGCTCGGCACAAAAATTCTATGAGGAAAATACAGTGGTTTTTGTTTTCAATGTAGGCACATTTCAAATGGAGTACACAATGTATTAAACATTTGCAGTGGTTTAAATATTTTTTTTTTACAATACGCGCGAGTTAACTTCATCGTTAGGAGGGAGGCGAGATCACATGCGGGCAAAGTTTAGCGAAAGCGAGCCAAATGTTCAAGGAACAGGAGATGCACTCATTAATTGGTTGGCAGAATTCCCCAAAAGAGACAGTAAAAATCATTAAGTGTAAAGCAATTAAATTCCACTCTTGAGCAATCTTAAAGGAACCAACGGATCACCTAGTTACCTAATTCATAGCGCTTTAAACTGGCGTCTTTGCCCTCTTCACAAAGGAGAAACAACAAACACATGATATAATGAAAATAAACCTGAATAAATAGATAATTTTTTGACCAAAATCAGTTTCCTCATTGAAAGTTTTGAGAGCGGACAGCAAAAATATTATAAAATGTTGACCCAAAAATATCTCCCTTGTGAAATGAGAACTGGAACCTGGAACAACCGTTGATGAGCAGCTCACATTATTCCCGGAAAAGCCGATCACTTACGTGAAATGCTGCTCATGTCAATACTACTTTTTTAATTAAGAAGCGCCATTTCTATAGCGTATCTGTAAACGCATATATTTACATTGAAAAACTAATGCCACATGCGTTATTTCTAAAATAAACAGGAAACAAGTTGGATTTTGCAATCGCTAGCGATAGCAATATTCGTCATGGGAACGTTAGCTTCTGGGATATGAAAATGTTAAGGTACAGTTCGTTTGTAGTATCTTCTGAATTGAAGGGGCTATGTAATTTTGTGTTGACATCTCTTTTTTAACATTTTTAATTATTTTCTTTGCATACAAGAAAGCTGTTATGTACCAATTATTTATTTTCGTTGGATTATATATGGTTTTCGGAAGTTAACGCATTTAAGTTTCAGGTTCGCTTTTTCGGCGTAAAGTGTACATAAGGTGTCCCAAAAGCACCGGGACTTGTTCTGTAACTTCGAAAGTAAGATAGATACAGACATGATCTTGATTTCATTTTAAAGATCAACTCAATACCTATCGATTAAAACCAAGATCAGCTCAATCGGATAAAAATTGACCGAGTTATGGCAATTTGAAATCAGCGAGGAAAGTTTACGCCTACGGTTTTTAAGGAAGATTCTTCATCGCCGTAAATCGAAAAGTCGGCCGATAAAGTGATGCTTATTGTGTTTTTTTATTTTCGAGGTGTCATTTATCAACATTTTGTACCATCAAACACAACAGTTGACAGTGCGTATTATTGCAAAGTACTAAAGGAGTTGAGAATGCACATTTCCCGGAAACGGTCGGACTTGAAAGCTTCGTGGATACTCCATCAAGACAATGCGCGGCCTCACACATCGAGCTTAACACGTGAATTTATGAGTAAAAATGGAGTTGAAACAATCCCTCATCCCCCTTATAGCCCTGACTTGGCTCCATGTGATTTTTGGATGTTTCCCACGCTTAAAAAGGAGCTTCGCGGACGAAGATTCGTATCGAAGACCGAAATCCAGAATGCAATTCAAAACTTCTTCAACTCCATCCCAGAGGAAGAATTCAGGAAAACAATGTTGGATAAGTGGCAAGAGCGCATGAAAAAGTGCATCCGGTTTGATGGACGGTACTTTGAAAAGCAAAAGGAAGTTATGGAAGATTCGGAGGAAAGTGGATACGAATATTAACTTTTTGAATCCTGGTAAGCGAAAAATCTTCCTAAAAACCGTAGGGGTAAACTTTCCTCACTAATTTCAAATTGTCATAACTCGGTCAATTTTTATTCGATTGAGCTGATCTTGGTTTTAATCGATAGGTATTGAGTTGATCTTTAAAATGAGACCAAAATCATGTCTGTATCTATCTTACTTTTGAAGTTACAGAACCAGTCCCGGTACTTTTGGGACACCCTACGTATGATATTTTTACTCTACACATATGCCCGAATACGCATCATAAGGGACCTATGTGCTTCCTAAGTTGCCAAGTATTAATTATTGTTAGATGATTGGTCTAAAACATTCAATACAACCAGTAAAAATTAACTGTCCCCTGCGAGATTCGAACCCCCGCTCGCACAAAAAGTGTCACTCTCCCAGAGGCAAAACGGTAACGCAGCCAGTTGAGCTATTTCGCTGTTCAGATATGCATGGAGAAAAAGAGAACACTTAAGTGATCTCGGACGCTGAGCGGGGCTTCACAAAAGACGTCCTTGAGATTTCAACAGTTCGGCCACTGGCGTCATAAGAGACAACGGATTAACCGCATTACTCTGTGAGACATTGTTTACCTATGCTGTCATATGTCACAAGGTTCATCTCACCATGCATTTGCGATCGCGGCAGTAAGCTGAGGCAATATTTCTGTATTCATGGATTAAATCCATCAATCGAGTTCTGATTTTGGCTCATATATCCGTAACGGGTCCTCCAGAGCAATTTTCCACCTTGTACGATGGTTATTATTTCTTTATATCTATGTTTAAAATTTGAGGTGGGATAATGGCGGCTTCTCAAGAGCAACGAGGTAGGCGATCTTTTGCACCAACGAACAGAAAACTGATGGCGAAAAATAACCAATCAGAACCTCCCAAAAAAAAGAATTTGCCTAAAAACGGAACTTCGTGGTTCTGCGCAGATTTACCAGTCAGACACGACATCTCCAGGTGGCAAAAAACTCGCTGAAAGCGAATTTTAGCAATCAACACAACTTGACGTAGAGACATGATTGGCTAAAAAATACAACGGTTTTTGATACATCGGAAAATCAACCAAAAATCGGAGACTGGGCGAAACGCTCAAGGTCGCAGAGGTATAGGGAATTCCACAGCGAAAGCAACGGAACGATTCTAATATCATGGGGAACTCCGTTCCCATGACAATAGTAGTTCCTTATTGCAGATTGTGCCCCACGTGTGGAACTTGTTGTTATGAAGAGAGCATATAACGTCACATTCCGGCCAAAGTATCACCATGTAACTTTTCAAAATTTTCCCCGCCATTTGATTTGTTTTACAGAAGAATTGTTGGTTGAATTTGTCGGAAAATGTCACTGAATTTTATCGACATCACGAAGAAAATTCAGTGAAATTTTCGGACAGCTTCGTTGAACGTTTTCTCTGTAAACAAATAAAGTGGCGGACATTTTGAAACGTCGCATGGAGCTTGTGATACTTTGGCCGGAAGGTCACGATACGTAAAGGAGCCAGGATACGTTAAGCATGTTTACTAAAGTAAACATGCTTAAGGCTTAAGCTTGGGCTACGATATGCATCATGCTAATCGAAAGCTACCGATTGTTTCAATCCACCTGTTGAGTGTAGTAATTGTAGGATACACAGACTTTATTCTCGGCCGTAGCGGAAATTTCATATCAGAGCTAAAAATTATCCTCTATTCCACAATTTTTCTCCCATGTATAGATCTGTGCCCCGCAGTTTGAGGAAGTTCGTCATTCGTCTGCGTAATTTTTAGAATATTTTAAGTGACTGAATTGATTGATTCTCATTGTGCGAAATAGAAAGTGAATGACAATTTTAAAACGTCGCGGTCATGATGCGTGATTTTTCTGTGCCGTCCAAAAAAGTTTATGTGTGACTGGTGGAACGTACCCACTCCTTTTGGAGGGCTTAATCTTAATCTGATGAGTAATTCATCGGTGAAATGATTCTACGCAATTTGTGTCAACGAACGCTGCCGCTCGGAACTTTGCAACTACAGGAACATCGTACAGTTTGCTGAGGAGAACCTGCGGAAATTGCAGAAAAAGACGAATCATAAAATTGAATTTTCTGTTGGCGTTAAATCAAAGGTAACGTTTATTCATTTTTCCCTTCTAGGCATTATACTAGTGTACACTACTAGGTACTCAAATTGACAAAATTAAGTATAATAATGAATCAGGTTTTTTTTCTTCTTTGTTCAAGTATCATTTGGACGTATTTCTATCAAACGGAACTATGTGCATTAAGACATGAGCTCTGAGACCCATAAGAATACATGCATAACAGGGCTCACGCCATAATGCACGTAGTTCCGTTTGATAGAAATGAGTCCACGTTAGGAACAGAGAGCCAGAGAACATACCGTGAACACGTTCAGTGAATTTCTCGTAGCCCATAAGGAATACTCTCACAAAAGTAAAAGTCTGAATGTTACGTGTAGTTTTCTGTCAAAAAAATAGGAAAAAATATGAAAAGACATTAACTACGTCTAATATAGTTCGATTGATGTTGGTGAAATTCGTCCATATTTGCAGTGAAAGTATACAAAATCTTGCGTAGAGCGAGGTTCCTTCTGCTGTGGATCGTAGTATAATACCGTCCTCCGAAAAAACTCATCAGAGAATTTGAATCTTGCAAAATTTTTCGTAATGAAAAAAGGATTTTCGAAGTACTTGTGAATTTTGCCGATTAATTCATCAATAAAGGTTCACAATTCAGGGGCTTGGAGGACACGAGGCGCATAAGTGCAGGTTTTGCTATTTGGAGAAATACGAGTTTGATGTTTTGAAATTACATGGATCCTTTTGGCGGAAAGAAAGTTCAAACTGGCTTTTTGACGCTAAAAATCGAAATTTTGGAGCGAATTTTTCTCAAAATATGCATTAAAATTAGTTTTACTTGAAATCACTATCATCTCGATTTTTTCAAAACCTGCACTTACGCGCTTTGTTCTCCAGGCTTCTCAATTATTCAGGCTGACGCAAGTACAACTTTCAAGATATAATATTCATCACTATTCTGATAAACAAGGTGGAGAAATGGTGCTGGGTCCAAACCATTTCGCGGGGGAACAAAGCCAAGAAATTCCAAAAATTAAAATTAGAGTCAATATTACCTTGTTACATACAGTTTGGGTTCTTAGTGTTTTTTTTTTTTTTTTTTTTTTTTTTTTTTATATTCTGATAAATAAATATGTATTGAGGAAAGTGGACTTTTGAGTGTCCACATCGTCGCTCCTCTGACGTAAGGGCGTAATCTCGATTTCCACGAGAGCCTTGTTTTACATATAGGTTCATGCTTTCTGGGGTTCACGTGGAAATCGAGGTACGCCTTTAAGCCAGAGGAGCGAAGATATGACGTGCCTCCTCAGCATGACGAAGTACTGCTTCGGAATCAACGAGGCTGCGCCAATCCAGTGAAAATTGAGTAAGGTCAAATTTGCGCCATTATTTATAAACAAATCTGCTCGATTCACTCACCTTATAAAACAGCAGACAAGGTCAACGGACTCGCTATTTGGTACTTTACTCATTTTCTCTTTTGATAATCGTCTTCATTCCAATCTTTCTGAATCCCCGAACTTTCTTCATCTCGAATGCACATTAGGTACTCAAAATTATCACATTGAGATGCAAATGTGCGACTTTTGTTGACAAAGTCATTATTAACGCTACCACAAAATCAACTCAGACGGAACTATCACTTTTTCGGCGGGGGGAAAAATCGTAGAAAACTGAAATCCTGATTTTGTCACACAACCGGAAGCAGTTGAACCTTTGATATTTGCCCTCTTTTATTTAGCGGATTTATCCTTCTCGCGGAGGCTTACAATATAAGAGACAACATATTAGCGATATTACATAACCCTATAATTTGATAGACTCAGATTTCTTTGACCTAAGGCTAGTTTTAAATGGACGGAATTAGGGGCACACGTAAAAAGGGACTTTAGAAAAAACACATGCACAATAGCTTAGGAATCATATCGTGCGTGTATGTGGGACGCATTAGAAATCAGACAGAGGAAAAGAAGAAGGAGAAGGAGAAAAAAAAGGAGAAGATGAGAGGATGAAGAGGAAAAAGAATTTCCACCCGACATATTATGAGTCTGAAGCTATATTGCATATAATTATGAGTTGATTTCAAAACTCCTCAAGTAAATGTGACCAATGGTAATCCATCCATTTTGCCAACGTTCATCCAAGACACACTGAGTCTCGAACTCTCAAGTCTAACAAATCCGAATCTTGTACTAGGATATAAATGGTTGATGAAGATACAATCATGGAGGAAATCTGTATGGGTCAGTGCTTTCTGTTTCTCACAGCCACTTTATGAATCCGCACATTACCTACCTGTTCGAAAATTACCGAAACTCATGCATAATAGAAAGGGAATTATCGGTGATGGACGAATTATCCTGAATAGATCTTAGCTACATTTATCGGCTCTCTGCTTTGCCGCAAGTCTTCCAGTTCTTGTATAATGGGCTAATTTAGTGATCCTCAATTGATGAAGTGAGCGAAAATCAAGGCTTTTTCATTGGGAGCTTGCAGTATGCATGGAGCCACGGTTTCACAGAGCGAGAGCGCGACGCGAAGTTGTTCTGCAAATCAACTTCTCGACTGAATGCAATGATTTTATGCCTGTCAGGTGCCACTTACAATGAAAAGGCGATTCACGTCGCCAATGTCTGTGGCAAAGGAAAAATTGAAAATAATTGCACCCGGTCGCTCAATTTTGCCGCGCAGTCGACTTCGCGTCGCGCCGTGTCTGTGGAGCCGTGCCTTGAGAGTTTCCGTTGAGAGCGTGAATACATCTTTACCGCAATTTATGATGGACATGTGATCTCGATTCTTTTGTTCCTTTCCGGAACTTAGCGGCAGTCTGTATCCATTGTGATGGAGATGAAATAATTTAACCGATGAATCAAATATTTCCTCGGTTTCAAAAGAAACTAGACGGATAAAATTTTTGATTTTTCCCAAATCAATTTTGAATGTTAAAAAGTACCATCCAAACGTTTTGAAGAAAAATCATGAAAAAGTTCTAAGCACCATTAGGTACTGCTACCATTGTGCATGTTGTTCTTAAAGTGCTGAAAATGACTTGGTTTTTGCCGGGCTAAAGAAGGACGCCACATAATCATTTGAAGTAGAAAATAAAAATTATGGAGGCCTTCAAAATGTGAATTTCTGGAGGAGGGGGGATGTCGGGTGTATAGAATTTTTTTTTTTTAATTTGTCAGAAAAATTATTTTGAAAATTAATTTAGAGTGACTGGAGGATTTGAGGGAAAAAATCATAAAATTCCTCTCAGTCAAATAGTTTATCAATTATAAGAAGGGCAATAAATATACGAAATTAATAAAAAAAAAAAAAAAATTCAAAGACAAAAGAAGCAATTTTTACAATAATGTTAATCTTTGAGCCTACAGGAAGAGGAAAAACAGAAATTGAATAAAGATACACATAGTGCGAATTTACAATGTGACACGTTAATCAGACACTTAATGAGGGAGTGCTGAAAATAACTTGGTTTTTGCCGGGCTAAGAAAGGACGCCACATAAACATATGATGTAGAAAATAAAAATTATGGAGGCCTATAAAATGTGAATTTCCGGAGGAGGGGGATGTCGGGCTTAGAGAATTTTTTTCTGAAATTGTCAGAAAAATTACTTCGAAAATTAATTTAGAGTGACTGAAGGATTTGAGGGAAAAATCATAAAATACCTCTCAATTAAGTATTTTATCAATTATAAGAAGGGCAGTAAATATACGAAATTAAAAAAAAAAATTATCAAAGACAAAAGAGGCAATTTTTACAATAATGTTAATCTTTGAGCCTACAGGAAGAGAAAAAACAGAAACTGAATAAAGATACATATTGTGCGAATTTACAATGTGACACGTTAATCAGACACTTAATGAGGGAGGATATATGACAATGATCTTCATTAAAGCATTCTCACGATTAGCGCGTGTTGTGCACAGAGCCGTCCAGCACTAGCAAATAGCATAATGCATAAATTTAGATTCGATGTAATTGAGTAGGCAGATACATCTATACGCACGCTTCAAATATTGTTGGATACAATGTTATTCTAAGGAGCTATTAAATCTATTAAAAATTAGTGTGTGCCATGCGATGTAATTTAGAAGGAATCATTGCGTTCGCGTCACAGACTCATCCGCAAATTATTGATGATGCGTCGATCAGAAGCACTGAGATAATGTAGTATGGAAATGAAGTATGGAGATAATAGTAGGACAAGTAATACTTTTTAATAATAAGGAAGCGAGGTGTCCAATTTGAATAATTATGATTTTCTAAGGAGACCAGAAAAAACTTTCGTTTTCGGTTTACACCTGTTTGAACTGTCAATAAAAGAATGCGAATATTTGCCTGTTACTAATGAAGTATTCCTCAAGAGCTTAGGCTTGGCATTTGACCACATCGCATTAGTCCTTCCTAAGTTTATGACCACATCAATGACACGAACAATTCATAGATATTCTTCATTGTCAGTGGAAATTCGGCAACCTGAAATGAGGCGAAAGCCGGCCTAAAAATGATCGCAGTTGTTGCAAAGATCAACGAACGTCCGAGGATTACCGGGGTCATTCATTTTGTGTAGGAGACAGGAAGAGTCAGGGAACAGTGACCGTTGGATTGGAATATACAGGGTAGTGTGCACGTATGGTCTCACTTGATAGCGTTGATGTCGAGGGTTGCTTATCTGATTGTCGAAGCACAACGTTTAGGGATGCTAGTATTGCTAGTGCTCTAACGAGTATTGAGTATGAGTGTCGAAGAAGATGCATCAATACCGATTCCAAAGTATGGGGGGAAAAGAAGGATCAACACCACTCGATTAAGCGTTTGCCGGAGCTGAACACCCTTCCCCCCTCCCCCCAGTATTGCACTAAAAATTATTTGAGTTCAAATTTTTGAATCTAGTGCAATTTTTTTAAATGTTAGGCCTTGATTTCTCCGCAAAGTACGAGGTAGGCCCAGTCCTACTCTACCATCCTGTTACAAAAGCATACTCGTATAACGGAGAAGACAATTTATTAATCGAAACTACTGAAAATCAGAACCACTCCACACCAAAAATTTTGTGCAAAACTTAAACAATGACACTAACTCGCGCATCATTTCAGGGCACTCGTCGATGAGATAGTGATAATCGTTTCAAAAGCAAAATAAATCTCGGTAGTGTAATTTTCTGCAGTTACTTTTTATGCTACTCATTAACCACTTTTTATATTTTTAATTGCCAATCCTCATAATTGTTTGAATTTTCCGCTCCGCATCGACGATTTTCCATTGCTAAGACTCGGGTGCAATAATCCAGAAAATGCAGCTCCGACTTTTCCGAGTTTGATATAAACTAGGAAGAGGAGGCGCGGGGATGACGCAAAAAAACGCCCTCCCTCGCCGCTCGCGCCACTTTTCCTAGGAATAAAAGATGGACATCATTAAAAGTTTGGTGATGATAAAAAAAGTATTATGCTCGGCTTCACCCGCTAATAAACGGCAAAGAGAAGTGCAAGCACCTACCGTTTTATGGTTACTCAGACAAAAGATATGAGCCCGACCACGTCCAATGACCTCCGAATGACGTGTGATAATCCAAGCTTATATGTACTCATGTGTAATGACTTGACCCAATGGGGAGAGGCGTTTTCACGAGTCTGAGAAAAATAGCCACGCTGAAAGAAGGTTTTGTTAGACGGTGATATGAGCAAATCATGAAGGATATAGGCAAAAAGGGGCAAGGGGCCCTTTCCCTTTCTTAGCTCTCTTAGTTTGTGCCAAAAAACTTATTGAATGGAGATGTTGCATGTGTGAGGAATTTGCGATTTGACTATTGATTCTTTTGTAAAATTTCGCGAGAAACACGATGGTGCCACTGGTTTTCTCTGAAATCAACTCTCAAGCTCAAAAAAAGCTCTCAAGTTGAGGCCAAAATGGAGGGGATATCCCACCCTACCCTGAAAGTCCACGTCTACATCAAGACAAACTCTCCTCGCAAAGATAGGGAGCAAATACATTCGCAGTGATGCCATGTTTTCAGTTTTAGAGTCCCCAAATAAAGTGGCAGCCCTGTCAATGTATTTGCTCCCTATCTTTGCATGGAGAGTTTGTCTTGATGTAGAGGTGGACTCTCAGGATAGGGTGGGATATCCCCTCCATTGGCCTCAACTTGCGAGATTTTCTTGAGCTTGGGAGTTGATTTCAGGGAAAACCAGTGGCACCATCGTGTTTTTCGCTAAATTTTACCTAAGAATCAATAGTCAAATCGCAAATTCCTCACACTTGCAACATCTCCATTCAGTTTAAAGGGGTTGCTATTTTAGATTTTTTCGAAAAAGCTCTCCTGGTCACTGAACCCACTTCTAGTGGGTGACTCCACCACTGACCCTCCATTCTCTGGGTGCATGCACTATAAGGGTGCGTAGACTGCGCCTAACTAAGGACCCAAACATCCAAAATCTGGCTTTGAACGCAAATATAATGAAGTAGATTTTTCGAGTTTTCGTTGATTGATTAATTGAATAGTTGTTGATCCTTAATCCCTTGACTCATTTCTGTCGCAGGCGGAGGGAAAGGATGACGGTAATCAGCAAGCTGGAGTTCGAGGCGGCGATGGCCGGGCGCACTTGTGCTGACGTCATGCACCCCTGGCACCCTCAGTGCGGCCCCGCGGCTCGCATGATCTTCGCCTCCACCGCCATCGGCTTCAACAAGTTCATGCTCGGCCTCTATCTCGTAAGTATTTCCGAGCCACACTCTGGTTCCATACTCCCACTTATTATTTTCCTAAGGAGCGATCAGAAAATGCGTAAAGCTAAATTTCTGATTTTTCGACTCCCCCTCTCCTTCCTCTATCCTGCACTGGAAAAAAAACACATTGGATCTAGAGTCCAGACTCTTGAAAACATTGACAAGAAAAAATACTCTGGATCCAATCGAAATTTTGCTTGAATCAAAATGGAATCTGCTGAAATCAAGAGGCTTGGTTCTTGATTTAAGCTAGATTCTGATGGAATCAAGAGTACTTTTTCTTGTCGATGTTTTTAAGAGTCTGAACTAGAGATCCAATGTGTTTTTTTTTTCTAGTGTGGGGTGGACTGTCGTCGAAAAAATTACCAGGAATACCGGTCCACTTGAGCTTAGATCGGTCTTTTTTAGTCGTTTTTTGTCGTGTGAGCGGGGCAAAGCGGCCCATAAGCACTTACATATAGAAAAACCGATCGACCGTGATTTTTCCTGGTGGCCTTCGAAGACCGGTAACGTTGTAATAAATTTAAACGATCGATGCATTTTTCGAGAAATTGATAAAAGTCAGTAATACCTTACTTCATCAGCATAACAAGCGACGCTGAAATTAAGTTACGGTATAAGTGCAACAGGATAGGCGGCCTTCATTAGGACAAATAATAGACATCAAACGGATTTCATTATAACGCCTGGATGCGACTGTTCGGTCTTCACGGATCTCCGTGTTGCATAGGTTTCAGGACATTCCGTCAATGATTTTTGCCCGCTCACCTGTTTTGTCCAGCAGTTTACGCGTAAGATAAGCAATAGTGACTTGGTCCAAGCTTTATATTGTAGTCCGTATGTAAAATTGTAGTGACAATATCGAAATGAGAAAATTGAGAGAGGAGGAGGTGTTGTTATGGTAACTTAGTTTTTAAATGAAAGGTTACTTTCTTCTTTTGATTCATCTGTTCAAACTTTCATTGGTGAATATTTGGTTTTATTTCTTTCCTTAAAATTTTCGACACAAAATAGACCTTTTTCATCCTTTTTCTCTGTCTTCTTCTTCTTTTTGATAAAAATATTACTCCATTTTAAAAACATTTAAATTTTTAAAATCTGGCAAATATTTGTAGAACCTTTTCCAAGCGACGGCATCGATATTACTCTTGAAAGGAACTTTATAAAAATGAATAAAACGGGGAAAACCAAGAAGCACGCAATCTTCGGTTTTAACCCATTTCTACGTCGATCTTTTAGAGTCAAATAAGTCCAATTTTGAGAGTTTGGTCGCGCGTACACCACGCTGTAGCACAGTAAAAGCACAAAATATAAAAGAAAAAATTAACGTTCTTAGGAGATCATGAAGTTTGATGCGAAACTACCTTAATATTTATAAAACACACATCATATTTTCCTTTTATACATATCTTTTCCCATAAACTTAATTGAGAATAATCCATGCAGAGTGTGCAAACATTTCAAAATCATGAATTGTGAAACGTTGACTTCGCGAGTTTAAATATTCGAGCCATACGTAGAGCGAAGCGGCACGCGCACTGGCTCCTACAAACCTAACAGGATACTTCACGCATTGCGCAATGCGTGAAGTATCCCTGTTAGGTTTGTAGGCGCCAATGCGCGTGTCACGCTGATCGCCCTTGCCCGCCGCGCCATGGCGCGGCGCTTCAAGCAACTACTTCACAACAGAGGTGTTGCACAGTATCGCGTGGACGTAAACTACCAGAAAAAACAGGTGCGCAGACGAAAAATCGTTGACGAAATGTCCTATAACCGTTACATACACACGAAGATGAAGGCGCTTTGGCTCTCCAAACACTCACCGCTTCAACCGCGGCGGCGCGGCGCGGCGCGACAGCGCAGAGAGCGCTACCGTAGAAACGTAAATTAAAATGAAAATTATGACATAGGAAAATGTCATGTTATCACCACAATGGAACCACTTCAACTATTCACCTTTTTAATTCATTAATTGAGGTCAAGAGGAAAGCTTGTTACACATCCGCAGAATTAGATTCGTATAGAAATGGACAGGAAGATATTGAGGTCCCGTATCGGTATTACAACTTATACTCATACTCCGAGATGTCATAAACAAAGTTCGATTCATTCAACTTATCATAAGCGTGCAATAATTTTCAGTGGAAGAGGACAGACATTGTTGCCGAGACGTGCATAAAAAAAATTCAAGTATCGTATTTAATTCTCAACTGCCTGCTTGAGTCCAGATATAATTTTTATCTTTTTTTATATACCTAAATCTTCTTCCGTTTATATATTTTTAATGTTTGATATTTATGTCAAACCTAAGAGGATATACCAAGGTGAAACACGTATCTGCCTTAATGTTTAAACATATTTGACTTATTTTATTACTAAGAAGTATATTGAAGATAAATAAGGCTAATGAATGGATGGAAGATCCAATCCAAGTGAACTCAGGTTTAAAAATGATTTTCATGCGATTTTGATTTTTCAGTCCAAATCGCTATCTTTCTACAGTTTTTAAAATACAATAAAAACACCAGAAGCTGTGCCTCTTCATTTTCTTTCACCCTCAAACTATCTTCATTCTAGTGTGGCATATTGAGAGTAACCTTCAAAATAAAAACTGATAGAATTACTCCAAAACAAATTAAGGATTTATTGCCGAAGTACAGAAATGTAGACAAAATTAGAGATTAAGCAAAAAAAAAAAGATCAGCCAATAAATTATTTATATTCCATCTAACGGTATCGTTTCGTGAACCAGCAATCCCGAATATCTTGGCAATAATCAACTCAATTCTCGATTTTGATTTCTCCTCTGTAATATAGGACCTCTCAGCAACCCTCATTGATTCAATAAAAAAGATAGAAACTTATATGATTTTCCAAAATAATCTGACAACTATGCGGTATGATTTTGCAGTCAAAACAAACGATACGTCGCGACTTAAGAGCTTGAACCAGTCCTCATATTTTGAGTGTATTTGATGAATGGAGCTGGAACTACATTTTCCGAGTGTACGGTAAATTAAGTATCGTCGTTGCGCCTTGTGAGACTACGTATATTTTTCAGGATTGCATATAATTTCAGACCAAAAGCGCAAAGAGTTGTGTTCAAACAAAAACTACGAGGTTTCTTAAATAATGGTTTACGCACTGAGCGCTGAGAACCGACCGATTTCATTCAATCTTCCTTAAAAGAGCGCTCATAGCTTAAATTGTTTTTTCCCTTTTTTATTAGAAAAAAAAAATCAAAATATAGTGTGAACACATGCATGCACACTTTCATGACATCATGCGAGTATTTGCTAGAAATTATAGGAACATTTTTACTACGATAATACTACATACTTCTCTACTTTTTATAAGAATGGATTCCGAATTTTATGACCACTCTAAGATCTCAATAAAATACAAGTTGTGTGATGTGTGTGTAAATGAGCTCATTAGCGGATTAGGTAAGACTGCGGTGAGGCGAATCATCTGTCCTACCCTCCCCCCCCCCTAATTTTCGTTGTCTCTTTTCTTTCGCCTATTTACCTTAGTTAATCATTATTTTTCTTTTCGTCTAATATCCTTCCCTCAAAGAAAGGAAACCACTCGATGGAGAGAAAATTTAAAGATAAGAATATGAATGAAGGTGAAGATAACAGGTGTCCGTTGAAATTATTTTATTGGGTACACTCTCCGTCTATTTTTTTTTCAGCATGCTAATTCTAAAAGTTAACAATTAGATGATTTGTGACTATCACTCATTTTGACTTACAGTTCATTTTTAGGCAGCATTAATTTTAATAATTTCTAAAAACCAACTCTGAACGCCTAAGAAGATTCGGAAAGAAGTGCGGGGTATTTTGGGAGGTTTTTTAAAGTCTTCTCTTCCACCCCTCGGATATTTCGCCCTCATTTAATTGAAAAGTCGCCATTGGTCTCAGCGCCTCTCAGTTTTTTTAGATTTGGTCGAGTGGCAAAACTCAAAAGATCATGCCCTCGATGAAAGAGCGCCAATTGAGCGACCGATTTACCGGCTTCACTATATCGGCAGCACGCCGGCGCCGACATAAACCCACGATTTTACGATACCACGCTCATAAAGCAGCTCATTGACGAGCGACTTGCGTTCAAATCGGATCTCGGGCTCGGTTTAACGCAATAAGGCTCCCAAGCTTTTGTGTTGAAATGTCGGTCGTTTTCTGCTCAAGTTGGGGAATACCACAGCGCGCTCGTAGGAGTGTTCGTCGTTCCCGACCCGGGCGAAGTTCGGGACTCCACGGCGCATAATTCTTCCGTTTTTTAGACCTGCAACAGGCCCGAATTACTCTGGAAAGAAACCGGGAGGAGAGAATTACCTCACAGCGGACTCTTGACGACCTGTCGGCCGCCAGCCTTTCTTTGCTAAAAAACAAAGTCGTATGAACACTCAAGCGTTGCTATATTTTTTTGAAGTAAACATTTCATTTTGAAGAAAGTTGCAAGTATTTTATTTTGAAATTTTCAGATTTTTCAGATTAAACCGTGCACAAGATTCCGTGCAAAATGAAAAAAAAATTACAAAATCTCTAAAGCGAATTCCCCTTTTATCGATAGAAATTTGGCAACACTTGTGTTTCCATACGCTGTTTTCCTTCCAGGGCCGGGGCCGGAGATCCAATAAACCTCGTGACAAACGCACAAAAGTGTCGGGCGGGGCATTATCCCGACGTCACGTCACAGGATCCCGGGATTTGCGCCTAATGACGTCACGTCCACGCAACCGTGCACGCCAAAACCACTCATCTCTGTAAAGGGTTTGCATTGGAGTTGCGTGCTTCTTTCCTTTCGTGGAAACGTGGCGCCCTCGGATCGCCAGATGATTGCCAGATTTAGTGATAAAACCTGAATATTGTATGTTGTTACATGTAGGTAAAAAGAGTAATTTTTAACATGATCTGGCAACCAAGGGTGCTCCCCGAATTGAGCGCGTGTGAACCGCACACGGACCCTCGTGTCAAACTCCTCCAGCTCTCCCTCAGGGAAAACAGGAAGGAAGAACGGAGATCCTTGGAGGAAGGGCGACTCCCTTCTCTCAAAAATGCTTGACCCAGTGATTTCCTTCATGTACATCGATGGTGAAACATTAGGACAAATATCGGCAATCTGATCTGTCTTTCTTGTCCATTGCTTTGTCTATTAATGTCAATAATCAGTCCGCTGAGAACAAATAACATTTAGAATAGACCACTGGACAAGCATACATATCCATTATCCAAGCACGCAAAAAGCAAGAGGGATGGGGCAGGGTTCCCTTTCCTAAGGAAGGCTCAAGAAAAATTAATCTTTTTTTTTTTTTTTTTTTTTTTTTTTTTTTTCAATTTTGGTCATTTCAGCTCGACGTCCTTCTAAAATTGACGAGAGAAAAAGAACTAACGAAGGAGGAGATTATGTTCATCATAAAAAGTTATCTACGAACAGGCGTAGCTGCCCTATGGATAGCAACCACGTTCCTTGCATCAAACTGCATCTTCAGGTATAGTTGAAAAACTGGTACAATTACTTGTAGTCCACCTCCTAAATGGGCCAGTTGCGGTGGTTATAGAATCGTTTTTCGATGATTTAAGTTTACAGATTGGCAAGATTAATACGATCTGTTCAAACGCCAAGTTCCTTAGTTCAATATTAACGGAGATGTCGCTCATCGAAAAACCAGTGACGAGGTAAAAATGATAGATTCTCGATATTTCCCCATTTGAAGCTATGGTAAAGAATCGATCATTAAGGTGTTCGTTGCGAGCACCATGTATATCGATCCTTTTCCACAGGTTTAAATGGCAGATCACTCGATAAATCGCAAGACATGCCACGCCACTGAACACGGTGGAGGACATCCTGCGCCGTGTTTTTCGAAGAGCGATATCTTAGTAATAAAAGACGTCATAACTTGGCGTTTGAACAGATTCCGTTATTTTTTGGCTAATCTATATTAAACCATCTTTAAACCACTAAAAAACCCTCTGTGACTAGCGCGACTGACCCATCATGGAGAGTTGTCGAATAATTTGACCACGTGGCTAGTTTTTCTCTTTTTTACTAACGAAGACTCTTATTCTTCGTTTTTCTCTTATTCTTTTATTCCATAGTTTTATTAATCGTTTAAAAGAAATGCATTTTTTTTGCCTGATTAGGAGAGAACAGACAATCCTCTGAGATAAGCTTAATTCGTGAAGATATGATAAGTTGAGAATACCTAATATGAATTTGATCAAAATTTAATGTATCAAAGCTTCATTGGAATAGCACTACTAGCACTATAGTCAACCTCTTACAAAATTTTAGACCCAATCATTTTCATCAATTATATTTTCTTATTTCGATATCTAAAACTGGATTTTTTTTCCTTAACTATGAGTTACACAGTTTTTCCTTGTTTTCCAGGCGTTGGATGCCCTTCAACTACTACACAACCGTAAGCGTGCCAGCTTTTATTGGAGGACTGGGAATATCATTCGAATCCAAGCAGCGGATCGAATTCATTCTGTATACTTGGTTGAACATGGTGAGTTCCTTACCGAAAAACAACTTAATCGGCCCGAAACACTAATAAAGAAACAACTTAAAACGGGACTAAGGCCGCAAATAATAAAAAGAAACATATAAAATAATATAAGAAGCGCGGGACGTTTCGCAGGGATCACACCCGCAATTTCAACTGGCAAAAGAAGAATTTTCTTCTTATTTTATTTTATATGTTTCTTTTTATTATTTGCGGCCTTAGTCCCGTTTTAAGTTGTTTCCTCTTTACCGAACTATGCGAGGTCCCAAAAAAGGAGTTAAATGATTTAAAGATTTAAAGGGGAAAAACCGCGAATTTCAACAGTGCTTCAGTATCATCCGATGACTTGTCCACCTATTTCCTTGATCGTCCTGTTCTCAATGTAAGAGAAACTCCTTCAAACGCTGTTACGGCAACTTACGACACACTTGAGCAATTAAGCATAATTGTATGTAAACCGCGAAAGCCTTATTTAGTGCCTACTCTACAACATACTACTGAAACGGGTGATAAGCGGGCCATAATGATGTCTTGGATCTAAAGGTCAACAAAAAAATTATTTGATACTTTGATATGTTTTTCCATGCGTTTGCCTGCTTTCGCATTTACTATTTTAAAACAACAATCAGAGCACAATCGGAGATTTTTAAATGTTACAACGAAAGTATGCATTTTCCGACTTAACCATTGTGCACTTCGTTTTCCCTTACAATATGTTAACCTAATCGATGTCCGTAGTAAACCTCTAGTTGTGCAGAGGGGCTACGCCCCCTGACCATTTCGCAGTCCAAACCTTTTGAGCGCTTTGCGCCTTACATGTTATGCGTTACACGTTACTCTTATGATTTTATAATATTAAGTTATGTTTCAGCTCGTGGAAACAACATTTAACCATTTAGAGTACCTGAAAATTTGGAGAGTAAATGCAGTAAGTGGCACAGCTTTATTCATGTTAGCCAACGGTCTGGTTATGTATGAAATCAGGAGGTTAAAGTTGCAAGGTCGAACACCCACATTTTACTGGTAAGTTACTCTCGTTCAAACTACTGGAGACGATTACTTAGAATACCTTTATAGAAGAACTTGGACACTAAATTTTATGGAAACTCCTAGGAGCCAATAAAATAGAGGCGACTCAGGAATGGAGGGGGGGGGGGTTGTTGCTAAATTCTTCACGCTCAACACCTGCAGCACTTGTTGCCAAAGCGGCATACTAGGAGAATAGATCGAATAGACTTTTTCCACTTCACAAAGTCGGTTTCAAAGGTGAGTAGGAGCCTAGCTCCGTTATGTATCCAAGATATGACAAAAAAATGAAGTCTTATTTTCTACACTTTTCAATTATCAGTGTGCAACGGCGGTGGCAAATTTTTTGGTTCTTAGGAGCTTCATGTAGTCTTGGATGATCGAATCAATTAGAAATGAGTCGTCTCTAACTATAGAGGTACTTTAGAGACGATGGGCGGCCAGAGTTGATATTATGGATAGAATTAGCAAAAAATCTAAATTTAAAGCTCTGAAAAAAGACCGCGTGAAATAATTTAGGACTAGTAACATCTGTCACGTAGGGACGGATTTGAAATATAAACTCTGGTGTGTACATTAGTAGACGTGATTAGTGTCATTCCTCTATATCATACTGATCTCATATTATAGTTTCAATTCGATGTCTCATTTTACTGCTCTTTATTGTTTGTGAATTTTAATGATAAACTTGCTTTATTTCGCCGATCAAGATGAAAAAAAGTTTGAAAATTGACTGATTAATTTCTTTTGCGTGTCGTTTTTTCTTATTGACAAGTTACCATGCGTCCGCAGGTTTTTTTCACCTCCGTCTGTGCGGAATCAACAGGACATTCAAAACAATAACAGCAGCAGCACCACCAACAATAACTATAACTACAACAACAATAAAGGAGATAGCGTAAAATCGCCGATAGGTCCTTTCTGTCCTCACGAAGGGCCATGCATTGAGGAAGTCCGCAAAGTATGTAACCACATGTAACTATTGTAACTAGTAACTATTGTAACTATAGTAACTATTGTAACTATCGGAACCATCGTAATCATACACCTAACCATTTCTGTTGATCTGCGGGATGAGAAAACCACCAGACTGCATGGTTGATTCTGCATATCGTCAGATTCAAGAAGCTCCGTGTTTAGCAGCAAAAGTTGACTTCCGTAAGGTTTGGTTTTAATCCGAAGTATCATGTAGAAAAAATCTGCATTCGTAATGAAAGTAAAGTATTTTATTATATTCGAATTTGTCGCATTTTGGTGTACACCACCCTCAGTTGACGTATTCACCCCGCAGATTTTTTTAGATGAAATACCACAGATTTGGAGACATTTCGATGGCACACTTGGTATTCGCAGAGTCTCGCATATTTGCATAACTACGAGTTTCTATAAAACTGTTGCGTTTTTTCCACAGGTCCGTTATTTTTAATTTCCTAAAAATTGCGTCGTGAGCCGAAATGCGTTAGTACAATGGAATAAAGTAATTGAGTTCTTATAAGGAGTGATACATTCTTATTCACAATGCTTTGGCTCGATACGAGTTTTTTCGAATGCACTATTAGCACAGAAAACACCGAGATATACGAGTAATGAGTTATAGGTAAAAAAAAGCGAACAAACGAAAACGAAATGACATTCTGAGAGCATAAGTTTTATCACAGGGGATCGTGTACGTTTGAGTGAACAAAATTCAGTGATTTCAGAAACAATGATTGAACTTCCGATAGTTGTTTTCATCCAAAGAAGAATATACTGTATAAGTTCTGGCAGAGTGACTTTTTATCATGTTATGTATATTATTTAATTTTTTTTTATGTATCTTCCTTGCGTGTTTACAGAGTGCTATCAAATTTTTGGGCCTAGGGTATGTTTTTGGATTTCTAAAAACATCTGTGCCACGCCTGGGGCTAATCGTAAAGAAACCGAGATTAATCATAAGTTACCTCCTCAACAAGAAGACGATATCTTACGGTTTGTTTGCAGGACTGTACGTTGCTTTATACAAGGTGAGGCTATGATTCATCAGCATGGTATTTAAAAGTACGTGAATTTATTGCGGTATTTTTACGGAATGTTATTCGTAAGACGAGGAAAAAATCATGGAAAACCAAAAAAAAAAGACAAACGAAATTGGGTACAGTAATCTCTCTCCATACCAAAAACTTGAGGGATCGGCCAATCTGCTCGCCACAGTGAGGTTCTCCTTGTAACGATAGGCGATCAGAAAAATATGGACGAACTGCGACATCCATGACCGAATAGACTAAGGTGTCAAAATAGGGGTGCAAAATGGTACACCGAGGTAGGTTCGACACCGAGAAACAGGCCCGCCACATCCCATCTCGGGCCCTGGTACCAATTTTCTGGCCCGGGCCCCTAGCACAGGGGGGGGGGGGGGGTCCGGGGGGCCTTCCCCGGAAAATTTTTGAAATTTTAAATCTATTTGGACGCATTATGAAGCTCTTATGATGGAGATTTTCCATCAATTTCTGCAGAATAATTACGCCTTTTTGTTTACTTTCAGCACCAAAAACTTTCGAATTGTTGCATTCAAAACATCTATAAAGTTTTTTTTGAGGGAGCAGATGATAATATTCAATTCTATGGGGAGCCGGGCCCCCCTGGACTCCCTTTTCGTACGTCTATGGCAAGGGAGTTAAGCCATTGAAGTCGAGGATGCCCAAAAAGGAGCCTCTTAGCATCCGACAACGGAAGAAAATGAAACACAGTTACTAAAAATATCATTCTACATATAGTCAAAATCTTGAAAATCTCTAAAAAAGTAAGAAAAATTTTATAGTGCCCGGCGCGTGTTTTTGAAACTTTATTCACCTTTTGCGGAATTTTTAGGGTAATTTTTTCACTATTCCCTACGAGACAAGGGTTACACATGAATTCGTAGTGATTTGCCACCTGCGTCACGGGCCCCTCCAGTGCCCGGGCCCCGGTACCAAGGACCCAGTATCCCCCCCCTTGTGGCGGGCCTGCCGAGAAATTACGAATTTTCAACAATTGAAGCGCGCACCGCGCACCGTCGTGAATGCGTAATGCGTGAAGTATTCATCCAGTTTTGTAGGCGCCAATATGCGTTCCAAGCCGATCGCACTGTGTGTTGGGCGCAATTAGTTAAATTCGCGGAATCTACGTTTTTCAATTTGGTATCACCATTGAGTTTTTGCACACTCTATATGGATTACTGCATATAAAGTGATTATTTACAAGCCGAGTGATGATTACAAGTGATCATTTCCATATCGTGCCCGCATCTCTCGTTAACGTGCACTGATTTGTCAGCCGCTGTAAACTCGTAAACAAAAGGCTGTGGTTATTGTTTACGCTCGAAAAGGCACATTCCTGGGTATAAATCTGCACTTTGACCAATAAGCTAGGTCGATGACCACTCTCTACACCGTGAGTTGACTCGTTACCACTCCCGTAACGTCGGGGNGGGGGGGGGGGGGGGTTACATGTATTTAAAATAGGAAATTCAAGGGGCCGACCGATGCCCTGGCTATTGAGAGGTTCTCGTTTTAACGATAGTCGTTACAGACGGAGACTACGCTGTATTCCCTTTTTATAAAGTGAAAAAATTTTCTCAAAATGTTCACTTGACATGCTCATGCATAGAATTGAAATTGAGGTTCATCGAAAAAAAATAATACTTGAATCGAATTAAAAAGAAACGTCATTGACTAACTCTTAGAAGAGACTTATAGTTGTAAAAAGAATTTTGTCATTTTGATAGCAATTGCCTTTGAATCCATGTAAATTTTTTATTTTTTCCCGAAATAAATGGAATTATTTTTTAAACAACCGGAGTTTGCTTGCAGGTAGTGGTCAATGGCAGCTCCTATTGATTAAAATAGATTTTTTTTCTGTGTTCATGTTTCATAAATGTTACTTCCGATGAACGATTATTTGTCTCTAAATGTATATTACGTCTTCACAATGTGATTCTGACTGTATCAAAAGTTTACGTTGCTCTTCTCAAATGAATTTTCCTTCCGTCCATTTGCAGGGGTTAAGCTGTTTCTTGTGCCAAAATCAAAAAGCGGACTCTGCTATACTTGCTCTGCCTTGCGGCACAGTCGCTGGATTAGCGTTTTGTGTACTGCCTGCCCCCTCTATTTTAGCAGCTGTCTTGGCTAATTTGATATTTGTGAGTGCACTTTTTTCAATTTATCTCAGTTTGTCTTTGAAACTTATATCAGCGGATAACTTATAGGAACATATTCATGTATTATAATAATCGGATTATATTTTGCAATGAGGAACTGGAATTTCTAGCTTGTTTTAGAAACAACATACGTACCATTAGTCAACAGGTTCTTTAATGAATGATTTAGAAACACTAGTTCCTCAATGCAAAATAAAGTCCAATTTTTAATGGGGAACCACTATATTTTAGACGTCATATCGTCATAATTTCGCTTGATTGGTTAAAAGAAGGACCCATTTACATTGATTCATCTCCAAGACGTGGTAAGTTTAAGTTTTTAACTTCAAATGTAGTGTAATAATCAGTGAATACATTTTCTTCATAATTTGGATCAGTTAATTTGCGGTGGATTTAGTTTTAAAACTCTTTCCGGGCCGTCAATGTCACCAGTGGCGTAGCGTGAATTGCGATATATCGTTTGTTGTGCCATTTAAACCTAGGGAGAAGGATCGATAAACAGGGTGTTCGCAGCGAACACCTTAATAATCGATTATTTACCACAGCTTCAAATAGGGAAATATCGATAGATCGAAAAGCACACCACGCCACTGAATGTCACGCTTTGGATACAGTGGATAGATAGATAGATAAATAGATAGATAGATAGATAGATTGATAGATAGATAGATAGATAGATAGATAGATAGATAGATAGATACATAGATAGATAGATAGATAGATAGATAGATAGATACATAGATAGATAGATAGATAGATAGATAGATAGATAGATAGATAGATAGATAGATAGATAGATAGATAGATAGATAGATAGATATATAGATAGATAGATAGATAGATAGATAGATAGATAGATAGATAGATAGATAGAAAGATAAATATCTAGCTAGATAGATAGATAGTATAGAGAGGGGTCTTTATCGCGATTTCCTTTACTTGAACATATCTTAAGCATGGTATGAAATTTGAAATGCGTGAATCATTGTCATTTTCAGATGTACGGGAAAAATTCATCATTTGCACGGTCCAAACTCCCGATGTCCCAACTCAGCTTCGCACTAGTCAACGCGATTTTGTTTCATAACTATGCATTCTACAACAATCTATCGCCAGCATTCTTCACCAACATGCTAAACGTCGCCACGAATGACAGGTTAGATCATCTTACTCTGTAATGAAAAATCATATGAGTAATGCGTGTAGCATAACGCCTGAGAGCTCACGCTCCACCCTCAACCCTTCCTTCTGGCACTCACGCGCAATGCAGGGTTGCCTTCCCTTTTCCGCCCGTCGCTTTTTTTCCAACTGTGTTTATCACAAATTATTTACCTGTGAATTGGAACTGGGAGAATACAGACTCTCAACCGAAGGCCCGGCTTCCAATCTAAATTATGACCGTAAGGAATGACTCTAAATTGAAAGGTGTGAACGAGCTAAACTGCTGTAAACGGAAAAATGCCGTATAAAGATTCGAGAGTTGTCACATTTTCCCGTATAAAAGACGTATTTTCTAGAAAAGTTATTCATATTTTTCCTTGAAATTTTGAGATATTTTAGATCGAATTGCGCACAAAATTTCAGAAAAATTCGAAGAAAAATATTCAAAATTCTTCCAGTAAATTCGGGGTTTTTTGAAGGAAATCTGGCAACGTCAGAGACGGATCCAGCAATTTGACAACAATGAATTTTCTCCATTTAAACCTATGCTAAATAGTCGATTCTCGTCGGAGCACCTGTTCCCTTTAAGAATCGATACTTTTCCATAGGTTTAAATGGAGGAAATCCGGTGTTGCCAAATTGCTGGATTCGCCAATGGACAACGTCCAAAGGCTTCTAAGGCGTTTTCCCCCAGCACGGCAGTATAAGTAGCGTACATTAGGGTGGGACTTATTTTTTTAAATCGACAAAACCAAACGTTGCACGGTCTAAAATGGTTCTATGTGATAAAAAAACACGGTAGCCAAGAGGATTTTGAGGAAAAAAAATTTTAACCCGGCGCGCACAGAGCCTAAACATCGAGATTTTTCCGGTTTTTTTGGCATTTTCGCCGTATATTTTTGATATTTTTGCCAGCAACACGGATTTGACGCTAGATGTCCAAAAATTGGTACAAACCTAGCGCATACATTGCAGATGAAGGGAAAATTTTTGTTTTTCTCCTGGGTCACTCTCAGTTCGCTTGGTAATGCCGAAACTCTCCGCTCGGCAGCTCTAAAAATCGAAATTTCGCCGTTTTTTAACGTATAATGAACTTTTTGAGCAACCTATAATGGTAGTAAAAATCCGAAAATTTGTGGAAAGCAAGTCCATACCATCAGTTTGGAAGGACAAATGTCAGAAAACTCCTACGTCTTTTACTTTCTGCCAAACTATGCCCATAATGGTGGAAAACTTGTCAAAAATAGCTCAATTTTGACCGTTTTTTCGCGTTCGAAAATTTATTGGACACCCTGTAATGACAATGAAGGTCCGAAAATTTGTGGAAAGTAAGTTCATACCATCTGTATGAAATAAAAAATTTTACTTGGTTCATACGTCTTATATTCTTCGTCCTGCGATACCCGAAATGGCAGCGAAAACGTCAAAAATACCTCAAATTGGCCGTTTTTTGATAATTTTTTGGAACACCTTGTAGTGGCAGTGGAGGTCCGAGAATTTGTGCAAAGAAAGTTCATACCCTTCGCAAGGGATAAAAAAATCTACCTGGTTCCTATGTCTTACATTCCTCGTTGTGCGGTGCCCGCAATCACTTCGAAAACGTCAAAAATACCTCAATTCGGCCGTTTCTTCAATGGCGAAATTTATTAGACACCCTGTAATGACACTGGAAGTTCGAAAATTGGGGAAAAGCAAGTCCATACCACCAGTATAAAAGGGCAAATTTCAAAAGGTCCATAGATGTTTGATTCTTGGTCGCACGGTGTCTTCAGATACACAAAAATCGTGAAAAATACCTCCATTTTGACCGGTCTTTCGCTATTAAAATTTAATAGACACCCTGTAACGGCAACAAAGGTCGAAAAATTTGCTGAAAGTAAGATCATTCCATCTTCATGCAATAAAAAATTCTACTTCGTTCCTATGTTATGCATTCCTCGTTGTGCGGTGCCCGCAATCGCATCGGAAACGTCAAATATATACCTGAATGCGGTCAATTTTTCGCGTGTGAAATTTTTTTGGCACCCTGTTATGATATCAGCGACTCTTAAAAGTTCCAAGTAAATATACGTTGTTTATACATCTGAAAGGAACGGCAATTATTCAAAGACCCTTACATTTATAGTTGTTGTCGCTAGATGCCCTGAAGTGAGGTGAAATTGTCTAAAATACCGAAATTTATCCATTCCTTTCTTTCAACACTAGCTTCTTACATAGTTTCGGACCTCCGCTGTCAGTACAGGGTGTCCGGAAAAATAATTCGGTATAAAAAATTGACCGCATTCAGGTATATATTTGACGTTTCCGATGCGATTGCGGGCACCGCACAACGAGGAATGCATAACATAGGAACGAAGTAGAATTTTTTATTGCATGAAGATGGAATGATCTTACTTTCAGCAAATTTTTCGACCTTTGTTGCCGTTACAGGGTGTCTATTAAATTTTAATAGCGAAAGACCGGTCAAAATGGAGGTATTTTTCACGATTTTTGTGTATCTGAAGACACCGTGCGACCAAGAATCAAACATCTATGGACCTTTTGAAATTTGCCCTTTTATACTGGTGGTATGGACTTGCTTTTCCCCAATTTTCGAACTTCCAGTGTCATTACAGGGTGTCTAATAAATTTCGCCATTGAAGAAACGGCCGAATTGAGGTATTTTTGACGTTTTCGAAGTGATTGCGGGCACCGCACAACGAGGAATGTAAGACATAGGAACCAGGTAGATTTTTTTATCCCTTGCGAAGGGTATGAACTTTCTTTGCACAAATTCTCGGACCTCCACTGCCACTACAAGGTGTTCCAAAAAATTATCAAAAAACGGCCAATTTGAGGTATTTTTGACGTTTTCGCTGCCATTTCGGGTATCGCAGGACGAAGAATATAAGACGTATGAACCAAGTAAAATTTTTTATTTCATACAGATGGTATGAACTTACTTTCCACAAATTTTCGGACCTTCATTGTCATTACAGGGTGTCCAATAAATTTTCGAACGCGAAAAAACGGTCAAAATTGAGCTATTTTTGACAAGTTTTCCACCATTATGGGCATAGTTTGGCAGAAAGTAAAAGACGTAGGAGTTTTCTGACATTTGTCCTTCCAAACTGATGGTATGGACTTGCTTTCCACAAATTTTCGGATTTTTACTACCATTATAGGTTGCTCAAAAAGTTCATTATACGTTAAAAAACGGCGAAATTTCGATTTTTAGAGCTGCCGAGCGGAGAGTTTCGGCATTACCAAGCGAACTGAGAGTGACCCAGGAGAAAAACAAAAATTTTCCCTTCATCTGCAAGGTATGCGCTAGGTTTGTACCAATTTTTGGACATCTAGCGTCAAATCCGTGTTGCTGGCAAAAATATCAAAAATATACGGCGAAAATGCCAAAAAAACCGGAAAAATCTCGATGTTTAGGCTCTGTGCGCGCCGGGTTAAAAATTTTTTTTCTCAAAATCCTCTTGGCTACCGTGTTTTTTTATCACATAGAACCATTTCAGACCGTGCAACGTTTGGGTTTGTCGATTTAAAAAAATAAGTCCCACCCTAGCGTACATGTTATCATCACGCTGCACTCCAACTGTGGGAGTTTAAATCCCATCGGCTGAAAAAGTAATTGATAAATAGTATAAAAGCTGTAGGAGTGTCTGTTCAAACAGTTTTCTGCAGAAACTGAGAAAGACGTGCCGTGCGCAGTGGCGTGGCGTGAATTGCGATATATCGATTGATATGCCATTTAAACCTATGAAAAAAGATCGATTATCAGGGTGTTCGCAGCGAACACCTTAGTAATCGATTCTTTACCATAGCTTCAAATGGCGAGATATCGATAATCGATTATGCACGCCACGCCACTGGCCGTGCGCGAGGTAATTATCGGATATTTCGGGTTTTCGCGTTATTTGGACTTTCCCTCTTTACCGCGATGAATGACGTCACGATGATGAGTTTCGAACCGTGAACGAAATAAGCTGCGGATTAAAGGCCGCCGAGCTCATCAGCGCTCGAGCAGGAAATTAAGTAATCAATTCCAGGCCGAGGAAACTTTTTCTGCGCCTTTTCAGAGTTACCTTTCCCGGCGCCAGAGGAAAGTGAAAGGACGGAAAGACGCAGTCTCGACGGTATGTTCGTCAATGGGGAGATGATTGCATTTTTCAGGGTCTCAATGGACTTACAAGAATAGTTTTCTTAATGAACTATGCTGCCGCTTTTACTGCCGTGCCAAGGAAGAACGCCGTATGAACATTCGAGAGTTGCCAAATTTCTCCCGCTACACGGAGAAAAAAACTTCGTGCATAAGACCCGAAGTTGAGGTCATATGGATCTCTGAAGTTTTCTGATCACGCATCCGAAAACTTGAAGTCGAGCTACCGAAGTTCGGGTCAGACATCGAGGCACTTCGGTATGTACCGGAGTACTTCAGATGTGTGACCAAAACCCTTCGGTATATATCAAAGTACTTCAGATGTCTGACCCGAACTTCGGCAGCCGGACCTATTGTTTTTAGATACGTGATCCGAAAACTTCAGAGATCGATATGACTTCAACTTCGGGTCCCACGCACGAAGTTTTTTTCTCCGTGTAAAATGTTTATTTTTGAGGAAAGCTATGGATATTTTTCCTTGAAATTTTCAGGAACTTAAGGTGTAATTGCAAACAAGATTATCTGAAAAATTGGAAGAAAAATATTCACAAATTTTACCGAAAATTCGTGATTTACTAAAGGAAATATGGCAGCGCCTGGAGGCTCATACGGCGTTTTTCCTTAGCACGGCAGTTTAGTCCCCCGAGGCTTGGTTCATCCCTTGCCGTTCGAGGCCAATCCGGGCACCATATCGATATAGATGGTATTTATGAATGGGGAACGGGTCGGTATAAACAGAACGAGTTAAAAATCCACGCAGGTCGCAATATGTTTTCTTCAAAAATTTTTACGAGGAAAACTAATTACACAACAGGAAATCAACTCCTAGCAGGATAAAATTGTTTACAATTACAACGACGTCATTTTCATGATCTGATCATGAATATTCTCAAGATTGGGGCGTTCTGCATACTAGACTCCATCTTCAGGGTAATGTGGGTGGGCAGTTTCGGACTTATTTAGCACCTAGGTATCGAAAAGTATTGATTTGGTTCAAAGGACGAAAAATTACCTGAAAATTTGTAAGCGGTGATATTATTCGAGCGTTGCATTCTCAAAGTATCGTAATCTCTATGTACAGAAGATCAATATAGCAATTTACAACAATAATAAACCACCAAAATGCTTAGAAATTTGATGAAATCTCCCCCCCCCCCCCAAGAGAAAAAGATTGATGAACTCTCACGTTACGTCCCTGCGCACTGATCGGTCAAAATGCTCAGGATTTACGAAGTTACGTAAAGTTTGAAGACTGAAACAGTTGGAAAACTTCTGAAATCTAATCTCAATCAAGGTCCACGGGAGACCGATATAAACGCCTCCTATTTTGCGATTTTCTGCTCCAAGAGGTTCATCCCTAAGAAGCAATGGAATTTCTGAGGCCACGTATTTGCAGATGAGACACGCTTCCCGATAAATACTTGCGGAGGGAACAACGCCGACGCCGACACTTATCCGATTATAAGAGGCTCTCCGCATCTTTGTTTCGGCCCTTTGGAGTTAATGCTAAAGGTTCTTGTTTCCTCGTTGTTTCGGGGTCAAAGTTGGGCTTATCATATTCGAATTTTCCAGGTGAGAAACTTCAACGCAACACCAACCAGAGATGCAAAATTTTATGAAAATGTATGCAAAGCAACATCGTTAATTTTTTTATTAGTCTTCAGAAAGCCATAATACGCAAAAAATAAATTTAAAGTTCTTCACCAAATTCTTGGTTATTTGTTGCGAGTTTCATACTCAGCCCCTCGAAATTCTATCAACAAATATGAAATTTTTTTTAGTCGTCAGAAATTTAAATTAAATTTCATTTTCCACCTCTGGTTCCATCGCGCGAAACACCCTAGTTAACTTTCCTCTTAGGACCTTTCCGATACTTGAACGCAAATACACTTGGGTTATTTACGAGAGGGTCTGAGAAATCGAAGAATAACGCAACTCGGCAACACCGTAAGCACTCTAATTACACCCATTAAATATATCCGTTCCTTCTCACCTAAAATCGACTGTTTTACTTACATTTAAATAGAGAAAAAACAGTGTTGTCAAATCGCAAAAATTGCTGGATTCTTACGTAAGGGAACGGTTAAATTCTTATGCTGCTAAATTTCCGCGGACAGGAAATCTTTTTAGAGGACAACAAATCGAATCAACTAATTGAAGAAAGAACCACGAGGCCTACGATAGCTGAACCAGTCAGAGATGTATTCTCATCCTCCAGTGCTCATCATTGGCGAGGCGTGAATGATCGATTATCGATACTCTCCCATTTGAGTGGTGGTAAAGAATCGATTATTAGGGTGTTTGCTGAGAACACCCTAATAATCGATCCTTTTCAATAGGTTTAGATGGTAGATCAATCGATATATCGCAAAGCACGCCGCACCACTAGTGCCCTTACTCTCTCCATAGATGTCCTGTATCTTTGGTTGCATTCGAATCGAGTCGGAAGAGGCAACATCGGTTCGCGAAAACTTCACTCGAGCCCTCAGGATAGGCTTGAAGCAAAAGCAATCGAAACTCTCGGGCGATTGAATCAGACGAGTGATATCGACTATTAATTCGCTGTTTAATTAAATGCTTTTCAACTTCCCCGAACCGGGTGTGAAGTTCGGACAAACAACCCCCTACCTCACCTTTCCACCCTCACCGCCCGCGCTGACCGGGAAGGCAAGATGGTTTTCGACCGTGCTAAACGCTATGCGTTAGTTCGCCAATCTAAAGGAGCCTTGGGGCGCTTGGGCCTCTACCCGTTTTCTATACGGAACTCTGCCGTGCTAAGGAAAAACACCGTATGAACATTCGCAAGTTGCCAAATTGCCCCGGATTAGACATGTATTTTTGAAGGAAATTATGCGTATTTTTCATTGAAATTTTCAGACGTTTTAGATAAAATTGCGAACAAAATTGTCCGAAAAAACTGAGGAAAAATATTCACAATTTTCCTAGTAAATTAGGTTTCTATTGAAGGGAATATGGCAACGTCTGAAGTTTCATACGGCGTTCTTCCTTAGCACGGCAGGATTGGCTGCGTGCGAATCCATGGATCGTATTCGATATATCGAACAGGCGTGCTATCGCTGAGATAGTATCGATGGCCTCGACTTAGTCTCGAAAGTCAAATCGAGCTATCAGTGGGAACGGATTTTCGTGATTGATTTTTGGTTCTTATTAGTGCTGCATGGCAATTAAAAGTGAAATTCTTCTCTTTCAGCTTTTCTAACTTAGATCCTAAAATTTGTTTTTGGGGTGATGTTCTGTCGTTTTGAACCAAACGATACATCGAACCACTGTCGAATACGATCCATTCTTGAATCGTTATCGAATGACCTCAATCGATGTGTAGCATTGCTAAGGATAAGAATCGATTGATGAAGATCAATCGAAATCGAGTCGACAACCGATCTGTTACAAGACGACATTCACTAGAAATACAATTTTCCCTCCAAAGATGCCCTGTTTTTGGCCGATGTTAGTCGGTCTCAACTAGTGTTGCTTCGCATTGGTTATTTCGAGGAGGGGAAATGAGATGGTGCTCGTAATGAAATTTTCCTCTCCGAATGAGAATTTATGTTTCAGGCACAGAAAATAGCATCAATAGTTATGAAGAGATTAGAGCACCTTGATTCTGGATTTGAGTCATACAATTAGTACTTATATTCACATTCGCATCCTTCTTAAGGATTGAGCTTACCAAGTCATTAAACGGACACAAATTGTGTCAAACAATAAGCCGATGAGTACCTGTCTAAAAACGCGCTTTTCTACCATTACTGGTCTTTATTGGAATATACGCGGTTCTTCAAAATTCGAAATAACTCAATATTATTGGATTTTCTTTTAAACAAAATTTTATCTGTTTCAGGTGTCATCAAATTTATCAGAACCTTGTAAATTTGGTAGCCCAGTTACCCAAACACACGCACCCGGTTCTGCCCACCATTTAAAGTGGTCACATTAGAAGTGGTTAAGATCTCGTACAATCAAGAGCAAATATGTTATGGTTGAATGTATGCAAAAATCATTCAATTTATTTGAATTTTTACCCTGCAACACATCAAAAGAAAAGCTGTTTCTTTGAGGAGAAAATATGTTTCCAAGAGGAATACATGGGAATAAGTCAGCTTGTGCACACCATCATATATTATTCTCATTTGACGATGAGATGATTCGTAGAATTTTACGGATGAAATGAAAGATTCAATCGATAAAATAAAATGTTTTGCGAAATACTGAAGTCTCTTAGAGAAGTCTGAAGTCTCTCTCTCTTCAAGAGGAAATGAAGGTATATGCATTTATTTTGTTGGGTGAAAAATGCTGACGTCCCCTTCCTCTTCGACGTCATTTAAGAACCAACAGTATTTTATTACAAAGAACGATTTGAACCAATTACAACTTAAAATTGTAAAGTATAAACATTACCTTGCAGTAAAATCATTTTTAAGCCTCTGGATCATATTTTTCTATGGCCGTATTTTCTAATATTAGGATATTAATTCACATTACCTGGATGGTAATTGAAGTTTATGTGATTAATTCTGAGATGAAGCGAAGAATGAATGATACCTTTTAATTTTTATAACTGTCACATGAGGCACAATGTAAAATTATTTTAAGAAAATAAACCTACAATTTTAAGATATTAGAGATTTTGTAGGTTCACCTGACAGCATTAATTTTGTTTAGTTTATTTTACAACAATGTGATCACTAAGCAGAATAAGTCTTCCATGTAGGTATGCTTTTATGTAATAAGTTTCTGTATACTTAAAGCGACGTCATAACATGTGGTGACTGATTTCACTAAAAAACAGGCAGTTTTCGAACCGGAAATAACCTAAGCTTACCAAAGGTTATCAGTTTTTCAGGATTATATTTTAGTTCATCATCATTTAGTCACATTTAGTCAATCATGTTTCATGACAGTCTACTTTAATTTTTTGTCATTGTAAATACAGCATTTATTAAATATGTACAAAGTGGAGTAAGGCCGTCAACACCCTCATCCGAAATATTGGAGGACCCCTGATTTTCACATGATTCTGCTATAATAGCTATTGTATTTTTTAATTTTTAAATATTTGAGACCTAAGTGCGTATAAATTTGATCGTTTTCACTCCTCCTTGTGTGTTTATTTCCTCATCATACTTCCTCTTTCTCTTCTGTATTTTTTCACCCGTAGGTTACATTTCGATGTGAGACATTTCATAAAATATGCAGCGCTCTAGCGGAGGGGAGTCAAGGAGAGCTTACGCCTGTTTGTTCATACGTGTTTAAAGATATGGAGATTTGGACCGCGTTTAACAGAAAGGAACCAAGCCACATCAGCTATTGCCAACTTCAACTGGGCAAGTCAATTTTTTACGAGAGAACGTTTGTGCGGATTCCTTTGAAAATTTTAAGGAATTTGCTTTGTATTATGGAGAAAATTCACTGAAATTTCCACCAAAATCCGCCCAACCGTTTTCATGTAAAAAATTAACTCGCCCTATTAAATTTGGCAATAGCTGATGTGGCTTAGTTCCTTTCTGTTTAACGCGGTCCATTTATGGCTCGAAAGCGTCACGGAGGAGAGGGGGTCTTGGGACATCCAAAATTTAGCGTTACGTATTTCATGAACGGCTCCTGTCGTATTAGACAATCTTTACTTGACAGTTTTTGGATGTACCTTAGATTATGAATAGATTCACATTCACCAAATTTCAAGTTTCGGTGTTGCTTATATTTATCTGTTTAAGATCAAATGTACACGGAGAAAAAAACTTCGTGCGTGGGACCCGAAGTTTAGGTCATATGGGATCTCTGAAGTTTTCGGATTGAGTATCTGAACACCTTACGTCCAGCTGCTGAGGTTTGGATCACTCACCTGAAACTTCAGTTCTTACATCTGAAGTACTTCGGTTTTCACATCCGAAAAACTTCGGTTCTCACATCCGAAAAACTTCAGTGCTCACATCTGAAGTACTTCAGATGTAAGAACTGAAGTTTCAGATGAGCGATCCGAACCTCGACAGCTAGACCTAAAGTGTTCAGATGCTCAATCCGAGAACTTCAGAAATCCATATGACCTAAACTTCGGGTCCCACGCACGAGGTTTTTTTCTCCGTGTAGGTAGGCTCATTTCGTAGAAATCCGTCCAGCGGATCTATCGTTAAATCGATCGATAAATCCCTGTATCGTAGCAATACTATTTAGATCACATTTTGCAATCGGGAACTTCTGTTTATGGGTAAACTGTAAAATCACCTATATCTGCGTAAGGAAACGAGTGGCACCTACGTTGTTTCTAAAATATGCCAGAAATAGCAGTTCCTCATAGATCAATCAAGGTCATTTGAAAACCATATTTTAACAATCGACCTGAATACACCGTAACCCGTACTCCAACCCCCTCCTCCATCCTCGCAAGTACGTTACGATAATGGCGAATATTGCGAGTTGGCAACACTTTTTTCACCACTTGAATGTATGTAAAATAATCGATTCTGATGATGTAGCTCGCTCACCTAAAATCGATGTGTTAAAATGGATTGGAGTATTAACCTCCCAAAGCGTTCATCAAAAAGACGTATTTATGCTCATGGAGACTATGTAATAATGAATTGAATCAAAAGGAACTGTGTGCATTGGGTTTTCTCGCACTAAATCAATACTTTTAACTTTATTTTTTCGCACATAGTTTCTTTTAGCATACCGGGTGTCCATAAACTAACTGAAAAGTGGGTATAACTTTTGAACAAAAAAAGATAGAAGGTCGCGGTTTGTGGCATTCTTCATCATCCAAAAGGGGAAATTTTTCGATGGGGGGCTTTTCCTGGTGGACCCCCCTGGGGAGGCCCCAGGGGGGGGCAACTTCAAAAATTCAAATGGCAACCCCCATTTTTTTAGACATGATTAAAAAGAACTTAAAAAGACAAGAAAAATGGCGCAGATAAAATTAAAATCGGTTATTTCGTTCAAAAGTTACAGCCGGTCAAAGTTTTAAATTGACCACTTTTCAAAAAATCGCCGATGAGCTCCAAATTATCGGAAAAACAAAACCAAACCGGGAATAAAAAGTTTGAAAAGTGCTTTTTAGGAAGAGAAAAAACAACTGACGTTGTCACAAGTCTGGATGGCATTGTTTCAAAATAAAATTTCGGAAAATTCAACATGGCGGCAAATTTGAGGAAACGCAAAAAATGAAAATTCCAGAAACTGTTATCTTTCAAATACCCTCTAGTTTAAGGAAATCAAAGGTATCAACTTTTATTCCTTTATTTGGCCAAGTAAGAGCAAATTTGCTGACTTAAAAGTTGTCAAGCGGGGCGCCTTCAATCGTTGGAGTATGCGACATCACAGGATTAAGTGTGCTGTCGAAAAATGAAGCCGATGTGAAAAAGCGCTCCTCCTGTAGGTTGCTTCAGAAATGTTTGAGGTCCTCCTCCTCAAATTTAACGAGAAAAAAGAAGAAAAGTAAAATTTACCAATTTTTACCCACAAACTTGGCGAGCCAAAAAAACATGATTTATCCTGGTGGGGTAGGGGCGGTGGACATTTTTGACATTTCTATCTCTGAAAATTAAAAATCCAAGAATAATTTTAATTCTCTAACTCCTGGCACTCCAGTTCGGCAAGGAGGATATCTGCTACGCTTCCAATTCCGAAGACGCCGTTCTACTCTTGATTATTATCTGAATTGAGATTATCTTATTGACAGTCTCAACCTTACGATTTGAGACACCAATCTTTTCGGTAACATCTGATGTACTATCTGATCGGTGACACGGTGAAGCGTAGCAGATATCCTCCTTGCCAAATTGGAGTGCCAGGAGTTAGAGAATTAAAATTGTTCTTGGATCTTTAATTTTCAGAGAGAGAAATGTCAAAAATGTCCACCGCCCCTACCCCACCAGGATAAATCATGTTTTTTTGGCTCGCCAAGTTTGTGGGTAAAAATTGGTAAATTTTACTTTTCTTCTTTTTTCTCGTTAAATTTGAGGAGGAGGACCTCAAACATTTCTGAAGCAACCTACAGGAGGAGCGCTTTTTCACATCGGCTTCATTTTTCGACAGCACACTTAATCCTGTGATGTCGCATACTCCAACGATTGAAGGCGCCCCGCTTGACAACTTTTAAGTCAGCAAATTTGCTCTTACTTGGCCAAATAAAGGAATAAAAGTTGATACCTTTGATTTCCTTAAACTAGAGGGTATTTGAAAGATAACAGTTTCTGGAATTTTCATTTTTTTGCGTTTCCTCAAATTTGCCGCCATGTTGAATTTTCCGAAATTTTATTTTGAAACAATGCCATCCAGACTTGTGACAACGTCAGTTGTTTTTTCTCTTCCTAAAAAGCACTTTTCAAACTTTTCATTCCCGGTTTGGTTTTGTTTTTCCGATAATTTGGAGCTCATCGGCGATTTTTTGAAAAGTGGTCAATTTAAAACTTTGACCGGCTGTAACTTTTGAACGAAATAACCGATTTTAATTTTATTTGCGCCATTTTTCTTGTCTTTTTAAGTTCTTTTTAATCATGTCTAAAAAAATGGGGGTTGCCATTTGAATTTTTGAAGTTGCCCCCCCTGGGGCCCCCCAGGGGGGTCCACCAGGAAAAGCCCCCCCATCGAAAAATTTCCCCTTTTGGATGATGAAGAATGCCACAAACCGCGACCTTCTATCTTTTTTTGTTCAAAAGTTATACCCACTTTTCAGTTACTTTACGGACACCCGGTATATACGTTCATAATACCGCGCGAGAACACCACGGAAATAACAATTGGAAAGAATTTACCATATTCTGATTAATAATGGTACAACCAGAAAGTATGGTTACTTCCATCAAAATTATCGTGAAAGTAACAAGATTTTCCTTTATTTTGATAATAATTTTGGTAGAAGTTACCATACTGTTCGGTTGTGCCGTTTTTTAACCAGAGTATGGTAAATGCAACAGCAACATACATTTTTTTTCCGTGAAGAGGAGGAATCGACCCCCACCCATTCTTGGTGTCCATGGGCCGTTTAAGAACGCGTCAAAATTAAGACTAGCCAGAGAAGAAAAGGTGACAATTTTATAGCGTTGAAGTTATAACAACGCGGTCTCCGGTCACCCGACAACGCGACAGACCTGTGGATCTCCAAGGAAATGTGTGTTCAGTAACGCGACTGCGATTCAATTTTAAGGACGCTCCCAAGTGCTCCCCGTGAATTTTGCTGAAATGATCACCATTCAGTGCGGTGAAAACGGTCCGAGTGCCTCAAAAATCGGAGGGATCGTGTTCTCGAAAAAATCGCGGCTAAAACTGCAGACGGGTCCCCTGTGGCGATCGGAAAGTCAGGCAGATGAATCTTGCCGGCGACAGCGGGCTGAGGAGATATATTTTCAACAGCGAAGAGAGAAGAGAGAGAGAGAGAAAAAAATTCTGAAAAAGGGAAAAATATGAGAGGAGAAAGGAGCCGAATTCGACCGATCGTATGTTTACGCGCCGATCAGCTGTTCCAGAGAAGCTGACATCTCGCGCATGGTGACCAATCCAGTGGGCTCAGTCGCATCATTTTCGCCTAATGTCGTTACAGTATGAGTCGGAGTGTCTGGTTTCTATTCGATAAGCGTTCTTACTGACGGTTCTTTTCCTTTGAAAGTTCGTTTAAAAGTGGTGTTTTCAGATGCAGAGCCTTCACATCCTGGATAGTTCGGTAAGTGCGTGCCTTAACCTCATTTACCCGTTTTTCCAGCCCGCAGGTAGGTACTGCGGACCTTTTTTAAATGGAGGGTTTTAACGAGGAACAGTGGATAGTCGATCGCGCAGCGTCGGCGCCTACGCGATTTTTTCCAAAACTTCCTTTGTAGATAGGTCGTTTCTGTTTAATGACGTTGTCTGAAGGAGGTTTGCTGACAGGAGCCGGGCGGACCTTTCGATGAGAGGGGAGTGCTCGTGACCACTTTCCTCTAATCTATTTTTCATCCATTTCTAAAAAGAAATTACTATTATAAAGGGATACTTTTCTGTTTTTAAGAAGAAGAAGGAGAAGAAGATGAAGGAGAAATCTAAGTACTCAAATTTTAGGTTCATAAGAGACGGCTAGGTATGATAAAAATATTCCTGTAAGTCCACTTAATCCAGGTGCGAAATCAAGGAGCATTTTACGCGGCGCTTAGATCTCAAGACTGTGTTGAGAGAATTGAGCCAAGATTATGTAGTCAGCTGTAAATCGCTGCCGAGGGAAGCAAAACATCGATGGATGAAATAAAAGAAGAGAAATTTTATTGCAAATTTGGGCGTTGCAAATCTCCATTCCGATTTTTAATTTTTTTATTTTTTTAAATAAACAAAATAAAACCTAGCTAATAGGTTTCTTCAAATACTCTGTATATTTTCTTTCATACTTCAAAAATATTCACAGATAATTCCAATGAGATATTTTTGTTAGTTATATTATAGTAAAACTGAAACTTGAGCTGAGATTTCAATACTTTGCAACAAATCTTCATACTTATTCTTTGAATACAGCCATCGATGTACGATCTGCATTCGCAAACTGTCACCATGAGAAAAAAAATTGATTCGATTTTTTTCAAAGCCTTACCTAGGATTTTATGCGAGATTTTGCCGGCGTCCTTTAAATACTTCATCGTCGATTCGTTCATTATTAACTCGATCCATTGGTTCTCTGATTCGATTATCTGAAGCAATCAGTAACACAGGACATATTTTCCGCAAGCTTTAGCTTCCCCCTTACCGGGCTCCGAATTACCCATAGGTTGATTTGTATTTCTGACTGGACTTTTTTCTAACTCTTCAGCGAAAAAAATTCAAATGTTGAGATGCGCGTTAGAATTTTTCCTGAAGTGACCATGAAACGACTTTGCTGCATCCGTCGTTCTTAGATCAGAAGAAGTGGGGACCGCAGCACTCATTTTAGGACGGTAAGGTTGTTAGGCGTCTAAACATTCGAGGCATTCTTCCGAATATTGACAATGTCTACATCAAAATCTGTAATAATTAACTTCATCGGCACAATACGCAACACTATAGAAATGCTGAAATTACGTTACGGTGTGCGAGAAACAAGCAAAGTGCCTTTGATGACTGTCTAATGTGACGAGCATTGTATGCATTTCATTTCAACTCCTTCATGCAAATGCAACATGCAACTATTCGGGCTCTATGGATGTCCGTGTTGCATACACGCGTCAGTGAAGGCGTTTTGACCGTCAACGCACTCACCGCTTCACCCGTTTCGGTACAGCGCCAACGCCAACAGCGAGTTTTACTGCGAGGATTTAAAGTGGCAAAACGCCTTCGTTTGTACGTTTGGGCTCCAAAGATATCTCATAGGCACAGAATAGTTTCATACAGGCGTAGGGTGCGAGTATCTTCTGTGCTTTCGTTTTGATGTCGCGTTTTGCTGAACTTGAGATGTAGAGCAATGAATCGTGCCTAGATATTTGTGAGGTATAAATTAAGAATTGAGGGCCCTCTACCATTTTGGATTCTCGCGGTAAAGCCCGCCGCACAATGAAACTAGCCTTTCAGAGAGATTGGACTTGAATTTTTTTACTGAAACCGCAAATTTCGATGTTGAGTTCCTCACTGTTTTGGGTGAGATACATTGGACTACATTTTGCAATTTGGAGCTATAAACTCTGGTTCATCTGATAAAACATGTATGCGCATAGGAAAACTAATGGCACATACGTTGTTTTTAAACCAGGCCGGAATTTTTAGTTCCTAATTGCAAAATGCAGTCCAATCATTTCCTATAACCGATCCAAATCGAAGAAAAACAGCGTTGCCATCCTCCCCGACTAGATTTTATGACAGGCTTTATTTTCATAGGTATTTATTTTTTCCGGTGCATATTTTTTTCCAGTTGTACCCGAACGGAGAGCCGCTTGACGCCTCGATTTCTCGGGAATGGTACACGCCGTTCATCCCTTCACCGGGCCCGGAGCCGTCCCTGGAGAACGTGACGTTCCAGCGGGACTATTTGCAAGGAGCGGGGACAGGGGCGCGCCCCCACGACTACAACTACGCCCCGTACTTCAACTGCGACTGCAAGCCGATCCCGGCTCACCCGATCCATGTGTACGCGCCCGAGATGATCGGCAACCCGCACAACATGCCCACTCAAGGGCTCCAGTTCAGCCCCAGGGAGCCAGAGTTCGCCCCATTCCGAGTCCGCCAGAAACCCAGGGATCCTCCCCGCTACCCCTCGCCCCCCTTCATAAAGTCCGAATTCTTCAATTTAGACGCACCGGTAAGTTGACTCTAAACTCTCACAACGCTCTTGTGGCGATTTGTTGAAGTTATGTGCATGGTTTACGTGAAACATAGTTTCTTTTAGCATAAATACGTACATACAGAGTCTTATGGAGGAATAAAACTTCCGATCTCTTGTCCTCACTTCAAATTTGAACCGGTTCGGTGCGCTTCTGTTAAACTTGGCCCCTCCGAAGTCAGAATGTTGCCTACTTTTCTGATAGAATAATAAAACATTAGAATAAATTAAGCATTTTCTAATACATATAGTTAGGCTGGTCTTGATTTATTATTCTAATATTTGAAAGTATTTGTGCTAACGTGAATTAAATCGAAGGAACTTTGTTGTACATTATGTAAGTACATGGTTATTTTGATTTTTTCAGATAGTTACTTTCAGCATATAGACCTCCATTTGATCTACGTAGTGAAACTACGCTTGAATAAGTTCTTGCTCCGAAAATATCGGGAGCTAAGATGCAAAATTTCATGAAACTTATATAATATGAAATTTTGTAGAACTTCGTCTTTTGTAGAAACTTCTGCTGTAGACTCCATATCGACGGTGAAAGTCGGCAATCACATAACTCGTTTGCGGTGTCTGAAAATCTCCGTCTCTACGTCATTTTTATAAAGGAGAACAAATTGATATTATTTCTTGAAGTTTTTGCAGAAATTTATTCGCATTGAGAAGAAAAATCATGACAGTTTTAAAGAATTGCAGTTGAGTAGTTTTCCATTTAAAAAATAAAGTATGACAGGAAGTCTGCGACGTCGCAAACCGAGTTATGTGATTGCCGACTTTCACCGTCGATATACTATTAAACACATATACAGAAACAGTAATATTTAATTTTGAAAAAAAAGGAGAAAAATGTCACCAGTCAAATTTCGAGGTTTTTTTTCACACATTTGCGGATAATTGTTGAGGGTTACATACGCAGCCCCTGAAAAATCGTTAAAATTTCATGTACGATGAAATTTCACTTTTCAGCAAAATAAAATCTCATGTGAATTTTTATGAGATTCCACTCCATTTTGCATCTTTAATCGTGAGGCACTTTATGTAAATTTTTTGTTTACAGGCCACCTTAGAGGACACTGCTATGGACAGAGAGAATCAGATTGTGAAAATCAAAGTGGATCGAACCCGCGACGATGATTGCTCGCTGAGCTCTTTTCAAGAGGCGCTAGGTGTCGTCGAACAGAGAGATACACCGTCTACCTCATCCTCTTCATCTTCCGAAGCTCCCTTCCGTAGCAACCGTCCCATAAAAATTTCTGAGACGGTAAGCCATGGACGCCTAGTGGCGCGTCACAGGAAAGCGACGTGTATCGATTTATTCTCATTGGTAGCATTGAAATAAGTAATATCCTTTGGATCAATGGAGCTCCATCATGCACTGGTAAAAAAACACATTGGATTTAGAGTCCAGACTCTTGAAAACATTGACAAGAAAAAGGACTCTTGATTCAATCAGATTTAAGCTCAAATCAAAAGGAATTCCGCTCAAATTAAGAGGCTTGGTTCTTGATTCAAGCTTAAATCTGATTGAATCAAGAGAATTTTTTCTTGGTGATGTTTTTAAGAGTCTGGACTCTAGATTCAATGTGTTTTTTTCCAGTGTGTGTTAGGAATTTGGGATAAAATTATCGGGCTCTGTGTACAATTTCGCGAGAAACGCGATGGTGCCACTGTTTTTCTCTGAAACCAACTCCATAGCTCAAAAAAGGCTCTCAAAGTTGAGGCCGTATTGGAGGGGATATATCCCTTGCTATCCTGAAAGTCCACCTCTACATCAAGACAAACACTCTCTGCGAAGATAGGGAGCAAATACATTATCAGGGTTGTCATGTTTTCAGTTTTGAAGATCCCAATCAAAGTTGCAACCCTGTTAATGTATTTGCTCCCTGTCTTTGCACAGAGAGTTTGTATTGATGTAGAGGTGGACTCTCAAGGTCGCGAGGGGTATTCCCTCCAATACGACCTCAACTTTGAGAGCATTTTAGAGCTTTGGAATTGATTTCAGAGAAAACCAGAGGCACCATCGCGTTTTTCGCGAAATTTTACGCAGGAATCAGTGTTACTTAAATTGCCAATTCCTAACTTACCCAAGAGCTCCATATCGATATACCGGAGAAGCCCCTCAGTAACATCAAGACTTAAAGGATCTATTTCTGTATCCAGATCTTCAGATTAAGCTATTGCAAGATGGTCATCTATAGTAGAGTGTGAAAGTTGCTTTGGGAAGTTTAATTTTTCAAGCAAACCCTATGGACATAATTCCCTTGGTAAAAATTGGCGATAGGAGCTGCGTTTTAAAATACCATGGGAGTTCTTATAGCCGACTGAAGAAGGCGATAGAAAATCATATAGCTGGCTGTAGAAAGTGGAAAAAATCATACGGCTGGGCTACACGAAGCGATAAAAAATTATACAGCCGGGCTATAGTTCCTATCGCCGGGCTCTACACTTTATCGCCTGGCTGTAATTGCTTTCTCGCCATCGGCTATAAAATGCTATAGGAAATTGTGTACAAATCCGTGTGCTTCGTAAATCCTCAAGTTTGTACGGAATCACCCTAATATTTATTATAAAACGCACATTATATTTTCCCTTACTTTATATTTTTTTTCATCAATTAAAATGAAAATAATCCATTAAGAGTGTGCAAACATTCTAAGTCATGAGTTGAAAAACGCTGACTCCACGAGATTAAAATATTAGAGTCTAACACAAAGCGGAGCGGCAGCGCACTGGCGCCTACAAACCTAACAGGGATACTTCACGCATTGCGCAATGCGTGAAGTATCCCTGTTAGGTTTGTAGGCGCCAATCCGCGTTTCGCGCTAGCTGCCTCGCCCGCCGCGCCGCGCCGCAGCGTACCACGGCGCTTGAAGTAACTCTTTCACACCAGAGGTATTGCACAGTATATACGGAATTGAAGGTGCTCCAACCTATTAGGAATGACAGGCATCCTTCAAAAGTACGGAGCTTTCCTAGCAAAATAAATCAAGATACTACGGCCCAAAAAGAGAACGGTAGTCCAAAAACTCACTAAGTCCTAGCGTCCGTAATTTGTAACGTTTAGCATATACACTTTATCTCCAGTCTCCAGGCTGTTGCTTAGTCACCATCGGCTATAAAAGGCTATAAGAAATTGTGTTGCCGGCTATAGAAGCTATTAGAAATCTTACAGCCGGCTGTAGGTCTACGGTATTTTGGAACACAGATTCTACTGCTAATTTTTACCAGGGTCCTATTGGTATAAAGTGCCGTTAAAACAGAAAAAAGAAAAAAAGAATTAGGGTATAGATGGAATGCAGTTTGATTGATTCTGGTGAAATCAATGCAATTGATCATTAAATAACGGTGATAAGAGCTGATTATTGAAATTGACAGACGGAGCGATAGAAAAATAAGATGAAAGGAAAATAGAGCGATCCTATTGGTAGAGAGGGTGATTCTTATGGACGAAGAGGGGAAATGATGGACTAACTATAGGGTCTCTCGAACGTTGCTGTTACTTCGTCTAGTGCGTAGCTTCTTTGACCACTGCAACCGCCTGCTCCCACCAATAGGGGTCATTATTTCTCTGGTCATCTTCGTCTATCGCTTTGTCTATTAATTTCAATAACCACTATGCTGGAGGAGGGAGTAATTTCAAGTTGAAAAATAATTTCCATTTTGTGTATTTACAGGTTGGGACGATGGGCTTAGGATTGGCGAGTAGTAAGCAAGAGGAAGTTTTGAAAGCAGCCAAGTCACTGTTCAGTAAACGAACGAGAACTCTGTATCAGTGGCTTTGTCCTGACGCGTCCAAGACTAAACTCAAAGCCAGCGTATCAGCCGCGTGGGACACCCTATCCGAGCCAGAAAAGCATTTCTACATTTCCCAGGTAAAGAGTAAACCTTATATAAGCGGGCTGATTATTGAAATTGACAAACGAAGCTCTAGACATAAAGGACAAAGGGAAAATGCAGCTATCCTATTGGTTGAATGGGGGTCGCTGTTATAAACTAAGGAAGAAAATGAGGGACTAACTAAGGGATCCCTCAAGGATTGCCATTTCTTAATACAGATTTTTTTCTTTTGGTTTTTATGTGTTAGAAACTTTATGCAATGAACCGCATAACGCAAAAAGGGCACTCCATTTCTGATTTATTTTAGGCACAACGTATATCTATATATCCTTACTTTCTCTTCATAGATAAGTGACTTAAAGGTTGGACCAGAAATAGTAAACCTGATTGCGTCATGCATTCCAAACAAAACTCACTGTAGTTTCAACCATTACTCCGTTTCTAAATTTCCAATGTACCCTTTTCCCGTGAAAAATCCATTGTCTTTTGAAAGAAAAGGTATGTGGCTCTTCTTAAGAGAGTTTCAACTTAAATTGGACGCAGATCATTCAGAGAGCTTGAAAAAGAATTTCCCCTTTGTTGTACTAATAGTTTCACAGCAATATTGGTACATACACATAGCTTTCGGCAAGTTCAGGCTTCCTTCTTAATTTGATAAATCAAGTCTATTGACTTGCACAAAGGGCAAAGAGAGTTTCTCCGAGAACTGAAGCAAACGGCTCTATATTAACTGGAACTCGTGAAGTTTCAGGAACTGCTCGAGAAAGTTTAAGTGAGCATTCTTATGATTAGACTCCCTCCGTTTTCGATCAATCAGGCGATTTTCAAAACTTTTTCCAACAAGTTTTCCACCCCTCAGTCCGATGCAGGTGTATTCTTTAACTCAAACATTTTGGTGTACTTTTATTTACTCCCCTCTTCAGGGGACGTATAGGAGAATTTTGAGGGAATTGTTTTATTGCGATGATAGTTAGTATGTGCATAAAAAGTTGAGTCGCAACTTTCTGAACTCTTCTGATGAAAACGGTAATGCAAAATCATTTTTTTTCATTCGATTTCTTTGGATATTCCTATTTCCTGCCCCCCTCCTTTACTTGTATTGTTATATGACCTTCGAAATTAACTTTGACTTCACTTGGTTAAATTGCTCAGATTGTTAGTGCGGGATCTCTATACTGCCGTCCTAAGTAAAAATGTCGTATGTACATTAGAGAGTTGCCAAATTTACATACATACATACATACAGTTAGTTAGTTATTATAATTTAGAGACATTCAGCGACTCAGGCTATTAACGTCTTTACAGGTAATTTTGAAAATATATAGGAGTATAAACGAAAATTTAGATTTTTAAATTAAGAGAGGTGAAGAGTTTCAGAATTTTGGTGGTACATACATGCATACATACATACATACATACATACATGCATACATACATACCATACATTACATACATACATACATACATACATACATACATACATACTTACTTATAGATCGCCATATTTTGATCTCTCCTCTAAGGTGTTAATGGCTAAATTCTTAAAAGCACCAAATAAACGTATCTACCAACCAACCTATATCACTTTTTGGCGCTCTACGACACCTAACCTCCACTGTCCTTCTGTCGATCCACAACCCTTGGGGGATTGAGCACCTTAACATTTCTGCTTAAATTCCCTCCTTTCAACCTCTCATTGGGCGCCCTCTCCGCCTTCTCTCAGGAGGAACCCAATCGAGCCAAAAATTGCTTATTTTTCAGAAGAGCTCTGAATATTTTCTCTTGAAATTCTGAGATAATGCATGTCTAACCGCGAATAAAATGCTCTGGAAAATCGAAGGAAATATATTCACAGGTTTTCCTGAAAATTCTTATTTTAGCCGATAAAATTTGGCCAAGTCTGACGGTTTACACTGCCGTGCTAAGGAAGAACGCCGAATGAACCTTTAGGCGTTGCCGAATTTCCTTATATAAAACACGACTTTTCTGGAAAACTTATGGATATTTTCGCTTTAGTTTTTCAGATAATTTTGTTCACAATTTCATCTGAAGGTCCTGAAAATTTCAAGGAAAAATATCCATAACCTCCTTCCAAAATAAACATTTTACTGACGGAAATTTGGTAACTCTCGAATGTTCACACGGCGTTCTTCCTCAGCGCGGTAGTTAAATACCAATATTGCCTCTGATCGCAACAGTGACGACTTCTCTCTTTTCGTGCAGGTGCTGGGTCGATTCGGGCTGCGCGAGTCAAGTCTGATGGTGAACCCTCAGCTAGACGGGATCAAGGGCCTCCCCGGGGGCGGGGGCGGGGGTGCGGACCCGAGCCGGAACTCAATGCGCGCCTCCATCTTCAAAGCAAGGGCGGCCATCGAGGACCAAGAGGCCGTCAACGCCCTCTTCCAGTCTTGCGACGACGCCCACAGCTGGACCTCCTTCCGCCGCCAGAAGACCCTCCGGGCCCCGCGGAAGCCCCGCTCACCACCTCCCGAAAAGGAAAAGCGGAAGAAGCGGAAGTACGTTCGTCGCAACCTCCCCAATGTGCACACCCCCGTCTCGGCGCCGGTGGCCAAACGCGCCAAGATAAGGCCCAAGGAAGAACCACTGGAGGAGGTCGAGCTGCGCGTCGACGGTGGCGCCCCTGGCGGAAGGTTCGAGAACGACGAAGAGCTCCGCAGCGACGCCGAGAACATTGCCGTCGAGGAGGAGTTCTGGAACAACCCGCTTAACCCGGCTGAGCTCTTTCCGGAGATCAACTTCTAGCACTCGTGCAATGGGGAGAGAAAACATGTCAATAGGGGAAGTGACCCTTTTTGTGATGAAGCGTGATAAAAAAAAGAAGGGTTTAGTACAATGTTAACTTCGTCTAATAGTAAAGCAGCTTCTTTATCAGAGCAAGAGATACCTAAATGATAGGTGTACGTTTTTTGATTAGAATTGAGGGACTTGGAGGACAAGGCGCTAAAGTGCAGTTTCTGAAATCGTATTTTTGACGATTTCAACTAAAATTAGTCCTAAAATATATTCTGTAACAAATTAATCAGCAAAGTCCAATTTTTAAATATCAAAAAGTGAATTTGCACCTTGTCCTCCAAGCCCCTCGATGCTGATTCGTTTGATTAAAAGTGGGACTAAGTACCTATCTAGTCAGTTCAGTCACTCTCCTTTCGGAGTCCAACTTGTATAGCGCTTAGACTGGGATCAACGGTAGGACTATTGTGGAGCGTTATAGTACTATGGTGTGCTAGATACGGTTGCAATATCAATTGCATGGTTTTTTACATTATGCAATGACAGAAACGAGAGTTACCTTCGCAGAAACATACAGTTATCTTTTATATGTACCAGCATAGATTCCCCATCTCATCTCATTTAGTGTTTATTTTGTTTGATATATGTGATCAGGTTTAGATAAATTTTGTAAATTTAAAAACTTTATAATGCTAATAAAATAAAGGTTAATTTTTATGTGCGTGCTTTGCGTTGCAATATTCTTGACTGTGCGGTTCATTTGGGTAATTTTAGTGCAATATTTTGAGCTAGGTTCAAAGGGAGCATTATGGATTGATTTTTTGTTAAGGCGCAGCTTTTTTTGACCATTAGATTGGATGTAGGTATCAAACAGTTATCGATAAAGATGATCGATATTGAACCATCCGGTCTTTGACTATTCATTAATTTTCAAGTTTAATACATCATTTATCAGTAATCGTTTATCATTAATTTCAAAGAAAGGATGATTCTGGGTTGCTCTTCTGAGTCAAGGTGGTAATCCTATCCAAAAAAACCGAAGGATTTATATTTTAGTGATTTGCATAATCTGCTCAAAGAATAGGTAAGTGGACGGCGGCCGTGTGGAATTTAAAGTCGCTGGGAATAATTTTTTCATCGCGTTATAACAAGATTCATCGTTTTCAGCGCGATTTCATTTCAAATATTTCCGCAGTTTTGGAAGTAATTATCAATGCAATAAAATGAAAGGTGACATTTTTGTGACTTCCAGAATAGCGAAGCTCGATGTTGGAAACACTTATGGACTGAATAAATGTTTTTGGGTGCTACAATTTATGCTACAAACAGTGTTTCATGAACTTCAAGAAGTTCAACCCATTATTGGGAGAAAAAAATCTATTACTTTCCAAATTGCTATAGGGTTGTTGCATCATAGAATTAGTTCGAAAAATATCGTAGGTATACTACGCACATTCGGTTATAAAAACCGAACTATAGTTCAGAGAACCGAAATCCTTGGTACAAAATACAAGTCCTATGCCAGGAACGTAGAGGTTTGTTTTTCCTGTGTCCGGGCAATTCGAAATTCCCGGAACCAATGGACAAAAAAACGTTAATATCTCAGCTAGAAGTTGATTTCAATAGTTTTCGTTGTGCGAATCGTATTCTACGTGAAATTTTTGTGAAGAATCATGTATCAGAGTGCTTAAATTCGTACCTTGTTTAATGGTCCATTCAATCTAAAAAAGTAAACATAGAGAACTTTCCTAACTTTTCTCAGAAAAAATATTTTATCGAGAGAAACAAGGCAACATTGGATTGTTCATACGACGTCAAAACACAATAAGGGCCTTTTAAACCCCATTGTTCAATGCCGCGATTATCTTATCGCGAATGATCGCGCCAAACACGGTGCGGTCGGTGTCAAACTAATATCAGCGCCCGCAAGGCTGTAAGAATACTTCACGCATTGCGCCAAATAGTGCGGTCGGCGTCGAGCGCATATTGGCGCCTCCAAGACTGCGTGAATACTTCTTGCATTGCATCAAACGCAATGCGTTTATTTGCGGTAACGATTCGACTACGGGTATAGGCCAATAGGCACATTGACGCTAACTGGATTGAAGGCGCGTCACACTGTGAAGATGACTCGACACTCGACCGCGCTCCCTTCCCTGGCTTGTGCCACGCTAAAATCGCCGCAAATCTAGGACCAAGCGTCAATTCTATTGACGGTCCCTGGCTGGTTTTTACCTCAAGTAAAGGGTAAATATCTATCTTAATTGCAACGATTCAGAAACTCGGACGATGTTTAAACGATGCAACCCTGCTGAAACTTGATTCGCTTAAATTAATCTTGGTTTAATAAAAAGAAAACAGAACGAACGAAAATATCGCGTCGAAATTTTTTGTGATTTTATTTTAAATCATTCCGAAAATTTCTTGGAAACTTCTAAAAAAAACTGTGTGTAGCTTTTTTTTTTTTTTTTTTTTTTTTATAAATTAATTGAAAATAAAACATGAGTGGTGATGTGCACCGTTGCAGTCGGGGGTGAGAACTCTTTTTCCCGCGTGCAGGCGTCGATAGGTATTTAATTTCACTCACGGTAGGCGTAACGAGATAACGATTCGACCTATCGAATCGAATTATCCATTGCTATAGAATCATCTTCATCCTATCCATTTATCTCTTCATGCGATGGCAGATTTCGAGCCAGCTTTTTGTTCATGCAGGACTAATCGAGCTGTAGGATGACGTTGTCATTAGTATGTGCGACGCGGGTATTTTATTTACTTTATGATCTCTCCCGTATGACAACGTCATTTTGAAGGCAAAGCCAGGCCCCTGGCGGAGACAACCAGTCTCCTGATCGGCCGACACGACGTCGGCTCGGCCGTCACAGATCAGTGCCGTCGCTTGCGCCATCAAACGTCCGGACGTCGCGACGCGTGCGGTCTGTTCATTTCGGACACCAGACCTTCCTTTAACGCACTGACGTTTTTGGTTTGAGGTTATGTTGCACCTCGTGAAAATTCTTCAACGATATCTAGTTGTTTCCCGCGGACTAGTGCCCATTTAGTCATTTATTTTTCAACTTCATATTAAAACTCGTAAGTTCGAGTTTTTCGAACAAAATTAGCAAGAAGGTGCGGTTTAAGCTGTGAATGATATAAAAAACCACAAAAATTCGACAATTATTATTTATCGGCGAAAAACCTATTAATTTTTGTAACTTGGAATTGTTTACTTTCTTAACAGGTATATATGTTTAATAAATCATTTTATCAAGAAAACAATACTATTAATATTCTCTATTCACATACTTACAAAGCAGCACGTAAATATAAAAAAACCCTTCATTTTATTCCTTGTTTTCACTAAAATTTACATTTGACGTTCATATTGTGTCATAAAGAAAGGAAGGAGATAAGGATAGGGAATCATATTTGACAGTGTTTATACAAAATTGCGAGGCAGACTACTTTTAGGATATTGAAAAAAAATTACAATAATTTCATCCTATCATGGGGGATACATGAGAGGACTGTTCACTGGAAGGGGATTACAAACAACGTTTAAAAGTCATTTTAAAAAACTTAATTCAGCGATTTTCTAAAAGGACTGTAGAATACACTATTTTCATGGAAAAATTGGTGGAAGCTGACTAAAATTGCAATCTTTAGTGAAGGAACGGCTCAAACGCAGTATAATTTGTAGAAACAATTGTCGTTAAATTCCTTTTTTTCTCTGTTTTTATGATCCTAGACTGACAATTGATTTAACGGTGAAGTGAGTAGATTTAAAATAAAAAATTGTACCTGCTACTACAACATCATTGAAACCCCGTTTAGGTCAAGCTCGCAGTTAAAAATGGATTTCGTCCAGTGCGCTTGAGTACAGCAGGAGCTGAAGCTTTGTATTACTATAATGCGAGAACACTTTTTACTCTGAAAGGCTGGATAACTGAGAAGACCAAAGTCGTAGTTCGGTAAGTACCTTTTGAAATTGTTTCCGATTAAATTACGAGCAGAAAAAAGTAGATAGCTTCTTGGAGACAAGGAGCTCTTTTTCCGAGCTCAAGCAAACCTTGAATCACTTTCTCAATGGCCACTGGAGGACGTATTAAGTCATTTGTTTGTCAAGAAACATGTAGGTAGTTCTAGTAACTACTCTGGGCAACGGTCTCTCACGTATTTTACCGCTTAACTTACCGATGAGTTTTGTTCCCCCGAGGAAAATTTAATCGCCTGGAAGTGAAAGTTAAATATTGATACAATATTGAGCCAATAAATGACAAAAATTCGAGCAAATCTTTTCGGAATTTTGCCGGATTGTTACCCTGGTAAAAATCGGGAGTAGGATCTATGCTTCAAAATACTACAGACCTACAGCCGGCGGTAAGATTTTCTATAGCTTTTATAGCCGGCTATACAATTTTTTAAAGCCTCTTATAGCCGATGGCGATGAAGCTACAGCCAGGCGATGGACTGCATAGCTCGGCGATAGGAACTATAGCCCAGCGACAGGAACTATAGCCCGGCTGTGTACTTTTTTATCGCTTCGTATAGCCCAGCTGTGTGATTTTCTTCGCTTTCTACAGCCAGCTGTATAATTTTCTATCACCTTCAATAGCCGCCCATGAGAATTCCTAGATGGTATTTTGAAACGCAGCTCCTATTGCCAATTTTTACCGGGGTACCCTCACAACTGTGTCAATTGTTAGCTCCTGTTTTCAACATGCAAACTAGGCAATTGGTGAAGAACAAATTTTGTCCATAAAGAGGGAATCCGTAACGTTTTCGGACAATACAGAATTTAGAGGCTCAGGAGAGAATCCGTTCTGATCTTGTTGACCTTCACCTCGAGAGTGGTCACTGGTCACGGTCCGAACGGTGGGGCCGGCCACACAGTGTCTCTCTGTACGAATAATGATTAACTCATTATCCGTAGAGCTCACATTCCGAATGCATCGAGCACCAAATTTCTCAAGGTGCCTCTGTCGAGCTGCGAGCATGTCCTTTTCAACAGTGAAATTCCTCACCGTGTGCAGCGGCTGCGGTGTTTCAAAATGTCTGTGCCACATTTTTCAATGAGAAACTACTATTTCTGACTCATCTACATAAGCACTCATTTGCATAACGAAACTAAGTTACGTATCTCGTATGAGGCGGGAAAAAAATCGAAAATGGGGCAAAACGGGGTTGTAGATTCCCTTTAATCGTTTCTGGTTTTTGAGAGCGGTCACGCACTCGCACTAGGAAATGATGGTAAAAGGACTGCAACATCGCTAATTAGAATGCGAGCTTTGAGAGTTGAATTTCGTTCCTGCTTTTAAATTATTTATAATGGGGCACTGAGAATTTAAGTTAATATTTTGCAGAGCAGACTTTAATCTGTGGCAAAAGATCAAGGCTCTGTTGAATATGATTTAAATACAGTGGGATCTTGAAAATTCAGATATTTTAAAGTCAAATAAGGGTGGGATTGAGAGAAGAATGTCGCGCCGTTCCTCAGATCGAAACGACTTCAACCCTAGCTAAGGGACCAGTAGCGATATCCATAAAACGACGAGAAAACATTGTCTCCCCTAAAAAAAGAGAGATTTATTGTAAGCTTTATTTTATTTATCAATGGTCACTTATATGGACTTTAATAGAACAAGCATCATAATCATCAAACGCAGTTTAATATCATCCACTTCTAGGCAAAAAATAAGACTCAAATCTCGAAATAGATAATTGTGCGTATTAAAATCAAAAATAATTATATCCATTCTGTCCTGAGATCTGAAATTTATAAGAATTCATTCATAACAGGTCTCATGCCACAATGGGTATTGTTAATTTTCATTCAAATGCGTCCGATATTTCCGCCTGGAGAATGTATTTTGATCTATCTGGAAATTTGAAGAGAAATGTCGATCCTTTACTTACATCCTTCGTGTCCATTCCATGGACCACTACTCCGTAGAAGATCTATGCATAAGTTGACTTAAAATATTATTCCTTTTTTATGGGCACATTCAATTCTAGTGAAAAGAGTTTTCCTTAAGCACAAAAACTTCTTTTCCGAATGTGTATCGTCATGCATGGTTTCTAACAGTTGCGATTCTCAAAAGTCTGCAAAACTATTTATTCTCCATTTAAATATACTTGTCGGCAGCATGCTTCACCTAGAATCGATTGTTTACATACATTTAAATGGACGAATAGTTTTTAATCGTTTTCAACAGCGGGATATCCCATTGCTGCCAACTTTGGCAATTGCTTCTATATTCTAACCTTTGTCAGGTGGCCCCCTATTAATTTTCAGGGTGAGAGCGCCACTCGAGAGAGGTTTTTGAGGAATGTGTTGACCCTCCCTTGTAAGGACATAACGACAGGATTAAGGACCACTGTATCGATGCAGCGCTCAAATCCCCTGTTCTGAGGACCGCATCCCGGTGATGCAAGTTGGACACCGAGGCAGTATTCCCCATAGGATAAGCGTTTGACTTACGTGACTATTGACCGATGATTTTGCTCCCGGATCTGGCTAAAGGGACAAAGCGATCGGGTTCTAATTGGATTTTCGAGTGTTCAAACTCCTCACTTTTCGGTGCACGCGATACTCCCCCCCCCCTTCACCCTTGACGAAGCTATGGGCTAGGATTCGTAGTTAAAACGTGTTCTCAATTCACCTTCCCGCTCCATGCTTTCGGAGTAGCTTCGAAAGGAGAGTATTGCCATGTCCGTAGCAACAAAATCGATTTAGAGATCAGATTGACGGTTAGAAACATAGCTAGAACAAAGGCAACATTTTAATTAATGCTGTAATCAATAACTAATTTATCCTCGGGAAAATAGGGGGACTTGGTTCTTCGAAACACCGATACATAGGAAGAATATTTTCAGCCGTGGTCTTTAAGTGTAGACAGAAACATGATGGTGCTTTGGTTTTCTCCGAAATAAACTCTCAACCTCAAAGGGAAGAGAAGAAGAAGAAGAAGAAGAAGAAGAAGAAAAAGAAGAAGAAGAAGAAGAAATATCTTAAGTTGAGACCGTAATAGAGGGGTACCTAAATCTCAGGAGAAAGTACATACACTTATTTAGTCAAACTATTCCTGTAGCCAGAATCACACGCTGAATATGGGAGTTGAATGTGGCTTGAATGTGAAGGTCATCAGTCCGATGCTTGAATTTTGCGCGCCACGTGCAAAATTCAGGGCACCGACGAGGATCGAAGCTCAGCAGTTATCAGTTTGTATGAACTATTCGAATGGATTTGTTACAAATCTAGATGAAAGTAACTAAAATTTACGAAATTCCAGCTGTTAAGCGATGACTGTTGACTCCCATATTCAGCTACCAAATTCAGCTTTTGATTCCGGCATGTGCCTACGGATGAGATAGAGCTGGACAAATCAAAAGGGTTACCTTATTGTCTCTTGGCTACAGAAGAGAGAGACCTTGCACTGTAAAATAGAGTCAAAGTTACCTCAGTCTCATCATGAACACGAGAACAGAATATTCATTGTGACCTTTTTTTGAAAGTTTTGTCATTGGTATGCGATTATTTTGATCTTGATCCAACGGTAGCCGTTATTTGGCATATCTGTTACAATCCATCACGGTCGAGGGACCTCCAAAATAGCTCATTCAAACTTTGACTTTCCATTGTGCTTTCCGCCTAGGATCCTCCTGCAAATCCGATTCAGAGACCCAACGCAAATCCTTGAATAAATTCTTCTTCTCTTTTCAGAAATGCCGGGTGTATCGCGACAAGTCTGTTTGATATTGGCCAGCTTTGTAGCTTTCTGCGAATCGGCTTACAAGATTGGAGTGGGGATAGGGGATGTGACTGGTCCAGCGGTTGGAATCCCATTCGTAAGTTTACACTGCTCTTGTATACGTGTTCGTGCATGATAAAATGTCTCGACGATGGTCTTCCCCGTCTCTGAAAGTATTTCTCGGATACTTGTCACACGATTACACAAGGAGGGAACCGAACACTCGCCATTTAGTCGATATTATTTATCTTTTACTGTTAAGCGGACTACGCTCGAAAAATGTTTGTGAATGCGCTGTATAAGGAAAATGATTCTACTAAAGGATATCCTAGGTTTAAGAAAACACATAAGAGCCTTAGGAATTGTTGATCTGAGATTCTAACACATCCAAGGGCAAAAAGTTCGAATAATGATGTTCGTCTAAATTCTCGACGATTTCCCCCACCCAAAGGGTTGAATATATTGATCCCAGGTTGGGCTGATGAAATTTATAGACATAAAGACAAAAGGATAATGGAACAATCCTATTGGTTAAAACGGGTAATTGTTTTGGACTAGGGGAAATTGATGGACTTTCTATGGGGTCTCTCATGGGTAGCCGTCAACTAGTCTATTACTCACCTTCTTCGTTCATTCACCGATATATCACCGATATATTGCTTCATATGTTCTTTGTCTACTTTGTCTATAGGTGCGTCTATCAATTTTGATAATCACTCCGTGGTAGTATACTTCTCTTTCACTAAGGGAAGGGGTTGAGAGCTGAATGGCTTTATCGCGGAATTCTTGCAGTGAGCGGGCGTCGACGCAATATCAATCAAATCCTGAGCGATGCGATGAAATTGAAATCGAACCCGGACAAACAATATCAGAGCGATGAATATTTTATAAGAAAAAGTTTCATAGACAAGCGAGACAAGACGCTCGCACGAATGGCTCGCCCGTTCGCGATGCTCCATCGCTAATGAAAATTGGACCCACGCACAGTGGACCGAGTCAGAGAGGTCGCACAAAGTCTGGGAACTTTCAAAGCTTACATTTTTAAAAATATGAAATTGAAAAGTTTAAGAGTGGTTCCACTGGTTTTATAGTTAAATTTCTTTTCAGAAATACCCCTTAAAATAGATTTTGTGACAAAATAAACATCCAAATTTGAAATTTTGGCCAAAAATTTCATGCCCGACCTCTCCTATTAACTCGTTCCACTGTGCCCCCTCCTCTCGCGCTGCGATCGAGGGAAAATGCATGTTTTATTCCCACTGCATGCGCGCGTATGCTTCACTTTCTTGCGAGGACTCCTCGCATTGACAACGTTCTCCCTTCATCGAATTTTGCGGTGGAACGCTGAGAACGAGATGCAAGTATTTCAATTTCTGAGGGACCGAAATTGCACAACTTCTCAAATGAAGGGTCGAAGTTTTTTCTGGCGTTTCGCTAGTTCAGACTCACAAGTTTGAGGACTTGTGGGTAGAAACCACTGAACCGATTCATTTCTCCGTTGATTGGCCCTACATTAATGCATAATGGTATTGGGTTAAGGGAAAATTTCATTATTTCTCTCTCATCATGCAATCCTAAAGAATGAATGATCAAGAAATGTTAGAAAAATACTGTAAAATGTCGCCTAATTTTGTTTTTTTAATTGTACATTCTCCAATAAGTGACGATCTTGGCTCTTGCCAAGTAGTCTTCATTCGTAACTAAAGATTAGTGCTTCCTTTCGAATGAAATCAAACTGGAGTAATTTTTCAGTGATTTGAATCGCGTCTACCAGGAAGGTACCTACCCAGACCCAATACGGGATGGAGGAGTCCACGAGTGAAGACACCTTAGGATGAACTTGTAATATAGCTGTATATCCGTAAGAATCGTGGGAAATTGTGATCTTGTAGTTAATTTTCTCCCTAGTTTTGATTGGTGTCTTCTAACGAACATTGAGTGTAAACAGAGGAGGATATATGAAGATTGCTCAAGTGATGTAAGACTTTTAAAAAAAACAGGTTTAGATAAAGGTTGACACATAAGGTTGATTTTTTTTTATGTTGCAGATGGGCTACGCAAACCTCAGGCAGAGGGGTGAGGGATTGCATTTGCGACAATTTGCAAGAGCTTTCATCATAGGTGACTCCTACGAGAAACTCGTTTTCGTGAGTGTAGACGTGGGAATGGGCGCACACGGAGTCCGAATGAAGGTATCTACCGACTTCTTAGGATTAATACTCTGTAGTTACCTATCTCACTAATAAAGAAAGAAAAAAAAACCGACTTCAGTTCTACTTTGCAACAACTTCAATCACAGAGTATTGTGTTCCTATATTAAGTCATTCAGTTTTAGTTGTTGCATGTCAGAATTACAGTTCAATTATCATATGTTATATGTATTTTGCGTTTTTTTTGGAATCTATGCTCCCTATAAGATCTAAAAGTAATGCCTGCATGAGCTCACATCCTGGAAACCTTGAAAAAAAGTTATCGGTCTGTGAGGTGTTCATTTACATTTATATAATCAAATTTTTTATTTGTCGTTTCAGGATTTGTAAGATAAAACAAATATAAATGTTTTCAAGTTGGAATATTGTCTTGTGTTGTCTTTTTAGACTAATTCGTCACCTACCTGACATAAGGGTGTAACTACACTCCGCAATGAACCCTGCCTTCTATACAATTCAATGCTTTTCCAGGCTCATCTCAATGTGTAGTTACGCCCTTATGTCAGTCAAGCGACGAATTGAGGACAAATAGAGGAAGAGGGAGGGGCAGAAGAGGAAAATGAAGATGAAAACGATGCGCTTGGCTGCATAGGAACATTGATATCTCAAACGTTCTTTCTAAAATGTATTAAAATATTGGTTCTTGATTGAAATATAGTCTGAATACGGCCCTTGGATACTGTAACTAACCATCACGCAACCTTTTGTCCGTCAGGTGCTGAAGCGGCTGAGGGAAAAATTCGGCGAGGAGTTCTCGGAGAGGAACTTGATGATAAGCGGGACGCATACCCACTCGGCGCCAGGCGGGTTCCTCATGCATTTCATGTTCGACATTAGCACCATGGGCTTCGTCCCTGAGACTTATGACGCCCTTGTTTCCGGCATTGTTACGGTAACCCATTTATTTTATCCTACCTTGCTAAGAGAAAAAGAACCGAATCTGCATTCAAACGTTGCCAAATGAGCCCCGAGGCCTCAATGTTTGAAGTGTTTGATTCTTTTTAAAAATAATCGTGAACTTGGAAATTTTAATTATTTTTTTTTGAAATTTTAAAATTCACTGTCGAGGGAAATTTTTTGTCGATTTTATCGCACGTTTATTTATTCAAAAGATATAAGGAAAGTAAACTTATGTTTTAAATGACCCCCGTAACTCGGCGCACTACGCACTATAAACCGTATATTTCTATGACGTATTTTATTTTCAGAGCATAACCCGGGCGAGGAGTAACATGCGGAAAGGAAGTATATTTTTCTCGACAGGAGAAGTTTTGGACGCCAATACGAACAGGAGTCCATCCGCTTATGACAACAATCCAGAGAGCGAAAAAGCCAGGTACATTCAAGTCATTAATCTCAATAGCTTCAATTTTATCTAGAGATGCTACAAAGGGGATATTTATTTACTAATTTTTAGGACTATGCTGAATATCTAAAGCCCTTATCGTACGATCAAAGTAGAGCTCTCAAAGTTGCGTCACGTGGGGTCAAGTGACCCTCCATCGCCCCCAAAGATTGTCGGGTCGACAATCTTTGAGGGTCACGTGACGCCTTTTTGAGAGCTCTACTTTGATCGTCTAAAACGAGCGTAATAAGTCAATGGATGAAGTCACAACATTGGCAACATTTTTTTTTTTATTTTTTCAAAGAAAACTATCAATAATATCTCCTTGACATTTTTTGATGTGAACATTTTTTGAACGAGTAAAGAAAATTAACAGACATTTTCAAGGTGGTTTGTTGATTTTGCCTCTGGTCATGGAAGTCCCATAAATTGCATGGAACTACGTTTGCTTGTGCAGATTCGAGTACAACGTGGATAAAAGGCTGATTCAGATGAAATTCGTGGCGGAAACGGGTCAACCGATGGGCGTGCTTAACTGGTTCCCGGTGCACCCAACCAGCATGAACAACACCAACACCCTCATCTCCAGCGACAACGTCGGTCTCGCCTCTGTCCTCTTCGAACAGCAGATGAATCCGGGACGTTCTATCGGCAAAGTAATATCTTCAAAAAATTATCTTCAATGAGGAACACATGATCCGACATCCGAAATACAGAGTAGTACTAACACTGGGTCCAGTGAAAACACTGAGGAAGCAAAATAATGGTGGCGACTTTGGATAGGAGGTGGTTGTAAGCAACTCTGCCGTGCTAAGGAAGAACGCCGTATGAGCCTTCAGACGTTGCCATATCTCTTTCAATAAAAAACAAATTCACTCGACAAATTTGGAATGTTTTACTTCAAATTATTCAGAAAATTTTGTTCACAATTCAATGCATATCCGAAATTTTCAGGAAAATTACACAAAACTTTTCTGAAGAAACATATTTATCCGGTGAAATTTGGCAACTATCAAATTTTCACACAGCGTTTTTTCTTAGCACGGCAGAGTCAGAGAAAATGTATCTCAGAGTCTCTGCACTGCTACCTTCCCTATAATATAAAGCATTCTTTCAAAAGTCAACACTCAGATTCGCCGAATGATGACTAATGACGAAAAAGTTGAGCAAATAGTTTTGCAATCCTAACCTAGTTTCCAGAAACTCGCCCAACAAAGTCTATAGAGGTATGACTTCCTATGATTGTGAGCTCAAGATGAGATATGGGATAATACTCGGAGGTAGGATGAGATGGAGGATTCGGATGGAAATAGAAAGCCGGTCATTTGATTGAGATCGCGGGACGATATTGGCCGGGCCGAGCCGGGAATGGGGGAGGGAGATGGGAGATGGAAGCAGTCACGCAAACACGTCGTAAAGCTGGCCAAGCGACCCAAGGGCAAGTTCAAAGCTTCAGGTACCGGACCGGACTGGTGCCGGTGATGAGTGACCTCCCGTGGCACACCAAGCGCCAACGACAACAGTCCCTTGGGAATCACTTAGTCATAGGGAATTACTAGCCCGGGGGGGGGGGGGGTTGTAGGGTAGAGGTGCAAAATACCGGTGAGAGCTGAATCGGAAACGATACCGGCTCATTTCCGTATGCGTGCGTGCTACGATAGAGACAGATCTAGTGATCGCGTCATTCTTGGTATATTCGACCGATGGACCAACTTACAGACTTTGTGCTACTTGTTGCATCACGGCTTTATGTTGGGAACAACTAAGTATCACCATGGCTGGATTTACCTACTTGCCGCCCATGGGCCGCCTGTATTTTGCCGCCCTCTTCTCATTCATTTTGAAACATCAATAAAAACCACCAAGTGAACGTGCCGGAGGGAGAAGGGTACGTAAGACGCGTTCACTGGTGTTGGACACATTACTAGCAAAAGTTCACGGAACTTCGCGTAAAAGTTCAGTTCCGTAAACCTATCTCTGTGGGGACGAGGCCTTTCATTTGTAAGAAATGAACTAAAATATTAAAAAAGAACAAACATAAATGTGGTTCAATAATTTTAACTTCCGCCGCCGCCGTGCCGCGCTGACCACACTGTGTTAGGCGCAATGCGTGAAGTATTCATGTAGTCTTGTAGGCACTGTGCGTTTCACGCCGGCCGACCGCTGTTGACCGTACTGTGTTTGACGCAATGCGCGAAGTATTCAGGCAGTCTCGTAGGCGCTAATATGTGTTACATGCCGACCGCCGCGCCGCGTCGAGGGCTTCTCCTTTTCATCTCAAGTCCTCGTCATCATTTCTCTTTGCGCCGCGCCGCTCCAGGCAAAATTACGTGTTTGGTTTCTCTCTTAACTCAACTTATTAAAGGTGCGCAGTCTTTTGTATCACCGAAATACGACAAAATTAGAAATTAATGAACTCTCAGGAAATGAGAGATTTTGTCACCTTTTCTTGTTTGTATTTTTTTTCTGAATCCGATTTCTTGTACCTGCATTTAAAAAAATTGCAAAATTTGCCGCCCCCTAATTTTGCCGCAATGGGCCGCGGCCCATGTGGCCACCCCCTTAATCCGGCCCTGAGTATCATTAGTGTCCTTTAGCAAATAGGTGGTTTCATGAATGAACCGGAAACAGTAAGAGTATTGTAATTCCTAATTATCGCCAAATGTAGTCCGTATGATGGTCATAATCCTAGAGAAAAGTGTTCAATCATGCTGGAAGGAAATGCATGTATGTACAACTGCATATAGCAGACGTGGCTTGGTTCCTTTCTGCTTAACACGGTCGAAATTCTATCACCAATTTAACTTGTGATCAATTTAAACGACTTTGTTGAAAAGTATCAGACTAGAGTCAAACACTAACATATTTTAGAAATTAGCAAGTATCTATAGTTGGGTTTTATTGTCTTGAAAACAACGACGCGAGCTGAAGCAACATTTCCGTTGATTTCAACATTGTTGTCCGGGTTTTTTTTCCCCATTATTTATCCTCTGTTTTGTTGGAGCTTTCCCCAAAATTAAGTTGTTATTTGATGGACCACTAGACAAGGTACGAATTTCAGCATACTGATGCATGTTTCGTCAATAAAATTTCACGTAGAACACGATGCATACGATTAAAATTGCCGAAATTAACTCCTTACGAAGATATTTAATAATTCCTGATACGTGAATTCAAACTACTTGCTCATGAAAACTCAATGCTTCACGTAATTCACATCGCGCGCTAAACGTTATCATGACAGTCTCTGCGGTTTAAAAATCTGGCAACCTCAATCTTGACGCTTCGGCTCAGCTATAGCAAATTGCTAATAGTTTGAACAACACATGGTGGGAAATGAACATTGCTCGATTGAGAAGCTTGCTGAAACCGTTGTAGTGCGCGATTTGACTCGCGTAGAGCTTTGAGTTTCTTGTGAGCGGGCAGTTCAAATTCCTCGTAACCAATGTGAAATAAAAACGTTAATATCTTTGTTAGGAGTTGGTGTCAGTAATTTTCGTTGTGCGAATCGTGTTCGACGTGAAATTCTGGTTGAGAAACATGTATCAGATTGCTTAAATTCTTACCTTGTCTAGTGGTTCATTATGTGCTTTGGCTGATTACGTTGTTAATCATTGCTGTTTAGTTGTTGTGAATTTGAATGGCGTAGGGCCCTTTTGTTGCAGCGTTCGCCTCGAGCAACTTGGGGGACGTGTCGCCGAACCTACGATCGCCGGTCTGCCTGAAAACCGGGGAGCCCTGCGACATGCTAACGAGCTCCTGCCCGGACGAACATGACATGTGCGTCGCCCTCGGACCCGGCGAGGACATGTTCCAGAGCACAAAAATCATCGCTCAACGGATCCTCGCCACCGCTATAGTGAGTTACACACCGTCACAGCTCTGCCGTGCTAAGGAAGAACGCCGTATGAACCTTCGAGCGTTGCCAAATTTCCCCGCATAAAACATGTATTTTTAAAGAGAGTTTTGCATATTTTTCCTTGAAATGTTCAGATATTTTAGATTCAATTGTGAACAAAATTATCGGAAAAATTGGAGGAAAAATATTCAGGATTTTTCCAGTAAATTCAGTTTTTATCGAAGAAAACTTGGCAACGTCTGAGGGCTCATACGGCGTTCTTCCTTAGCACGGCAGAGTTAACCTAACCAGATCCTGTACCTGCGATGAGCCGACGGACCACCAGACAGGATTTGAGATTACACACCGTCAATACCACCACTCATACATGGATCGCATTTGGCAAAAAGGAACCCAGCGTAATTACAGTGTTTGAATAAATGTTGCTTCTTTATAATTATCTAAAATGTCTCCCAGAATAGCTAATAGGGTTTGCTTCCCACCAAAAAATTGTTATATATTAAGGAAAAATAATTGTGTCAATTTGAATACCGTACATGTAAAAGTTTTTTTAGAAGAAAAGAAGAAGTTGCACGATTTTGAAAATACTGTAATTGCGCTGCTTCCTTCTTGCTAAAGTGTGTTGAGTGTTTTACCAACAGAGCAAATCTGTGGTGCTCAGTTTCCTAACTTCCTTTCTTTGTCTAGTGTTCCATTAGATAGACTACATTTTATAGTGCCTTATTGAAAAATTACAGTATTTAGAAGTATAATTTCTGGCTCATTTTAAAAACAGAGTCTGTGCTGTAAATTGTTTCCGATGCAAATGGCTGATTTTATGAAAGAGTCAGAAATAAATCCTTATCACAAAATGCAGTTAAGATGGAATCAAGTAAAAGGACGTATATCCATAGGGCTTGTCATAATTACTGTCGTATACGTATAGTTATTATTACGAGTTTTGTGTGTTCTCTCATTTAAATCAGAACATGTTCAGCTGAAATTAAACTTGTGTTCCTCAATCCGATCAAATGAGGTGTAAGTGTCTGCCAAAAAAAGTGGCACCGTTAGAACCCAAGTAAACACTGCTCTTACCTAAATAATCCTACCCGACCTCACCCTGTATCTGTAGAAGTGATGTCTTTAAAATCTAGGGGACTTCAATTAAATTCCATAGGTTATTTGAATCGGCTCGTGCGAAAACCGCTAATGTCCATTTTCTCTAATTTTGAGAGAACTGCAAAAAACTGTAGGAGCCTTCAAAATACGGAATTAAAAAATGTTCAGTAGTTAATTAGTACAGGAGAAGATTTTAGAAAAGGATCCCTAACAGTTTCCAGCTCCTCCTCTGTCTGGGACGGAATAATTAAAAAGAAAAGACTCTGGACATTAGCGGTTTTCGCATGATTCGTGAAAATCTCCGAGTTTTGGAGCCGTTTGATTCTTTCAAAATTCAATCTAAAGATATTAAAACGGTATATTATCATTCAAATAAAGTTGTAAAACTGAAATTCTTGACAATTGCGGCACAATTGCGCAAGTTTCATCACGAAACTACCAGCAATAAACTGGACATTAGCGGTTTTCGCATGATTCGTGCATGGTCGGTTCTAAATAATCGAAAACGCATATTTTTCAGTATGCCTTTCGGGTAAAGAAGGTTAGCCCCTACGTATTTTGAGGCGCTGAATCCGAATATGACCTCCGTTTTTTTCCATCATCCTCCAATTTTCCGGAAAAGCCGATTTTACTAGGAAAAATGACCATTTTTGGGCATTTTCAGTGTTTTTCCGACTGTTAGCCCCTACAGAATGTAGATAAATTTTTCGTAGCTACGAGATTCAACTATCCCGATGTCTTTTTAACTGATAAGTCCGGAAATGACCTTAATTTTTCCCGTTCACCTCTCAGTTTTCCGGGAAAGCAACCTTTTCCCGGGAAAATGAGCAAATCCAACGCATATTTGTCGTGAATGCATTTTATTTTTATACATTTTCCTGGACCCGTGGTAGTCTGTTACTTATGTATTTTTGGCTGCTAAATCCGAATATGACCTCGATTTTTTTCTATCACACTTCAGATTTCCGGTAAAGCCGAGTTTTCCGAGCCTAAAATTGTGTATTGTAAAAGCTATGCGGGATTGAAGTGTATTCAAAATTTATTGTATAAATGTCTCCAATATGTGATACATCGATTCCTTTGTATTTTGATCTGTTGAATTCAAATATGATCTCAGATTTTTCCGATCACCCATCATTTTTCCGGAAAAGTCGATTTTCCTAGGAAAACGCTCTTTTCAGATATTTTTGCGATGATTTTTCTGCTCCAAGGACTTTCAGAAATTTTCCGAGATCCTCTTTTGGTCTCTCTTGCTGTATTAAGAGGCACTGAACTCGAATTTGACCTTCACTCATCTTTGACACCCCCTCCCGTTTTCTAGAAGGTCCGATTTTGCCGGGCCAAAAGCTTTTCCGGACTGTTCCCACTTTCAGGGAAATTCAAAACATTATTCGCATGTGTGATACATCGATTCTCATGTAATTTGAGCTAAAAACCCCGAATATGACCTTAGAAATTCATTATCACCCACCGGAGAATTTCTGAAAGACCGTCGAGCAGAAAAATCACCGCAAAAATATCTGAAAAGAGCGTTTTCCTAGGAAAATCGACTTTTCCGGAAAAATAATGGGTGATCGGAAAAATCTGAGATCATATTTGAATTCAACAGATCAAAATACAAAGGAATCGATGTATCACATATTGGAGACATTTATACAATAAATTTTGAATACACTTCAATCCCGCATAGCTTTTACAATACACAATTTTAGGCTCGGAAAACTCGGCTTTACCGGAAATCTGAAGTGTGATAGAAAAAAATCGAGGTCATATTCGGATTTAGCAGCCAAAAATACATAAGTAACAGACTACCACGGGTCCAGGAAAATGTATAAAAATAAAATGCATTCACGACAAATATGCGTTGGATTTGCTCATTTTCCCGGGAAAAGGTTGCTTTCCCGGAAAACTGAGAGGTGAACGGGAAAAATTAAGGTCATTTCCGGACTCATCAGTTAAAAAGACATCGGGATAGTTGAATCTCGTAGCTACGAAAAATTTATCTACATTCTGTAGGGGCTAACAGTCGGAAAAACACTGAAAATGCCCAAAAATGGTCATTTTTCCTAGTAAAATCGGCTTTTCCGGAAAATTGGAGGGTGATGGAAAAAAACGGAGGTCATATTCGGATTCAGCGCCTTAAAATGCATAAAGATCACCTAATGTCGTCCAGGAGACGTTTTTTTATTTTGGATTGTTGTACAGTATAATGAGGCACATAACGAAAGATGGACATTAGCGGTTTTCGCATGATTCGGACCACGGCCCCCCCTGAAAAGGGCTTCAAACCTAAGGAACAAACAATTTTCACCACATTACTGAGTGTGTCTGACCTCCGAGAGTATTTTAATTCAAAAATCTCAAAATTGAAAAAAATGGACATTAGCGGTTTTCGCACGAGCCGATTCATTTGTTTTTAACCAAAAAACGCTTTTTTTTTTTTTTTTTTTTTTTTTTTTTTTTAACCCGATTGCAGTCTCTTTGGAATGATCCTAACTCATGGGAGATCAAAGGACCCGTCCGGATGGTTCATCAATTTGTGAACATGGCTAAGCGGGAGGCAACATATCAAGATCCAAATACTGGCCAGATCCGACAGGTATAAACAAAAAATATCGACTCCTTATTTTCTCTTATATTTCTATGTTCCAAATAATTTTAGACACGTGGGTTACCCCGTACAGCGCTTACATGCAAGGAATCGAGTGGCGTTTGCAGACTCGTTATTTTGCTGGAATAGCGATTGCAGACGGAGGATAGCTGAAATTCTGAATATAAGGAGGAAAATGTGAAATTCGAGAGACCGGTTTAATTTACATTTTGAAAAGACTCTAAACCTCCAAGGAAATATGGAAGAAAGATACTTGAACATGGACGTGATGTCATTATAACCAAAAGCGTTGTCGGTGCTCTCGTCCGTAGTCCATTCCAGTGGCGTGGCGTGAAGGATCGATTATCGATATTTCTCCATTTGAAGCTGTAGTAAAGAATCGATTATTAAGGTGTTCGCTGCGAACACCCTGTTAATCGATCCTTTCCATAGCTTTAAATGGCATAACAATCGATATATCGGAAAGCACGCCACGCCACTGGTCCATTCATAACGTCTGCGTCGAGTATCGAGACGTCTCCTTATTAAGAGCCAAGGTTTGCCTTCCTCATTAAAAATTGGTGATGTTTGACGTTTTAAATCAAACTGTTGGTGTTTCAATGAATGTCTAGATTTTAAGCCCCGGGCTCTCGGTTCAAGCGGCTACGCCAACTCGTATCTCAGATCCATGTTCAGGGGCAGTTCTTCTTGGTTTCAAATGCTGCTGTTAAAGTTTTATATCTATTTTTTTTATAAAAATCGAAACGGTCTCGCGAACCCTTCATGTTCCCCTTTCTTTTAAAATCTTAGTCTCTCATAGTTTACAATTCATCGAACCTAGGAACGCCCACGGAGTAAAAGTGGTGGGGGTTATCCCCTAAAATTTTGGTACTACCGCAATTCGTTGGATGATATGGACATCTCCAATTAATTGTGGTAGTACCGCAAAACTTGGGTTCGTAACCTAATTTATTGGGGTACAACCACAATTCATTGGAAATGGTCATATCATCTAACAACCCCGTGCTCTTTTTTCTGTGCCGTCACCGTGTGCGATCAAAGGAAATTTTTGTCTGTTGCCCAGGTGCACGGTTGCAAGCCAGCTATGGGCCATAGTTTTGCTGCAGGGACAACCGATGGGCCTGGTCTTTTTGCGTTCAAGCAAGGAACCAAAAGTCCGGACAATCCACTCTGGAACTCTGTTTCCAGGATACTGCCCAACGCTTCAGCAGAGAGTGTTTCCTGCCATGGAGGAAAACCAATCTTGTTATCCACAGGCGAGGTATGAAACCATTTTTTGCCTCGGAATAATACAGAGAAAGTGGTAAAATCCTTAAAACCAATTTTTAACACCCAAATACTACTCAAATCTTAAGCGGAAACTACTTAAAAGTCAATTTCTGTGTGCTGCAATGGACATTCGGGACAAGTCGTTGCGTGGCTGACATAAGGGCGTAACTACACATTGAGATGAGCCCGGAAAAGCATTGAATTGTATGAAAGACAGGGTTCAATACAAAGTGTGCTTACGCCCATCTGTCAGGCAGGCGACGAAATAATGAAGTAAACAACGGCAACTCACAAATGACTCTGCAGTCAGTCCATCATTTCTCCCCCTACTCTATAACAAACACCCGTTTCATTGAATTGGATCCTTCCATTTTTCTCTTTGTCTCCTTCTTCTTTGTCTATCAATTTCAATATGGGGCCATGCATTAATACATTACGACACGCTCAATGTGGTTGGGAGGTGGGGGTGGAGCTAGAGAGGCTGAGAAGAGCGTTACTCCATTTTGTTTTACGTGACAAACGATAGAGCCCTACGTCACGAAAGCGTTCCCTGGTAAAAATTGGCAGTAGAATCTGTGTTCCAAAATACCATAGACCTACAGTCGGCTGTAAGATTTCCAATAGCTTCTATAGCCGGCTACACAATTTCTTATAGCCTTTTGTAGCCGATGGCGACCAAGCAACAGGTAGGCGATAAAGTGTATGCTAAACGTTACTAATATTACGGATGCTAGGACCTAGTGAGTTTTTGGACTACTGCTCTCTTTTCGGGCCGTAGTATCTTCATTTATTTTGCAAGGAAAGCTCCGTATTTTTGATGGATGCCTGCCAGTCCTAATATATTAGAGCGCCTTCAGTTTCGTATGATACTATGCAATACCTCTGGTGTGAAATAGTTGCTTTAAGCGCCGTGGCGTGGCACGCTGCGGCGCGGCAGGCGGGCACGCTGCGGCGCGGCAGGCGGGCAGCCTGCGCGAAACGCGCATTGGCGCCTACAAACCTAACAGGGATACTTCACGCGTTGCGCAATGCGTGAAGTATCCCTGTTGGGTTTGTAGGCGCCAGTGCGTCGCCGCGCCGCTCCGCTTTGTGTTAGGCTCCAATATTTAATGTGGCGGAGTCACCGTTATTCAACTCATGAGTTTGAAATTGCACATCCTGTATGGGTTATTCTCATTTTAATTGATGAAAAAAAATATGTATTTAAGGAAAATATAATGTGTGTTTTGTAAATATTAAGGTGGTTCCGTATCAAACTTAATGATTTCCAAAGCACACGAATTTCTATACAATTTCTTATAGCCTTTTAAAATCGATGGCGAAAAAGCAACAGCCAGGCGATAAAGTGTAAAGCCCAGCGATAAAGTGTAAAGCCCGGCGAGGAGCTATAGCCCGGCTGCATAATTTTTTATCGCCTCGTATAACCCAGCCGTATGATTTTCTCCGCATTCCACAGCCAGCTACATGATTTCCGTAGCCTTCTTTAGCCGGCTATAAAAATCCCTATAGTATTTTGAAACGCAGCTCTTATCACCAATTTTTTACCAGAGTTACAATAAGGAGGGGTGTCAAAAATGCCGAAAAATTGCGTTATGTAATTTATGAACGCTTCCGTATCAGCCCGCTGTCCCTGTGGTGTTTCGAAATGTTTGGCGGGTCGCTGATGTTCTTTGGTGTGTCTTCTGTGCTCCAGATGAACTTCCCTTTCCAATGGCAACCGGAGATCGTGCCGACGCACCTGGCGACGATTGGGCAGCTGGCGGTGGCCTGCGTGCCGGGGGAGTTCACGACGATGGCCGGCCGCCGACTCAGAACCGCCCTCCGCAATCGCCTCGGCCTCGCCGACGACACCCACGTTATCATCGCCGGCCTTTGCAACGAGTACAGCGACTACATCACCACGCCCGAGGAATACGAGGTACGAAACTAAAAGCTAGGGATGGACGAATATCGAATTCGAATGCGAATATTCGAATATTCGAAACTTTTCGAATGCGATTATTTGAGAATTCGAATCTTGCGATTGCGAATACTTCGGAAGCGAAAATTCGAATGTTTTCAATTATTGCTTCGATTTTTGATTTTTTATGAACCATGAGAGATAAATGACACTTTTAACTAAGACGGTCACGAGATTGACGACAGGGATGGACGGGTATCGAATTCGAATGCGATTATTCGAGTATTCGAATTTGCGATTTCGAATACTTCGGATGCGAATATTTGAATGTGATGCGATTATCTCGATGCCGATAATTCGAATATCGGATATTCGATCATCTAAATATTCGACCATCCCTACAGTAAAAGCGACTCCTACTCTGCGCCACGCGACATTCGCCAAATAGTATGGAGCCGCCCCGTCACGTACCGTTCTAGGGGAGGAGGGGGGGGATCGGAAGAGCCCTACGCCATTTTTTTACATGTTAAAGGATAGGAGGCTACGTCACGAGAGCGTTACAAGGAAGGGAGGAGTCAAAAATGCCGAAAAAGTGCGTTACATAATTTAGGGACGGCCCATAAGGCGAATGACGAAAAATCAAGGTCCGGAAGTGGCGAGTGTTTCCACACATGTTTCCCTCCAAACTACTCCCCAATCTCAGATTTTGTTTAGCACTTGGCGAATATAAATTTTCTAGCGGGAACAGAGAATATTGGCCAAGTTAATTAGATAATGGGTTATGCCTGCATCCACACAGAGAGTTTTTAAAAGAAAGACGTATGTGCTATGGTGTGGGTCTATTATAGAATCGTTTTCGGATGACCTTTATCTATGAATTGCATTGCTGAGCTAGGAATTTATCGATCAAAGTCATTCGATACTTTCGATACGCTAACGATAGGTGGACGCATTTGTGCTAAAAGGATCTATGTACAGACTAAATAAATAAAGAAGAATCTAGATTTACGTGCCTAGTATTCCATTTCAATTTGCTATATTGGTGCGTAGTTCTTTTTAACAGAACAGATATGTCAAAAAGAAATTATCGTTTTATCTGCGAACGGGAATAAAAAGCTGGCAGTTTGCTTTCAGTGCTTAGATCAACAGTCAACGACTTACATCAGTTTTTGTCCTGTTTTATATTGTGTTCACCAAAAAACCGAAAGAAACTGTATTTTGAAACTTTATACTGTAATCTTCATAATGCAGGGGAAAAGTTTTAAAATATTGTTTTGGGAATGATTAAAAAGAGAAGAAACTAGGTGGATGAATTTTTCTTAACTGATGTGGGTCAACTGCATCCTGATAGCATCTTCCTGTGAGCGATGACCTCAAAGTAGATAATAACTCCTAATGCAATTATTCGTGTTCTATGGATGTCCGTGTTGCATACACGAGGTAACGAAGGCGCTCTGAGTTGCTCGCCGTTGCACAGCGTTATTAAACCGCGCAGTATATTATCATGAAAAATTCGTTAGCCGGGTAGCTGGCTTCTCCGACTGATGAAAAGAACTCTCGCACTCGGTGAGGCACCTCTTTTTGTATTACAATGGGCCTGTTGCAAACTTTTGCTAGAGCAGAATGAAGAGTTGTTTCCTATAGATAATGCCTCAAAAATCACGATGAGCGCATCGGCAAAGTCTGAAATGCACTCATAAATTCACAATCTGCGTTAGAAATTTGCGTTATTTTGAGCTTCCCGCTTCAAAAACGATACTACTGCACAGGTGAACATTTTGTTAGAGGAGTCGCTCCATCGTCGGCAATATTCATCATGGCCGACGCTTGCGCAGTTCCTCGCGTAATTCGAGGAGAGTTCAAGGTCAATTAAGGCGGGCGAGGAAAATATGAACGTAAACACGCCGATTGTTAAATGGTTTAATCCTGTTCAGGTGTTATCTCGTCCCATCACACGTGTTTTGGCGGACTGGCGTCGGCCATGATGAGTATTGTCGCCAATGGAACGACTCCTCTAACAAAATGTTCACCTGTACCGTAGTATCGTTTTCGAAGCGGGAAGCTCAAAAAACCGCAAAAATCTTACGCAGATTGTGAAGTTATGAGTGCATTTCAGACTTTGCCGATGCGCTCATCGTGATTTTTGAGGCATTATCTGCAGGAAACAACTCTTAGTTTTGCTCTAGCAAAAGTTTGCAACAGGCCCATTCTTTCAAGCACGCTGGAGTTATGCTGTGTTCTTAGTACTTCATTTTCTCCGCGATTCCTAAGAAAATGTAACTTTTCTTCCTTTTATAACAACCAGCGCTATTCTGGAAGTGTTGCCTTTCACGCATGATTGCCTCCGTTGGTAGTATATTTGTGTCGGTGCAGGAGACTGCCATCCATTCGAGTCTTTAAACTTGATGCAAGTTGAGCGATAAACTTTTAATCATGCGATTGCAAAGCGTAACGAAATTTGCAGTTCAGCTATGATATTTAATCACCATCGAACTTCTATCCGTGTCGTACTCGTAATTGCCCATTACCTGTAAAAATTCTCGTTAAAAAGTTTCTAATATACACTAAAAATTTTCGGAGTTCACGCGCGTTTCCAAAAACATTTAATATAATTAAACGTCGGATTATTATCCGAACTCCGGATTATTTGAACTCATTTGTCGAAACATATTCCTCACTTTCTCTCGGAAAATCAGCCAAAAAACTGACGGCTGGTCTTGCGCCGAAGAGAGTCACGGATTTTTTTAAATACGTTAATACCAATAACCAAACTTTTATATAAGTAAACTAAATATGTGTATGCATTTATGTTTACAACTCCTCTGATATCAAAATCTCGTTTATAAAAAGAAGAAGAAAAAGAGAAAAGAAAACAAAGAAAGAAGAAAAAAAGAAAAAAGAAAAAAAAGGAAAGAAAAAAAGAAAAAGAGAGAAAGAAGAATAAAATAAAAGGAGAAAGAGAGAAAGAAGAATAAAAGAAAAAAGAAAAAGGAAAACGAGAAAGAAGACAAAGAAAGAAAAAGAGGAATTAGGAAAAAAGAAAGAAAAACAGAGGAAGAAGAAAAAAAGGAAGGAAGAAGAGGAACGAGTATACTTACCTTTACGGAGTTATCGACTTCAGAATTTTATTCTCAACTGATCTTTCCTCCTTCAAGACAAACAACGCGGAATCACAGAACTGAGAACTGTTCTTAAGTGTGCTTCAGATCGTAAGTCATTGCAGCAGCCACTTAAAGTTTCCGAGGCAGATAAAAAAGGCAAAAAGCAAACGGAGTATTTCGAATCGTTCACCGGGTAAAAGACGAGTGCACCCCCTAAACTCGAAGTCAAATCGAGCATGACTCATCCTTATTTTTTCAATTAATTAATTAATTAATTAATTATTTTGTTACAAAAAAGGCAGGCCTCAAGGAAAATGGAGAATTCTGTTTATTTGTCTTCGTTTTTCTGCACGGGCGTTTTGTTTTCCATGTTTTTTCCCCCGTTTATCTTTAAAAGGTTCAATCTTGATTCAACGAGTTTCCTCTCATCCTCTTTTTTCCTTAGACCTGCAGCTTAGAAAAGGCCGAGCTAGCTGAACATCGGAAAGAAGTCTTTCCATCGGTCATTTAATCAGGAGGAAACGTGGTTCTTTACAATATCACGAAGATTGAGCAACACTCTTGAGCCTTGAAAAGAGAATAAAAAAAAATGAAGTGTCGTAAAGAAGGGAGAGTTTTCGGATTTTTTTTTTTTATGAAAGAACGATTCGTCGTTGGGAATATAGAAAGTTAAGTCCCTCGCTGTGACGTCAATAGAAATCAAAACGCTTTATTTTGTATCAGCAACGCGAACATTCTCTGCGAACAGTGGAGTCTTGAGATTTTGCAACAGTGAGCCTCGCCAATTTAAACGTTTATGAAACAATCGATATATCGAATCAAAGAAAATCTATTTTCTTTTTTCTAAATGAGTTATATAGAAAAAACAATGTTTTCAACTTGAAGATTTTCTGTCGATTCTACGAGGATTCTCGAAAGGAATTTATTAATTGGAAATTCTATTGATCTAAATTTTAAAGTAAATTTTAGTCTCTTTTGAGATTTTGTGATCCAGGGATATCCACAAAGCTAAAAAGTAATCAAGAATCAGTCATCAGTTACCTACATTAACAAATTCATTGACGTCCCAATATAAAATTCGACAACCCTCAATTTTTGAACCTATTCTTACCACTTTACATTTTCACTGGTGAAAACTTTCCTAACTACTTGGCAAATATAGGTTTAAAATACATAGATGAGCCGACATAGCATGGCTCGACGAAAACTGGAATGAAACCATCAGAGAGAAACCTAGTCTTACCTTGAAAAAAGGAGAAGATGTTCGGAGTGGGTATGAACTAAGCTAGTCGCGCATTTTCTCCTGTGTAAAATTCAAGGCGGAGAAAAAAATAATTGATTGTAAAAATGTTCGTTGGTTTTTTATCTAAAATTGAAGATTTTGGAAGAATACAAGTTTAAAGGATATTCCTTTTTTTCTGTTTGATCTTGATGTCACTAGAGTCTATTCGGTTAAGCGCGATCTAACTTATGCTGTTTTATGGAAACAGGTGCAGCGTTATGAAGGTGCGTCAACAATTTATGGCCCAGAAACACTACCACTCTACATCAGGCAGTACGAGGACCTGGCTGATCATATTCTTCGGGTAATACAATCCTGGTCATCTATTATTCACTCGATTTCACGTTACAAAAAAATGCACCGTTTTTAGATGAAAATGAGCCGACTGGGACCTGATTCTGGGAGCCTAGGGGCCCAATCTGCTAATATTGCACTGCAAAACTGCAAAATTCCATTTAACTGTGACTTAATGATCAGGAACGGTAAAAAATTCTCTCATGAAATATTTAATAGACATTCCCTGACATATTAATTGTAAAGAATTGTTGGTTGGTAGATACGTTTATTTGGCGTGCTTTTAACATTTGAGCCATTAGCACCTTAGAGGAGAGATCAAAATAGTGTAGTACAGAATTTAAAAAATTTAAAAATTAGGGGTCACAAAAGGGTAACACGAAATTAAAAGATAGGACAAAGAAAGAATACACTAAATTTGGAGATTAATTCGTTTGAAAAAGAGAGGGATTTTATGAAAAAACTTTGAAAGTACAGTAGACTCTGAATTATCCGGCTTCGTATTATCCGGACTCTGGATTATCCGGAGCGAGTTTGCAACCATGTAACTACGTACGCATTCCGATAAGTAAGCGGATCCGCGGAGAAGCGGTCGCAAGACATATTGGCGCCTGCAAGGCTGAAGGAATACTTCACGCATTGCGCCAAACAGTGAGGTCGGCGTGGAACGCATTAGCGCCTACTAGATTGCATAAATACTTCTCGCATTACGCCAAACGCAGTGCAGTCGGTTAGTTAGCCTAAAACGCACATTAGCGGCTACAAGACTGCATGAATACTTCACGCATTGTGCGCTTTAATAGTTGTACTGTAATTTATCGTTGTCGGGTACCATTCACAATCACCATTGAGTCCTTCAGTTTGGCGTTAACCTTTTAAATTCGTGTTGGTATGTACATGATGTATACATAATAAGAAAACTGTGGTGTTGGTTGGTGGTGTTTGTGTTTACTATTATTATCCGGCATTCTTTTTCATCCGGATCGGGTCCGGCACCAATTAATCCGGATAATCCAGAGTCTACTGTATGGTATTGAGAGCAGAAAGTGGAGGGAAAATTTTGGATCTTAATTGTTGATAGGTAGGGCAAGTATACCCGTTAATGAACAAAAGAATATATCGTCGGGTGAAACTTTGAAACACCTTAATCTAAGTAAGCAGTAAGCCCCTGTGGCTCTTACTTCGAGTTTAAATATTATTAACAAAGAGATAATTTTATCCTTTCCATGTACTTTAGACTGGCAACCCGTTTTTCGTTTTTAAATATATGACTAAAATTCTGATTGAATAATGACTCAAACTATCTACCTTTAATCATCGAATACAGCAGAATGACGTTGGCATGGTGGATTTTCCTTTCAGAAAATGGACCCAGAGCGGGGCCCAGTTCCTCCTGAGTTTCTAAACAAATTAATTGTTCTCACACCACCTGTTTTATACGATGCTCCACCCTACGACCAAGACTTCGGAGCTTGTTTACAACATCCACCACTGAACGTCACCAGAGGCGAAACTGTCAACACTACGTTCGTGAGTATGATGCACAGAAAATATATTTCAGAGACTTTGCCATACTATCCCTAAAGTATAAATTATAAAAGCTCATGGGCGAATTTGACAATTTTCGCCTATCTTTTCACTCCGGTAAAAGAAACGGTCTGAGTAAATCCAGGGCAGAATTTGCAATTTTAACTAAAGAGAGAAATAATAATAATTTTAAAAGTTGTCTGACTCCAAAAATCTGACTCCAGGAATAATTTTAAAAAAATTTATGAGCTCATTAATCGCTCTTGTTATAAATGTATTTCCAGGATATCAATCTGAGGGATATTTTTGTAAAATAATAGGGACAAGCGTTTAAGCAAAATTTAAAAACACTTTTTTTGTACCCTGTACTTCAAAATGCAGCATAACAAGCGTAAGCGGATATCTTCGAGAAAAATTACGACTACTTTAGCGAAACAACAATGAACCACTTGCCATGCATTTTTCGTGCGCCTTGGCTGAGAATAAAAACCGCGCTCAGACGCATCCACTCTTTTATTGGATTACATGTGCAATGATTGATCCAAACGTGACGTCACTTCCTATTGAGACACGTGTCGATTATTTCGATAAATCGAAAAATATATATTTCAACGGAAATCCACCGATACTTATCGACAGCCGATACTTTTATCCGAATAATGAATGCGATCTCGTCAGCTTGACACAATAAGTTTACGTAGAGTGCGATGTAAGTAAATCCTGAGGGTTCAGAATAATTGAGGGGGAAAGAAGGGGGGTTAAGAAGGGGGAGGGTGAGGAGGGGGGCGCTTCGTGGCTCCCATCTACTTCCGAGTTTTCAAGCGCCCGAGAATGAGGTTTCCGGGACGAATAAAGGAGCTGTAAAATTTTGCGGGCTCCGATGCAGGTCAAATTTGATAACGCAAGTTTTTATTAGTCTCAAGTTTCGGTGGTCTGATTGTTATCCGCGAAAATTCGCCACTTCCGTTTCTTTGTCTCCCTGCTGAGTTCCGCATACGGTGAGACGGTGGTGCAAACTTTTTCGTTCGCATTTGGATCAGTTAATGGACAAAATGCCACGTTTGCAAGAGAATTTCTTTTGGGATATATTCTGCAGAATTTTATACTCCCAATTCTCACACACTCTCTGTTCTGATGATTTCCATGGTTTTGCGGATTCAGATGTGATCAGTGGGGAGGCGTGAATAGCCGACAATCGATATGTTTCCACTTGTAGGATAAAGAATCGATTAGTAAGTTATTCGTTGTGAACACCCTCACAATCGACCCTTTTCCGTAGGTTTAAAGGGCAGATCAATCGATTCATCGAAAAGAATGACTGCCATTAGACGTGATTACCGGGACACAGTGGGAATACATATACTTTATTGTGCGGTATGTGCAGCTCGTAGAGCGAGAGAGGGATTTAAATGAAATTTTCAAAAATTGATTATATTATAATTCGATCTGAATAAAAAATAGGTATTTCATTGCTTCGGATGGGGATATAGCGATTGCGATTTTTTTTTAAAAAAAAAAAAAAACTTAGGAAAAAAAAGCCTTGTTTGACTTAAACAAATTCTTCTTTTCATTCAGGTCGTTTAATCGCGGGGTTTCTTGTACAGTTGCTCAAAAAAAAAAGAAAGAAAAAAAAGTCACTTTCAAGTGTGTTCCTGAACAACAGCCACGAAAAGCACAGAGTTGACAAACCCATAAACAAAAATTCGGCAGCGTGGAAAAGAATAAACATTCACAAATTCGTTTTGAAGCAAGGAGCTCAATTGTTTTCGTTCGACGACGGGCGGGAGCGCGCCTCGCGCTCGCTCGGCGAAAGTTTTGAAAACCCCGGAAACGGGTCCTTTGAGCCCTTTCAGTTCTTGATGGAGCTTTTATCCGCCACGCGCACCAAGACGCACAGCGGATCCAGCAATTGAAAGAGGTCGGACATCAGAATGTTTACTCAAGCTACGAATTTTCACGTTCATTTCGTCACTCTAAAAAAGTGATGTTTCTTGAAAGAAACTTCACGATAGGACAGGTACAACCACTCTTAAGCCTTTTTGTAATCGTATTAGAAACTTCACGATAGGACAGGCACAACCACTCTTAAGCCTTTTTGTAATCGTATTGCCCGTGACAAGGAGATACCCTTCATTGGTACCGGGCAATGGTGGAAGCTTTTACTTGCGGGACTCAAACATTCAAATGTTAACGATGGATGTTTAACAAGAAGTCGAGCAATAGTTCTACGAACAACCCGGAATTTGTTAAACTTGTTTCCCTCTTTACGTCACTCAACGCTCAACATCCTTCCTGTAGGTTGATCAACAGCTAACAGAAATTTGATGAATGTCAGCTTCGGAACTTTTGAGTCAGCATTTGAGAGTTTTTTTTTTAGTTTTGGAGTTTGTTTCAGAGAATATCAGTAGCACAATTAGACCGCGTTTAACAGAAAGGAACCAAGCCACATCAGCTATTGCCACATTTAACTGGGCAATTTAATTTTTTACGAGAGAACGATAGTGCGGCTTCCTTGGCAAATTTTAAGGAATTTGCTTTGTACTATGGAGAAAATTCACTGAAATTTGTACGAAAATCCGCAAACTCGTTTTCATGTAAAAAATTAAATTGCTGAATTAAATTTGGCAATGGATGATGTGGCTTGGTTCCATTCTGTTTAACGCAGTCCAATTATACCTACTTAGTTGTGTTTCTCGCTAAATTTTACTTGAATCGCAAATTGCTGACACATCGATGGTGAAATTGCAGAAATTCTTACCTCGGTTTGCGGCGTTGCAGACTTCCTGACGTACTTTATTTTCTACGCAGAAAACTACCAAACCTCATTTCTTGAAAACTTCAATGATTTTTACTCGCTGTGTGATGAATTGTCTATGAAAATTTTCAAGCCATAATTTTGGTTGGGTCTCCTTGTATAAAAGTAAAGTATGCGCGGAGATTTTAAAACACCGCAACCGAGATGTACGTATGTTGCAGTTTCAACGTCGACATAGCACTCGACTCCCTATGAGGGTACTTTGAAAGCTTCCACATAATGTTGGACATCTTTCCATGGCATGGTTCCACTGTGCGACTCGGCGACGAAGTGTATGCCTATTTACTTTTGTTAGAGCTTTGGCTCAGGTTTTTTGTTTGGTTTTTTCCAAGGTCTCGGGGCACTTGCGCAACAACATGATGCGCGGCTCCAGCTTCCTCCTCGTCGAGCACCTTCCGATTAACGGGAACAAGTGGGAGGTCGTCGCCACCGACGCCAACTGGGAGACCATGTAAGTAGTCCACTTTTTTTTAGGACAGATATTTTATCACGAGATCTCTCTTGCTATGGAGAGCCAAACGGGGAAGAAATTCTGAGATAAAGCTACTCCAACAAGTTTTGGATTGGGTTTTCTCCTGGAAGAGGCGATAACGCGCCTTGTGTTGTTCAAGTGTAAACAACGTGCAACAGCTGAGCTGAAGCGCCGAGATTGAGGTTAGGTTGGGTATATTTTCATATCATAGAGACCTTTACAGTAGCATTCAGTGCGTGATTTAAATCAAGAGGAAGTGGATTTTTTAATGAGTGGACCGTTTGAATTCATGCATCAATAAATGACAATATCTTGGTCAGGAGTTACTTTCAATAATATTCGATTTAGAAGTCGTATCGCACGTGAAATTTTAATGAAAACAATGTCGACTGTGAAACTGTAAAAACGCATGTCTGCATAACGGTTGCAGCATTTCAAAATCTCCTTTTTTTTTCTTCTTCTTCTTTAATAATATAGGGAGACTGAACCAGCGCCCTGGTCTGAAATGATCACAGAATATTCTTCTCGTTAAGAGGAATAATCACCGAGGTTCGAGAAATGATCTTAATTGGTTTTTCAAAGTAGAATGAAATTTCTGTAACGTCGTAAACCGCCAAGGAGAAAAGAACTTAGCGCTGAGCTCTAACACTCTATAGATAAAATAGCGCCAACTACAGGTAGTAGTGCTGAGCCCTAATACCTGTGGTTGGCGCTATTTTACTAGGTCACGGATGAAAAGTCTTAGAGGTTATCCCCTAAAATTGTAGTACTATACACACCAATTTGTTGGATGATATGGACTTCTCCAAGTAATTGCGGTAGTGCCGCAGCATTTGGGTTAGTCACCTAAGTTATTAAAGTACTACCAAAATTACAATGGCCATAATTATTATTATTAAATTAATGTTTATATCAGCCAACAACCTTATGCTCTTTTTCCCCGTGGGCTCAGCGTCAGGTTCTTTTTTGGTCCGCATTGATGAAAAATATAATGGGCCTGTTGCAAGGTGCGGGGATTTGCAAATTGATGCCTGTTTCTTATGGCAAATTTCACGAAAAGAACGATGGCGCTACTAAAAAACCTTGAAATGACTTCTCAAACTCAAAAAACGCTGTTTTTGGAACCGACCCATTCAAAACGGTCGCTTTTCAACCGCCATACTTGTGATTGGTAGATTCTATGCTTATGACTACTTGTGACGTGAAATGATATGACAGACCTGGTTTCTTCATCACTTACAATGTATTTTCCCGTAAGGAAATGGCAGCCGCTTTTCAAATGCAAATATCGAGTCAATCGCTAATTTTTTGATCAAAATTGAAAGCAGAAATGGATTCCTCGTACGTTTAAATGGTTAAAACCTTCATTAGATAAATAAGAACCGACGGGATAAACCCTATTTTTAAGGAAGACTGTAGTCAATGGGCGATTGTTTACATCTGCTTAGTGATAACAGACATGGACATTAGCTCAATATTTGGCCATTTTCATGAGTTTTTACTTGTTTGTCACTATTTGAAGGTAAGTTTATTTTGTAAATCAATTGTCTAGTGTCTTAGGATCATGTTAAAAGCTGTAAAGGTATACTTTGTTACTTATTTATTCAGAACACACTCCGGCAGTCCAACGCTCAAACCATGGATGTTCTCTCAATGCGTGTAAATCATTCTTAACTCTTCAACAAACATCTCAATATCATTCAGAACGTTCCCACGTTTTATAAACTTATGTTATTTTAAAATCCTGTGTGTTTTAAATGTAACACTATACAGAAAAATTTATCGATAAAGTCTGGTAATCGAAGAAGGATCCTATGTCTACTTTCCTTGCCTCCAGCTAAAACATACCGGTCTCCTCATCTCATCAGTATTGTCAAAGGTAAGTTTTTTTTATCATCAATGATTGATACTATCATTTTGGTGTCTTCAGTGAAGCATTAAAGGGTGAAATAGTAAGATATAATAACTGACTCGCTACATCCAGGTTTGAGCGTTGGACTGCCGGAGTGTGTTCTGAATTAATAAGTAACAAAGTATACCTTTACAGCTTTTAACATGATCCTAAGACACTAGACAATTGATTTACAAAATAAACTTACCTTCAAATAGTGACAAACAAGTAAAAACTCATGAAAATGGCCAAATATTGAGCTAATGTCCATGTCTGTTATCACTAAGCAGATGTAAACAATCGCCCATTGACTCCAGTCTTCCTTAAAAATAGGGTTTATCCCGTCGGTTCTTATTTATCAAATGAAGGTTTTAACCATTTAAACGTACGAGGAATCCATTTCTGCTTTCAATTTTGATCAAAAAATTAGCGATTGACTCGATATTTGCATTTGAAAAGCGGCTGCCATTTCCTTACGGGAAAATACATTGTAAGTGATGAAGAAACCAGGTCTGTCATATCATTTCACGTCACAAGTATGGCGGACCCGAAACGACCGTTTTGAAAATCCAAATTCTGAGGCGTTTTTAAGTTAATTTTTTGGGGGTTTCCGGTGATCAAAAAACTCCGGGAAAATTCCTGTGACATCAGGAGCCTTAGGTCTTTCGATTAAAGCAATAAAAAAAAATTGGTGCAACAGGCCCATTGTAATAAGCTTCAGGTTTGTAATTCCTCCCCATTTTGCGTAGCATCACGTGGAAGCGGCAATCACTGCTACTGGGTACTAGTGCGGTGGTGATCAAGTGGACGGTGCCTGAGGACGCGCCGTTTGGGAAGTACAGGATCAAACACCAAGGCTACAGCAAACCCGTCATCGGGGCCCTGCACCAGTATCAAGGGCTCAGCAGAGTCTTCCAAGTTGTACCCAAAGATCTACCCTATTCATACGATGTCCCGCAAATACACGAGTGATCCTCTCAACATTCTTCTTTCATTCCTTCACCCAATGCCGCAAGCCGCCGTCAGTCAGAGCAAGAATTTTGTGAGCTACCTAAGCAACTGGGCAATTCGGCACCTTCCAGATGAAGTATCACAAGCACCATAATATTTTCCTGATGGATCACTAGACAAGGTACGAATCTAAGCATTCTAATACATGTTTCTTAACCAGAATTTCACGTAAAACACGATTCGCGCAACGAAAATCACTGAAACCAACTCCTAACCGAGATATTAATATTTTTATTTCACATTGGTTACAAGAATTTGAACTGCCCGCTCACAAGAAACTCAAAGCTCTACATGAGTCAAATCGTGCACTACAACGGTTTCAGCAAGCTTCTCAATCGAGCAATGTTCATTTCCCACCTTGTGTTGTTCAAACAATAAGCAATTTACTAAAGCTGAGCCAAAGCGTCAAGATTGAGGTTGCCAGATTTTTATATCGCAGAGACTGTCATGATAACGTTCAGCGCGCGATGTGAGTCACGTAGAGCACTGAGTTTTCATGAGCGGGTGGTTTGAATTCACGCACCAAGAATCATTAAATATCTTCGGAAGGAGTTGATGTCGGTAATTTTCGTTGTGCGCATCGTGTTTTACGTAAAATTTTGGCGAAGAAACATGTATCAGAATGCTGAAATTCGTACCTTGTCTAGTGGTCCATTGTTTATCAAAAGCCGGAATCACACGCTGAATATGGGAGCTAAATGTGGCTTGAATGTGAATAGGTCACCGGGCCGATAGGTTACAGGGCCGATGCCTGAATTTTGCGCTTGACGTGCAAAATTCAGGGCACCGATGAGAATTCAAGCTCAGCAGTTATAAGTTTGTCTGAGCTATTCGAATGGATTTGATACAAATCTAGATGAAAATCACTCGAATTTATGAAATTCCAGCTGTTAAGCGATGACCGTTTACTCCCTTATCCAGCTGCCAAATTCAGCGTATGATTCCGGCATAAGACTCATACAAATCATGAAAATCTCAGGGATTAATCTTGATGACACAAAAAATATTACAAATTTTCAAGTGTTTCTATAAATTACTTTTTTCATAAAAATTGGACAAGTTTAAGAGCTTTGGCAACATAGTGTCCAAGCAAAAATGGATCTTACGATACTTCAGCCGGACGGTGCGGAAATTTTCTCACCCAGGTGGAAATTGAAAATGTTTGTTTAATTTCGGCTTTAAAAACTTAAATGAGTATTTACAGTCAAATTGAACACCATTCTGAGACCATTTCAATCATTCTTAGAGCTATAATTAACGCTCATGTCGAAATTTTACAATATATTTCGACAATTTGTTTTTCTATTTGCCCCTCTTAAATGTCTCCAAAAAAATTTGAAGGGTATAAATTCTATAACACTCTCGCTTTGAACGAAGTTACCTCTCAAAATATAATCGCATTGAGAGTTTTGTGTCAAAAACATGCGGGACAATTTTAAAATTTCAAAATTTGACAAACTGTCCGGGCATTTGTCAAGATACTTCATAATTTAGTGATCTATCTTTATTCTGGATCTTAATGGTTCAAATTAAAATTTCATTACATCAAGATTTATGCTACATCAGAGGTAAAATCGACACGAATTTCCCTATAAAAAACAGACCTATAACGAGCCTTTTATTCAGTTGAGAGGGCGCTGATCGCTACCATGCAAAAATATTGATCCTCGCGTTGGGAAAAGGAAAAAGAAAATAATACACAGAAGAAAATTGATTGCTGATTTTACAATTAAATTGTAACAAAATATGTCCGACATGCTTCAGATGTACACTTTACAATAGTAGAAATCTAATTGAGGACACCGCACCAAGAACAGCCTATAGGCGTATAGGTCGTTATTACGCCCATCTGCTTTTCGGATTCTACGTACCCTGGACTATGCTGTGGTAGCGATAGAATATAGATAGGTAACGGCTCGAGGTCGAAAAACCTTTTTTTTCCGAGTTAAGTCAGGCCTCTGGATCGATGGGTGCAAGAACGACCTATAAACGGGCCTATAAGGTGCTAGTTACCCCTTCCTTTACTCACTATCGATATTCTTTCATTTTGCGTTAATCATTATGCGTGATTAAAATGATTTATACTTCATATTGCCACCAAAATGACTGTTGGGCGTAATAATGGCCTATAAACCGCTTTTTTAAATTAAATATATGAGAGTTTAAACCCAAAATGTATCGCAAAATCTACCCGGCATCCTTCAATAACACGCTGGGCTTGTCGATTTCCTTTGACATTTTTGCAGTGGTGAATACATAGCTGAAGTGCGCTCCAGCTAGAATTGTATTTAGGTAATGGGTGGTTTTTATACGAGGATTAAAAATAAACAAGTGGTACGGAACAAAACAAAAGAATATGAACTATATGATGGACAGTAGGTTGATTTAAATTTCTGACCGAACTGTTTTCTAACGCTTCCGTCAAATAAAACACAAATTTATTGAGTTGCATTAGCTCGTAAAATCAGTCATTCTATTGATTTTGTGCTCCAATTTTTTGCGAAACTACAAACCTGATATCAAAACTTGGCTGTTTTGAAAACGCCTTCAAATGCGGCGTGATACCTCACGCATTCCGGAGAGTTCAAATAGTTGTATCATTGCGCCTTAGAAATGCGACGGCAGATTACAATTGAAATAGCCTTCATACACGCTAGTCTTGTCGATTTCCTTTGACATTTTAGTAGTCGTGAATGCATAGCTAAAATGCGCTCCAGCCAGAAGTTTATTCAGCAAATGAGTAGTTTTTATAGGAGGATTGAAAACAAACAAATGGTGGGAAATAAAACATAATAATAAGAACTTTGCAGAACGATAATCCGGGTATCGGAACTTGGCTCCTTTGAAAACGCCTTCAAATGCGGCGTGATACCTCACGCATTCCGGAGAGTTCAAATAGTTATATCATTGCGCCGTAAGAATATGACGGAAGATTACAATTGAGGACACCGCACCTAGAACAGCCTATAGGCGTATAGGTCGTTATTACGCCCATCTGCTTTTCGGATTCTACGTACCCTGGACTATGCTGTGGTAGCGATAGAATATAGATAGGTAACGGCTCGAGGTCGAAAAACCTTTTTTTTCCGAGTTAAGTCTGGCCTCTTGATCGATGGGTGCAAGAACGACCTATAAACGGGCCTATAAGGTGCTAGTTACCCCTTCCTTTACTCACTATCGATATTCTTTCATTTTGCGTTAATCATGCGTGATTAAAATGATTTATACTTCATATTCCCACCAAAATGACTGTATATGACTGAGAGTATAAACCCAAAATGGATCGCAAAATCTACCCGGCATCCTTCAATAGAAGGGTTAGGTCACCCAAATACACTAAAACAGGGTACCTGCATAGAAAAGTCTGCGCAGTACATCAAAAACAAAACTTTAAATGCGTTTTTCTCAAAACGCAGTTTCCAGTTATAGGCTGTTCTTGGTGCGGTGTCCTCAATTGAACCATGGGGGTGGTTAAATTGGCATTTTTTAATAGTAAAATCTACATTGAAACATGTCGGACACCTTTTTTACCTACACAATTGTTAAATCAGCAATTTTATTTTTTCCGTGTATTTCTCAGTCCGGAAATTTCCTCAAAAACAGAGGGACGACGGTTGATTTGCATTTATAATAATGAGACGAAACGAGGAAGGGACGTGCGTGAATTTGGGGCACAGGGACACGGGGCAGAGATTATTTCGTCCCGAAATAAAGTGGGTGGATCCCCGTTTGAGCCTGGAAACCTGAGAGTGGAACCTTTTGGCCCCTTTGCTCCTTTTACCGACCCTTCTCTCCCATTCAATGAAACGGTGGGCCATGTTCCTGTCATTGATCAAACTGGGTTACCCTCACTAATTTTACGCGTGAAACATGCGAAAGCTTTGACATTTAGTTCCGTGAGTTCATCCAAGTTTTTAGTACATAAAGGGCGATCCATAAATCCCATATCACCCCGATGACTTTTTTGTTTAGTGGAGTTGGAACTTTGGGGTGCTTCTAGGTCAAAAAGAGGGTCAACAAGAGAAGAAAATACCAATTTTTTACAGAATAATTTCGCGGAAAACCAAAAATATTCACGTAAATTTTGACATTTAGTTCTGTTAAAATTCGAGCTTTGATCAAAATCCAAAAATGGGCAGGAAAAGGGGTTTTCAGAACAACCCCTTCATATGTTCGTAATCTACGCAAATACCAATTTCTGGAATTCAGAGCATTGTAACAGAGTTTGTGACGGTCAGCAATGTTCATCATTCTAGAGAATATTACATCATCGGAAATTCGCATAGAAATGAGGCGATTTTAAAACTGATCTCTCTACTTATCCTACTTTGCCTTGCGACATGTTGTATTTAGTTTGTAGGTGATGGGTGACTCCGTTTCATTTCAAAATCTGAATTCTCCAGAATTGTCTTCACCGCTTTGAGACGATGTTTCACTCTAGGGGTGCTCCAATTCAATTCCTGCTTTCATGGTCGAAGGTCGACCAGCAGTTCGATTATCGAATCGTTATCGAATGACCTCGATCGACATATCCCCTCTCAGCACCGCTATTTATTGATCATGGTCATTCGATAAGCGCTCAACAATCCAGGCGCAGCGGATAGGTGACGCGGTGCGAGTTGCAGGGGGTCAGTTATGTTTCCATTCCAATCAACCCCATCAAAGCCCACCAAGTGAGCCGTGACGCGCCGCGCGCCGGGCAAAATAATTAAACGGGGAGTCAACGACTTATGGCTCTCTGTGTTGCCACAACTCATCGCAACCACCCACGGTAAGGGTGGCGTGGGGTGAGAGGAACATGAGAAACACCGGAAAGTTCCCTCAGTTATTTCTCGAAATTTCATGAAACTGAGATTGGACCAACTTAGGTCCGCCGCGAGGGGCACTCGGAAGGCGCCGACCGTCCTTACATTTCTCTTATTTTTTATTTTTCCTCTTTCCTCTATCTCTTCCTCTTTTTCTTTTTTATTATTTATTTAATTTTAGAGGGATTCTCAAATGTGCTCCCTGCACCTTCCTCCTCTCCCCTTCTCCTTTTTTTTCTTCTTTTCTTATTCTTTTTCTTTTTCTTCTTCCTTTTCTTTTTCTTCTTCTTCTTTTTCTTTTTCTTCTTCTTCTTTTTCTTTTTCTTTTTCTTCTTCTTCTTTTTCTTCTTCTTCCTTTTCTTTTCCTTCCTTTTCTTTTAATTTTTTTCTTCTTTTTATTTTCTTCTTCTTCTTCTTCTTCTTCTAATTCTTCTTCTAATTCTTCTTCTTCTTCTTCTTCTTCTTCTAATTCTTCTTCTTTTATTTTTCTTCTTCTTCTTCTTCCTCTTCTTTTTCTTTTTCCTCTTCTGTTTCTTTTTCTGTTTCTTTTTCTGTTTCTTTTTTCTGTTTTTTTCTTTTTCTTTCTCTTCTTCTCCTTCTTCTTCCTCTTCTATCTCCTCCTCTTTCTCTTCTTCCTCTATTTCCTCTATTTCCTCTATTTCCTCTTTTTCCTCTTTTTCTGAACCTCCTTTTATCACTTGATTTTTTTTATCTCGATGCATCATGCACTGTAGACAACGTACTTCACCAATCCAGGAGTGGATAAATATTGCCACGCAAAAGATGCCTTTTGACGAACCTGATCACACCCCTTCGTGACAATTCGTCATCTTCCGGCCCAAGTATCACAAACGCCATTGTTGGCAGCTTGGAATATCGTATGAGTTCGTCATACGATGTTCATATATGTCAAATATTATAATGCACATTTTATCGAAAAACACCTATTGTCTTTGAGACACTGGCTATCATAAGCGCCAAAGAATTATAAGAATGGTTATCACAAGCGCCAAAATTGACACTTAAATGACTTTTCTCATCAAATTTTATCCAAATGAAATGATAAAATTCAATCCGAACATGTCTCCAAAATTTCAAGTCTCTTATGTGTTTACATATGTCGTGTTTATCTTTTTCCGTTTTACATTTGTCTTCGGAAAATTGGTACTCCATTGACGCTTGTAATACTTTGGCCGGAAGGTAACGGAATGTGCTTAATCTAAATTTTCAGGAAGAAAACGCCAACAGCTGTCTCTAGGGGTAAATTAGAATTTCGGAAATCAATTTGTCAGCGGCTGTTTTGGAAGAGTTTGTTTCTTCCCAATTAAGGAGCCACATGTGGTCAGAAGGAGGTTAGGTCAGACAACAGGGCGTGGGGTTAATTTGAGGGCATCACAAAGGCAACAGTTTCGCAATGTCCAAAAGTCAGCTCAACATGGTGCGTGGGCCAGACGGAGCTCGGCATTGCTGCGTTGAAATTTTCCGAGCCTCCGTCACGATGTGGGCGAGACGATAAGTGGCGAGCCTTTACTTTTGTAAACATCAGGAGATTCTAGTTTCGCTTCTTTCCCCCTTCATACGGACCCCTTTCCGCGGGAGAAAGCGTCTCAGGGCTGAGAAACTTATGTGAGATTGTCAAAGGCAGAGGAAGACCTTAAAACAGTAGGGCAATATTTTTAGTGAAACTTAATCTAAGAGTTTGAATAAAAAAAAATGATATTTCAAGGGAAAACCTCGCCGTGTCCAAGCGATTTACATAGTTTCTGTGGAATTGGGATGGATCCAGTTGTATTCAAACTGAGCAGTGTCGTATTCAAAACATGTTAGATTAGAATTTGAAACCAATTTTTTTTGCAAATTGCGTTTTTGAAATACAAAGAATAAACCGCCATCAGTATGGTTCGACTTTTGACCATTTATTGTTCCAAAATATTCGTGAACTATTCTGCTTTTAGGGCGTTACGTAATTTTTAGACAGCCCTTTTCATTAAATTTATCAAATGAGAGTTCAGAATGACAGTAATAAAATAATGATGTTATTGATACAATATTTTTAGTATACATATATTTAGGATGTCGCCTAGGAATAGTGGGAACTGAATTTTTAAATCACTAAAATATTAGGGGGAAAAACTAGGTTGTGTCAAACTTCAAAGTTCCCTGTTGAACTCTTGGTTACTTGATGCGCACTGAAAAGAAAATCTCGGTGTATTTACTAAGAAAAGGGTAAAATTACCAAGAATTCAGGGTTCTATTTGATCCCAGTTTTTTCTTGGTAAAATTACCATTTATGGAATTGGTAATTTTACTGGACCTTGGTAAAAACGCCAATATCTTTTATCGACTGTGGTAGAATTACCGAGATAAAATGGCAAAGTTACCGGGAATTGATTACCAATAAAAGTGGTATTCTTACCTGGAAAAAAGTAAAAATACCGGTTTTTAGGTAAGCTTACCAGTCTGTCTTGGTAAAATTACCAATAATTGGTAAAAAAGTGAGATGGTAAAGGTACCAACGGACCTTGGTAAAAATGCCGAGAATTTTTTTTCAGTGCGGGCTGCGGGCTCAGCCCTTGAAGCTTCAAAAAAATTTATGAAACTCTCTCAGAGAATAAAAATTTTGTGGATTTTAATTTTGCAGCCCTGTTCGCGGGGCGTGCAGAAATGTCGTTGAGCGAGCAAACCGGGATGTATCCGATTCATCAGCGAACGGAGACGAGGATGGTGGTGCGCATGTTGGACGGAAGGTATCAGCGCGGTCGGCAGGCGTTGAGTTCGCTCAGTTTCCCTCTGGTTGGAGATCGGTTCTTATCCCACTTCTGGTACTTCTCCGTTGCCACGCGCTCGGCTTGTTCACGTGTTGAATGCCGCCGGAACTTGAGTCCCAGTTCGTCGTTTCCGCCCGTTAGCCACGCGCCACCCGTTGTAGTGTCGTGAACTCGCCGCCGCCACCGTGTCGTAATTGCACTTTCGTGGAATTGTTTCGCACGGTATGAAGATGGACCAGAGATAGTACAGAATTTTCGGTGAATTTTCAAATACGGATTTGCATGCTACTCAAAATTGAAAAAATGCCACCCCCCTCCCCTATAAAATTTGACCGATTTAAATAGAATCAGCCCTTATACATATTTCACGTTGCATGGTGGCTGAGTATTGAAATTGATAGACAACGCTAAAAGCGAAGATGAGGATAGAAAAATTGAGCTATCCTATTGGCATTGTTATGGACCAAGGGGGAAGACGAGGGTCTAAATATAGGATTTCTCATGGTTTCGTTAGTTTATTACTTACCTCCTTTTGTCTATTGCAATCACTCGCTTCCACCAATAGGATAGGTCAAGTTTCTTTTTGTGCTTTTTGCCTGTAGATTTCAATAATCAGCCCGCCGATCTACTCTGTGCTTTATTTTTATTCATTGTTTTGAAAGGACAGGTAAACATCATAACGCCCAGAAAGTTTCCGTGAATTCCCCTCTATTATGAAGGATTTGCTTGCAAAATTACAGGTCAGAGGTTTGCTCAGATTTCTTGAAAAAAAATGAGAAAAAATTAAACGGCGTCTGATGTAGTTGCGCTGATTGTGGATCTCCGGTTTGGATTCAGAGGAATATGCTCACAAAATTTAGAGGCAAAATTTTTGCCTCGTTTCCTTGACAGAAACTAAGGCATCTTGAAGAGAAAGGAGCAGAGACCATCTCCTCTATGAGCTTTACAACGCTAATATTCTTGCACCGTTCTGGTTTTTTTCGCTAAACTTCATTTCCATGACGTTGAAGGATGTGTTGCGGAAGTAACCGATTCAGATAGTTGCATTCCGTTCTCCAAAAATAGATTAATAGCAGTTGCAAAGATTGTAAAACTCCTTAAAGACATCAAAGGAGGAGGGAAATTACTAGGATAATTTTCTCATTTTATTCAGTTTTTTTTTTGTTTTGCTTTTTTTTGTTTAGTAATAGAAACTCATCATTGGGTTATTTTTACAAGATAAATTTTGTTGCACATCTTGGAAACAAGGTTATACTAGTTGTTCTTCTTTTAAAAACATGTAGTGTGATAGATAGATTAAAAGGTCAGCAATGATTGATATTTTATGCCGTCTCATCAATAAGTAGATATGCTTTACGGATATTCTGATATTTTAAAACCAGAAAAGAGGAATTCATCTTAAAGGTGTTTAATTGTTTAAGAACAAGTGATGAGTGGATTGATCATTTCGACACGTTAAGTTGACGTCGTGCAGAACACGTTTAGCTGATTAGCCCCCATCATTTTAGATAAGAATAGAAAAATGAAAGAAATTGTGGAAGGTATCTGTCTTCAATGACAATTTTTTCTTTTCCTTACTTTTATTAACTTGTTTTAAAATCAATCGGGGGTTTACTCAAAGTATCATACATTTTGCAGTCTAGTCAACGGTGTAGAACAATTGATCAGGCATTCATTGATTAACTTAACGAATGTTTGTCAGAGACTTGGGGGAAAAATAATTGTACGATCTTGGTTGTGATCACTCGTAAAAAAACTTACTTCTATTTCCTCATAATAGAGAGAATCAATTTTTGGGTCAAAATATACCTCGCCAAGCAAGATTATTTTGAGGACTATATCTGACGCCACATAAGAAATAGACTTCAAAAAAAGCGAAAATCAGAAAAAGCAAACATTATCAAAAAAAATGTGGGAATGGTTAAATTCTTGCTGGCCTTCAATAGAAACATCATTACAAAAGCTTACAAGAGGTCGAACCATTTATTAGTTCTTAGTCGGAAGACTCAACCACGAAATAATTCGGAAAATAAGGCGTCGACAAAAAATCACTCAAATTATCTTGAAAATTGAGATATCCATAACATAATGACAAGCAGGAAAATCATTCATCTCAAAGATCGATTTGTTTCTCTAAAAATGACAAGGACCTTCTTTTTTTAAAATCATTTATTCAATAATTTAAGTTCACGCTATAGTTTACTTTTTAGAATCGTATGGTTTTGATAATTACCGAACTTGACCCATTTTCTGCCTTTTGCATGTAAATGAAAATAGAGGATAAAATCATAGGGTTTGTTATCCAAGAAGTATACAGTTTGGCTTCCATGCTACTATGTTTCCAAGTATTTCTCTCTTCTTTATTTGCACTCCAGATTGAGATAAATTAGAATGTAATTCAGCGTCTCATTTAAAATAGTGCCTGAAAGAATATTCTTCACGTTATAACTAGGTTTTAACAAATATTTGCAAACTTCAATGGGAATAAAAAAATAATGATAATAATAAAAAAATAGATGAAGATCGAATGAATTACTGAATGAACTCCTAGAGGAGATGTTAGTTTCCTTAGAGAAATTTAGAGAGAGGAGATGAAAGAGAGGACTTACTTTAATTTTCCTCCAAAGGGAGAAAAGAAGAAAAGAAAGAAATTTAATCTCAGTCTCCGCCGATTAAACATGAACGTTGCGGAAGTTACATATCAAAGGGCTCATCTTCCTTCTGCGAATTATTAAATGTTTGTAGTACAGCACTTTCCCTTTTGAGAAGGAGTGCTCATTGCTTATTCTTACAGGATGTAAATTATTGTTTTTCTCAAGCGCTATCTACATAACTAATATACCTACACCAAACAACAAGTCTGTTTCAAAAACGTTTCGTTTAGATCTTTAGCAAAATTTTAGACATTAAAACTGTTAGCGGCGAGTCAAAAATCAAAATCAAAATTTCACTAAAAAACTTAGTAAATGAAAAAAATTAGAGAGGCAAAATGGCATACTCGTCAAAAGAAATATCAAAAACATAGGAGAAAAAACGGGAAACAAGACTAAAAATTACACATAAAAAACCAAAGACGTCTCGGCTCAAAACTGAGCCATTTTTATTCTTCCGACTGAAAGTGACTCAGTTTTGAGCCAAAACGTCTCGGGCTTTTTGTGTGTAATTTTTAGCCTTGTTTCCCGTTTTTTCTCCTATGTTTTTGATATCACCATTGTCACAGGCTGTTGTTTTAGACATTTTAACCTATCTCGTCAAAAGAACCGATGATGGACAAATGCAGGGATACCAGTTAAGCCAATCTTAGAGGCAGCAGAAGCAGACGGAAGGGGCCACAATTTTCTAGGGGGAAAAGGATGGGGGGAGGGGGGGTAAAAGCTTCAAAAATCTCCGGAGATTTATTTATTAAAACTTAAAAGTGACCAAAATATCTCTAGACAACAAAAGAAGAATTTTCAACCCCCGGGTAGAGATATCGTTCACCTTTTTCCATTACCCTCCCCATAAAATGCGCCCCTTAACAACCACGCATGAAGGCGGAGCAACCCCCCCCCCCCCAAGTTCTGACAGGACTGACAGTAAATAATGAGCTAGTAATGGACAACTAGACGGTGGGAGTAAACACCGTGAATTTGGTTCTCTCATTACGATTCCACGCAGAACAAGTAAAACACGGTAGAGTAGTAATGTTGGAGAAGTCTAATAGGAGGAAATTCGTCGTTTTCAAGATGAAAAATTTAAAATAGGTACTTCCAAATGCTGCAAAAATTCCAGTTGCAAATTGCAAATATCTCTTGCGATGCTAATCTTCTATCCTGCCTCATTACAAAAAAATTAATTTTGCTTCTGACGAGAATTCCACGAAAATAGTTAGAAGTCACTATGATGGAAGTATTAAACTGAAAATATTCGCGGGGGAAGTAGATTAATTAAGAGCTATGTTTAAACACGCCTACATCGTTCGATCCCTATTATCGTGAAAGGCCTTCATAAGTTTTCTCAGAAAATGTCGAGAAGTGATAGGTTGCACGAAGTGACTAAAAATTAACGAGTTAATAAAATTAGAAACATTATTTATTTTTCAAAGGAATGGATTGTCGAGGTATCGTACACGTTCGCTGATATTCTGAAAAAATTAATTTTGCTTCTGACGAGAATTCCACGAAAATAGTTAGAAGTCACTATGATGGAAGTATTAAACTGAAAATTTTCGCGGGGGAAGTAGATTAATTAAGAGCTATGTTTAAACACGCCTACATCGTTCAATCCCTATTATCGTGAAAGGCCTTCATAAGTTTTCTCAGAAAATGTCGAGAAGTGATAGGTTGCACGAAGTGACTAAAAATTAACGAGTTAAAATTAGAAACATTATTTATTTTTCAAAGGAATGGATTGTCGAGGTATCGTACACGTTCGCTGATATTCCGAAACTCCAGAACAGTAGCCCTGCACCAGTTCATTCATCCAAAGTTTCAAAAAGGTGAAGTTGCCTGCGGAGAAGCTTACGAGTGAAAAAAAGCGACAAATTGTATTCCGTTACCTCGAGGCTGAACTTTCCGTCGCAGTTAAGTTGGTTCCGCAGGTGGAATTTCAGACGGCGAACGTTAACTGCGATTGTGCATCCAGTGAATCGGAAAGTGATTCGCCGAACCATATCCCGATTCGCGGAGAGGATATTCCGACTATCCCACACCCCGTTTCCCGGACAGGATATTCCGCATCCCGATCGTCGAGCCGAGCATTCCCGGAAGGACTCCAATAAGTAAGTGGAACATTTTGATCCCTTCATTCCGTTAAACGATGACACTGTGCCTCAATCGCGTAAGTCGGGCCATATTCGGTAATTGGTTGTCCATCAAAGTCACGGGGGTTTGATTTGGGTCCGGTCCAATTAAACTTGTTGGGTTTCGTCGAAAAACGGAAGTTCGCCTCTCGTTAAAATGTTTTTTCTCCCCTTGAAGAGATTTTCGTCAATTGCACGTGTCACAGAGGTGTATCTGGATAGTTTCAGCGCATGTAGAATGCTGCTGTGCTAAGGAAAAACGCCGCGCCGTATAAACCTTCAGGCGTTGCCAAATATCCTTAGATAAATCACGAATTCCCTGATAAACCTAAGAACATTTTTCTTCCAATTTTTCATATAATTTTGTTCCCAATTTCACATAAAGATCTTGAAAATGTCAAGGAAAAATATTCATAACTTGCCTCAAAAATAAACATTTTATCGAAGGCAATTTAGCAACTCTCGAATGTTCTTACGGCGTTTTTTCTTAGTACGGCAAAATAGAGGGAAATGCATCAGCTCAATCTGCCCAAGAGCCGATTATGTCGTTCAAGGGGTCGTTCTTTTGCTTTTACCGGTTTCTTTTTATTTTTTTTTTAAAAAAAGAAACAAATTTGAATCGTTAGTATATTACATGTATTCACCATTAATCAAGGAGGCCAGAATAGAAAAAAAAGCTAGCTTCAAAATTTTTGAATGAAGGTGGACATACATACATCTTACCGGGCAAGTTTTGTAGACAACAAAAAACACAACTCCCTTAAATAGATAACTAACTACTGGTACCCAAAGCATGGTATTTGTTTGCTACAAAATTAGAGGTGAAACAGCAATGCGCATTAAGAGAAATCTAAATCATTTGTTCTTGAAAAACAGAGAAAAAGAAAAACGTTTGATAATATTTTAAATCAATATAAAAAAACGGTTTGCAAGATTGTGTGTTTGTTTGTTCTTTTATTTATTTATTTATTCAGGTTATGTTTTTTCTTTCAATATCACTCCATGCTAAACTTGATTGCCAGGGACTAGAAAAATTGCCTCTTTGACGTGGCACTTAAAAATGAGCGACGCTCAAAAATTAGTAAATTTAGACATTTCTAATGTAATTAACTTGATTTTCGTACAATTTTACTCGAGTAAAAATTACTTAATTAACTTTACTGTATATATGGCTACTATTACCGTATCTAAAACCAAAATCTCGGGTTTTCTGAGCTCAGTAGACAAACGCGAGACTTGTAACCTTTGCATAAAATGTGAGAATGTCTCAGAAAGAAAGTAGAGTGAAATAAAGTTCAGTTCAAAGACACCCATTACTCCTTCCCACGAAACAGTTTGTAAGATTGGAAAATTGAAACTCGCGCAATGACGGAAAACCCAATTTACGCGCACCTTTACGACAAGTGAGGCGAGAAACGATCTCGGTGTCGTAAATGTAATTTTGATTTCGTCAAGCGTCGCGTGATGCGATTGTTTTCCTCGTTCAGCAGCGCTCAGCGTTGCATGCCATAAGTTCTTACTTTGTTGCATCTTTGCAACGGTCGATGGGTAAACATCTGTTGCTTTTCTGCGGAAAAATCTATTTATATGCATGTATATCAGGTGCTGAATTATGTTGGTCCTCCCAACGTACAAGACCCGTGAATACTCCCTTTTGAATATCTTTTACTCTTTTGGGTTCGTTAAATTTTAATAGTAAGTCTTTTTCTCACTTCGTTCCCCTGGGGACTCCTTTGATTAAATATGCCTAGGATGAGTCTTGTCTGCACTTAAGTCCGGCTTAACACTTATGATAGGCCGATGGTGCGGTTTGGACTCATCTATGGATGCAGGATGCTGCAAAGATGTGAAAGAGCCGACAATATTCGGCATCCTTTAGAATCGCTTCGGTATGACGAGTGTAAAGTCTCATGACCTTTAAATGCCCCGGCCGAGTCAAATTTATCCGAGGCTCGCTAAAAAATACGTGGTCCACGAGATTAATGGGGTCGGTACTCATGAGCTTTAAATATAGGTCTACAAATACATCCTTCATTTACTTTACATCATTTATGTAGTAATTTTGGAGGCACAGTGGCGAAGCAACTTGTCATTCCAACTTTTGATGCAAGCTGCCGGGCGGCAGTGCCGCACTGTTGCAATAATTGATCGATATCTTTTTTGAAATGTCTATGTAATCGGTAATCCAGGATTGTGCGAAAGATATAAGGCATTATATGTGGATTGCGCGAAAAAGGCACAAGGATTGGGTGAATAGAAACCTTAACATATGCTACAGGAACGCGCGAATTTAAAATTAAGTTAATTTAAAGTAGAAGTTTGGCAAAACAGGAAACAATTGGAAAATAAATGCATTTTTATGTTAACGCTAGTTCAGGTTAGTTTGTTGACAAGCTATCGATGTCTTACCTTCTAATGATAAGTGAAAAGATTGAATGATGGTCGTAGGTATAAAGAACTTTCCTAACTTTTCTCGGAAAAAAGTATTTAATCGGGAGAAACGAGGCATGTTGGTATGCTCGTAAGACATCGAAACAAAACACAGGCCTCTTACGCTCTATAGTTCGATGCCGTGATTACTCGAACGCGACGTCGAATAATCGCGCCAAACACAGTGCGGCAAGCGTTAAACGTATATTAGCGCCTGCAGGACTTACGGAATACTTCACTCATTGCGCTAAACAGTGCGGTCGGCGCCTCGGCGGCGGCCCATATTAGCGCCTACAAGACTGCGCGAATACTTCTCGCATTGCGCCAAACGCAGTGCAGACGATCAGTTGGCGTGAAAAGCATATTAGCGCCTACAAGACTGTGGAAATAAGCTGTAGAAATGCGCGTTATAATACCTGATTTTCTGCTCCTGTTTATACCATAATTAAAGGGAAAATATAATTAAATAATACATTCATTTCTTAAACAACTTGAACATGATTGTTTTACGATTTATTACGTGTAGTTTTCTTCAGTGGTTGGGTTCAAAAAGGGGGCATTCGTGCAATCCTATCGCAGTCTACGTAATGTTCTCTTCTATGCTGCAGAAAGTAGAGTATTGTTATTAGTATTAGTTTGCGATTTTTTGCGGTGTAAAAAGTATAAATGCAACAGGGCGAAACGGCCCCAGAACTGAAGCATCATAAACTGTGGAATCTACGGGTCTTGGGAGGTTAATTCCAGCAGTATCTTCTTACATTTCAAAATTTCATAGTAAAAAAAAATATTTTGAATTTGAGCACTGAAATTCAAACTTCCTCTAACATTGGGTCTAAAGGAAGGTTGAAACTTCTAAGCTCAATTTCTCGGCTTAAACTTGATACGGATCTGGTAAGCTTAGTCCTATTCTGCCGTGCTAAGGAAAAACGCCGTATGAACATTCGAGAGTTGCCAAATTTCCTACGATAAAATGTTTATTTCGGAGAAAAATTGTGCTTATTTTTCATTGAAATTTTCAGAAACTTTAGATCATATTGCAAACAAAATTATGTAAGAAATGGGCAGAAAAACTTTCAAAAATTTCCCCGAAAATTAGTGATTTGCCAGAGGAAATTTGGCAACGCCCGGAGGGTCTCACGGCGTTTTTCCTTAGCACGGTAGTATTGACTTCGTGGCTCAACCAACGATTGGGTTGCTCGTGAGCAGTATTCTTGCGATTCCGAGTCCCTGAGGTCTAAGGACTAAGGCAGGGCCGGAGACGCGGTCGCTAGGTTCGACCCTGGAATCGGAATCGAGCCGAGCACACATCAAAAGTTCGGGGGTCCCTCGGAATCAAAGCTCGGGACCGCCGACGCCGAAGATCCCTTTGAAGCGAAAAAAGTTGAGGACCCGAATCCCGGCACGTGGGCCGGAAGGGGCCGGAAGGGAGCGGATTTATTTTTAACGTTGGTCAGTTACGTGTCGGGCCCCCGGGGAGATATGCAGTTTGAATGCGGAGGCGGGGGACGCGGCCGGGGTCTGTCGGTAAACAAATCCCCTTTCATCCCTTCTCGGCTCGATTCAACAGTCACGCATCCCTGCCGGCCACAGCTCATTCACCACGCGATCCCTGCTCGATGGAATCCGCCGAACCACACACCCAGCTGCCGAATCGTCCCTGTAACCTCATCTGAGATCCCATGCTCATATCTTACTGAAGTGTTAAAGTTACTTCACGGAAAAAATTAAATTGCTGATTTAACAATTCTATTGCTAAAAAAGTGACTGCAATGTTTCAATGTAGATTTTACGACCCAAAAAAAAATGCTACTTCAACCACCCCCGTGGTTAAATTAGCTTACAATAGTGTTTGAAGTAGCATTTTTTGTTGTAAAATCTACGTTAAAACGTCGCGGTCACATTTTTTGGCGATTGAATCGTTGAATCAGATATTTAATTTTTTCCGTGTTCCGGAGGTCAACGCTCAGATTCGCCTAATCATGACTCATGTCCAAAGGTTTGAGCAACTGGTTTAGCAATCCTTACCTAATGCACAAAAATTCGCATTGTAAAGTGCTCACTCCCACGTTTATCAGCCCTCATTAGCCTGTATCACACTATCAAAAAATATCAAGGTCAAGTGCTGTGATTGGTCCAAGTCATCGAAAAAGCCAATCACAACACCAGACCTCGATATTTCGTTGGCTAACTTTGATAGTGTGACACAGGCTGTCGGGAGACTTGCTGCTATGCTCAACAATTGTTACCCATCAATTAACATTTTAGGAGAAAAGAAGCGTTAACCTCATAACTTACCTTTTACCACACCAGAATAAATTGCTTCGGGTCTCGAAAATGTAATGTCTCTGAGTCTAAAGAACATGGCATTTTTAGAGAAAAGTTCATTGTTGGGTTGCGTTAAACATTGGATTTAGATATTTTAATTGAAAACTCTCCGGTGGCCTAAAATACAACTTGTGAGCGCAGTTCAGTTTTTTTTTTTAATGTTGTGATTGAAGTTTCATCAATTTTGCCCCGAAATGGCAGATTGTAAAATTTTGACATTTTCC